TTTCACAAAAAACGCGTGTACATGCAAACTCATGAAACTCTTGAAAAATAGTACAAATAAAACCATAATTGCATGTTTTCACACGAGAATCGATAGCAGCTCTCGGACGACGCGACGTCTCCCTCTCCGTCTCCTTCTCCGCTCAACGCTCAACGCTGGGGGTTGCATTGCCCATTGCCATTGCGAGCTCTACTGAGATGGTGATCAAGAGAGTTGAGTTTGAAAGTTTCCTTAGGCGGAGACACGCTGACTTTGCTGTGCCACACGCTGTGCCAGGCCAGGCGAAGATCAAAATGTTCGATCTGCCCAAAACAACGAACGAATAACAAAGAAGTTGCAAGGATATGCAGCAGGGCTCTACGCGATTGAATTCATATGTAGTTGTATTTGTATGCCTGTTCGTTTTCAGGTCTGTCGACTTTTAATTACAAACAATACCTGGACCCAGATCCAGATCCAGACCCAGGCCCAGGCCCAGACCCTATCCCTGGATTACAAATCCGGACGTTGTTGGCCAAACATTGGTATCTAATTGGGTTCAGATTTGGCTTACTACCCGTGCGTATACTCGTCGATATACGGCAAACACCCGATAAACCTAAACCTCACCCCAAACGAAACTTTTCCAGGTACATAAGTATATGTAACTACATATGTAACTAATTACGGCCCAGAGGAGCAATAAAAGTACTGGGCACCGAATGGAGTGGGAGTGTGTACAGCACATAGTACATACATACGTACAAATCTCAAACTAAAGTCAAACTCCATTTATGTGCGTGCGGTAATCATCAAGTGGTTCTGTCCTCTACGGGGTGATGGTGAGGGTGAGAGTGAGCCACTTGACAAACCGCAGACCAAAATCACACCCGCAACCACACAACAGCATTGAAAACAGCAAGCATTGAACACAAGCACGGACGACCTGTGTTTGCGTATATTTATAGTCCAGCCCCTACTTCTAAAGTCTGGAAAATATCTTACAGGGGAATCAATTTACACTATCAGGGAATGAGATATAGGCTAATTCGAAGCACAAGCAAACAGCCGACAATTTTAGCTCAACCGTTTATCCACAGATTTTTATGAACGATACCACAAACGACGCTTAATTAATGCACATATACACAAAACATACATGAACGTCCATATATACAAGATATAATTTTGATTCCACAAATACCCCACAAAAATTCTTAATTTTGCAATAAAAGCTTGATATTTCCCAGACGATAACCTTTGAAGAAAAAAAAATTCTACTATAAAAAACATAATTCCTAAAGAAATGTAAAGCCGAAAATCTATCAGAAAAAGTCGGTTTGGCTCGAAGCGTAAATAAAATGTTTAATTCAATAAAAAAAACGAGAAGGAACGTGTGAGTCGTTTCTGGGGACACGACTCTACTTACACCCGTACTCAGTCAGTATATACATTATTGAGCTTATAATTTTTTAGAATTTTAGAAAAAAAAAATAAAAATTTTACATTTTACATTTTTTTGCTACATCTGCTATCTACATCTCATCTACAATGTCTATTCTACATCTAACATGTAGATTGTACATGTTCCATTCATATTCTACATCTCCTCCGCTAGGGGTTGCTCGCGCACTGAACGCGGCAGAGTGTGCGAGCGAGAAGGAAAATGAGTTGCTTGGTTGTTGGCAGGAGGGGGCAGGGGTAGCAACTGAAAATTAATTTCTTCATTCTGGCTATAATTATGATCCGATCTGATTCAGATTCGGCAGTCTGGTAGATATGGGCATTCTCTACGACACTGCGTTTTTAGTTTTATCGTACCTTTAAAAATGTGCCTGCCACAGATTTTCGTTCTTTGTGTGGGCGGAAGGGGGCGGGGCGAAATTTTGAAATACACTTGTAGCAGTGGGATATCACATAAGTCTGGAAACCAAATTTGGTTGCCCAGCTCTTATAGTCTCTGAGATCTAGGCGCTCAACAAGACAGACAGACGGACAGACGGACAGACAGACATGGCTATATCGACTCGGCTATTGATGCTGATCAAGAATATATATACTTTATGGGGTCGGAAACGTTTCCTTCTCTGCGTTACACACATCCACTTTTACCACAAATCTAATATACCCCTTAACTCTTTTTTGAGTACGGGTATAAAAAATGGAAAAGATCACATATACAGAAACTTACAGCGCTAAGCAAGAAGCGGAGGATGAGCTGGAGCAGCCGGAGCAGCTGGAGGGAAGTTTGTTGGAGCCGATTGCAATGAAGTGGAGTTCACAGTTTAGCTCGGAGCTCGATCGACACAGAGCCATGAAAGAGCAGCGAAAGGAGATAAATCAATAAACATAAAGCATGAAGCGAACAGGGAGTGGAGTTCCACATGGAAACAGAATCATTGTTTCTAGAGGGGCTCCTTCAGGCTATGCATTTAAGCAAGCTTCTTGCCAAGATGAGATGATCCAAGGATTGGGAAGGCGATCATCCAAGCGTCTAGGCGTGGTAAATATTAAATCATCACTTCGGCTGAAATAGCATAGCATAGAAGAATATAGGCCATTGCTTTTCCATATAAGCATTGTATTGTATTCTATTTTATTTTCAGATTTATTTCAAGTTTCAAGTTTGGCTTGAATTTTCGCGGTTTATTTTCAAATAAATTAAATGGTATAATATTCGAATTTAAGGGCAGTATTTCAGCAGTACGGCAACGCCGAAGAGAGCGCTACACATTTCCAGGGCAGCATTTCATCGAGTACGGCAGCGCCATCGTAATGTACAGAAAAATTTCTAATACAAAAAAAGAACAGAAAAGCGCCATCTGTCGCACAGTGGGACAATATAACTTCAGAATTAATAAAGATATCTTTATAGCACAAATTGCATTTGAGTACATGGATTTCTGTATGGTGGCCAAAATGTTTTTGCTTTTCAGCTGATCGGCCGATTTTTCCGAATAAATCTAATCAGAAAGCTACCGTGCTTAGCATAGCTGACCAGCATTACGTCATCCTCCGCGTAGAGTATTTGGCCTTTTAGATATTCCATGCATGGCATGGAACTCCTGTGTGCGACGCCTTCGATTAGCAAAGTGTAGCGCAAGGTGGCTGAAGCGTGTTCTTATGTGCGCAAGGGAACAGATCATGAACAGTAGTCTATATAAAAAATCTTATATTTCATTTCAGATTCCCCGGCAGGTCATGACCCTGCCGCGGTAATAGCAGCCATCGCTGTAGCGAGCCAAGACAATGTCCGACTTTTGCGGCTTGTGCTCGATTCTCGAACTCATGGCATCTTGGGCATAATTCAATGTCCATTTAGGAGGAAAAGAGTCATTCAGAAATTTGGCATAGACTTTCATGGTGGCACTCATGTGGCTCATCAAGATTCGCACAGTACTTCCTAGTTCTCGAGATAGCGGCGAATAAGGCATGGTTTCCGTTGGCGCTGACCCCATAGCGGTGCATCAATATCCACGAAGTTCTTGGTGGCTCCATGAGGAGCTAAAGGTTCGTTCACTAACGTAAGAGCTGGTTTAAGTGGCTGGACTAAGCATTGCACGGACTTACCATCCATTTTGTCATTTTTTCTTTTATCATTGGCGTTTTTGCGTCGTATGCGTCGTGATGCATCAGGATTTGGGATTTCTGCGCGCCAATCGCGTAGATTCACGTTTCGGTTACTATTACCTCAATTCGGCACCATTCATCAGCGAAGTGCTTTGATATTTAATTAATTAATTATAATATACCCCACGAGGGCTGCACGCGGCGAAATTGAGGATGCTGCAGGGCCATTAAGGGATCGAATTTATACAACTTCTCGAAGGTGGAATCGGAGGTGTTCCTCACTTATGAACGCTGCCATTTCGTGCTCTTTCACATTCACCTCACCACGGTACATGTACTGTAAAATGTCCCTCAAAGCTATTCTGGTTACTGGGTGCAGAGGCACTAAAAATGAAATTAAATAGCAAATCTGCCTCAACCTTTGCGTGTCTTTGCTACTTTCCAAATACATCGGTTTTTGGCCGCTGGTTGCAGAACATTATACGCAGCTTTTCCGAAAAAAGCACAGGACAAGGTGGTGGGTCTTAACAATTGTCCCATCAATGAGACGTCCACAAAATCGCCCCGACAAAACCTCGTAGAACCAGCTGCACGAAATTTTCCGTGGTGCAGAAACGAAATATCTTTACAGAATCCAGCCATCTTCACGATTTTCAATTACTGTTGGTCCGTCATTTACATACCAAGTTCAAACCACAAAATACCATGTTTAAAATGAACTCTGGTATTTTTTTTTTTGCATGGATTTTGTATGGGAAACTCTACAAAATACCGAGTTCAAACCTCAATATAAAATGAACTCTGGTATTTTTTTGTCAAGCGCAAGAAAGCTCACGACGGCGATTGAACATAAAAATTTCCGCTCGTAAATAAAGGAGTATTATAAGCCAGTTATATTCTAAAAATTATCCTAAAAATGTTATTAAAATGTAATAAAAATAGATATGGACAATTAAGGATATGACGAATGCCACAATGGCACTGGCCACCATCCCTAGCATGAGTTGATGCACATGTTCCCTGCTCGCCGACAGGGGCATATTCGAAATATTCGATTGCACTGCACTTTTGCTTTTGCACTTTTCAGCCTATCGGCACAACTATCACCAGTAATAACAACTTGTAGACTTGTAGATCCAAAAATCAAATTTTGGCGCAAAAGTGGTTGTGCAAAAAGGTAAAAATATACATAAAATCCTTAAACTAAATAATTTAAACTGATTGTATTATTATCATACGACATGTTTGTTACCCTTGGGGCCATTAAGACACTTCTATGAAAACTATTTTTAATTTAAAGGGTCCACCAAAAAACGGTCCGTTTTCAACAGAGAATTTTTAAGGACTATCCAATAAAATATTATGGTCACTCTATGTGTAGAAGCCACCATGTAGAAAAATGTAGCAACAAATTTTCAAAAGGTTGCTCAACATTTGGTTTTTTTGCGCAACATTTGAATGAAATACCAACCGAAAAATACGTGTGCCGATCTGTAGTGCTTTGGATTAATATGCTATGCACTTTCAATTGCAAGCAAAACGAAGTGAAAAGTGAAACAACAACAACTGAAATATGTGCACAACTTTAGTCCATGTATTTATCCAATACATGTAAAACATCACATCATATAATTCCAAGTGTTCAAAATAGAATTCGCGTGCGCATATGTATGTTTATAAATACACACAGTTTGTATACATATGTATGTATTTATGTACATATGTACATAGCTACATTTAAATGTTTGTTATCTCAGAGAAGTACTCTTATGGCTCAATAATCCAAATGTGCATATGTATACATATGTACGTGTGAGCATACGTACATATGTACATATATTAAATCTGATTTTTTATGACTGTAAACACGACGAACACTGCACTTTCAGCTTCAGATGAACCGAAGTTCAAGAGCACAAAAATTTAATATGTTTATAAATGGTTTAATTGAATACAATAGAGTGATCAAGAGCTGAGAGTGAGATTCATGTGAATCGTTTATGCACAGAACAGACATATGTATGTATGAATTTTGTCATATATGTACGAGGGATGTTCAATAAGTCCGTGGATTTTTTAACGAAACAGGTTATTGGATAAACCATAATTTTTTAATCACAGTCTTCTTTTAGCCATACGTTTCAACGCCAACGTTTCTCCAATTTTTGTATCCCTTAAAAAAAAAGATTTGTCAAAGTTCTCAAAATGAGAATTTGTTTGTGAGATTACTTCACGAATCTCGTTGGAATTAAATCTCTTTTCGCCGGGTCATTTCATCAGGTTAGGGCGGGTGAAGGAGGAATTCAATCTCCGATCGACCAACACCATATCGTGAATTTTTTTTCAATTGTTTCGGGTAGCAACCTTAGCTGGGCCGTCCAGGATGGTTGGCATCGTTTGTGCTTTGGAAGCGGACTTCCCATACCATAGTATTGATCAAGCTTAGCCGTGATTTCAGTGGTGGTTTTTCCGCACGAGCACACTTGTTTCCATTTTGCCTGCTATCAATGGCTGTAAAGCACAAACCAAACCAAACCAAATTGTGCAGCTTCTTCAAATTTTGTCAGAAATCCGCTAATAGATACCTTTGACAGAAGCAGTGTTGACCTGTAAATTAAGAGGCGGGAAATTCAAAAGGTCACGGACTTATTGCACAGCCCTCGTATGTGCATAAAATACAAATGAATGTACCGAGTACAGTATATTTACCGACATTAGGGTGGTCCTTTGCATGACGACTGAATCTTTCGATATAATTTTAGATTAATTGTTTCGTATGATCAGGACTTTATATGCATGTACAGTGTACATAGGTATATGTACATTAATCTTAATGAGGTCGGAACAGCTGGAAACATTATTGCCTTTCCCTATATTTTCCTTTATGGCATGTTGTTAAGGTTTTGGCAAAGAATATAAAATTACAAAGAACAAACTTCATTTCAATTTTCGTTCGACGCTTCGTTGTCGTAGCGCATCCTTCGCCTCTGGCAAGGCCCCAGAGGACATTCCGTCTTAAACCATTCGCTTGTGCGAGGGGACGAAGCACAGATAAAAAGAGAATTGAAACTCCACTCACTCCCTCTGTCTACGTGTATTGTATCGTCTTTGGTTAAATCCTATTGCCACAAAACTTAATAAAGTTAAAAAAAAAGTTTTTCATTGATATTTGTAAACAACTTTTGACTGTAAAGGCCCCAGCAAATTTGTAAATACAATTTAATAGGACTGATTGATAGGCCTCAATTTAATCGTCAATCGTCCATTTGAATCAAAGCATAAACACCCAAGTAATAGCATTTTATATTTAGACTTTGTTTTTCGATGAACATGTCTGAGAACACGCAATAGCCGCAGTCTCGTTTCTTTAGTAATATAACAATCCTGTCCGATAGCTTTGAGTAGAGTTTAATCTTATGTGAAACCAGATCTCTTACTTTTTTGTTATAGTTAGGGCAACCGCAAAATCTTATATCTTATAATAATATAATTCTCAATCTTTTCTTTTTTTCAGCACTCAACCCGACAACTGTTTGCTAAAAATCATGCTGACCAATGGGTACCGCATTGGGAAAGAACACAAGACTAAGAGCCAATATTATGAGTACCCTATGGGTGGTGGTGTTAAAAGGCTTATTGAAAATGCAAAAACAGCAGTTGCAGTTGTGCACGTACAGACGGATTCCAATAGCATAGATTTCCCCGATATAGTTCCCCGAAGAGATTTGTGCAGTTGCAAATCGAGGACAAGTATTACAAAGCCACAGATTATAAGTGGACATTCGAGATGTCCCTTTGTCATGTACCGATGTGTGGCCATAGCTGTACTATCCATGCTTTTAGTCCTAGCGACTGCACACAGTGCCAACAGTGAGCAAGAGTTAGTAGAAAGCTCAAGCAATTCATCAAGTGTCAGTGTTAGACCTGAAATCATTTTATTGAGTAACAGAACGAATGCTAAATCTAACATACTTTCAAGCGAGAACGCGTCAGCAACAATTATACAGAAAAATCTAGAGGATCATTATCAAGAGGATCCTGATCCGCCTTTAAACCCAATAAAAGTACAAACCAAACGGAATAGTAAAAGTTCGACTCTGCCAACAACATCTAGATCGGGTCCCTTCTCGAGTGTTCAAGGCGTATCTATGAATCGAAATACATTGATCAACATTGATAGTATTTTACAACGCCAATTGCGCGAGAAAGCAAAGCAGGATAGCTTGGAGTCGATTAAGATGCACATACTCATGCGGTTAAATCTAAAAAAACTACCAAATATAACCAAACCTATCTCAGTGCCACAAAATATATTAGAGGATTTCTATAAAGGTTATAATGCATCTGTAACAAATACAATTTGGCGCCGTAGGGAATCCGCAGGAGAACCGCTATCAGAATCACCATTTGTCCCTAAGAAAGACGAGAAAAATACCAATAAAAGTAGCGGTTTAGTGGCTGATGAATCAGACATGAACATTTCTTCTCAAATGCAAGGGGATGATGCTAATGCTTTAAATGAGTTTAAGTTGATTTATAACACCGAAATAGGAATCCAGGAATATCCAAATACAAAACAAGATTTTCTTATGGATAATAATGATGATGAATACGAGAGTATTCTTTCACACATAAGCAGCATTTACGTGTTTCCTGAACGTAAGTACAAAACATTCATCTATTACAGCTAGAGTGTATTTATAACCCGAACTCAAAGAGCATAGTTGTATATTTAGTTCGTGCGGATGTACTTGTATGTACATATTTAACCATAAGCCAGAAGGAAGCCCGACCCCTAAGGGTATATACATTCTTGATTAGCCTCAATAGTCGAGCCGGTATATTATAGCCAGAATGAAGAAATTAATTTTCAGTTGCTTACCCCGAACCCCTACATTGTATATGTAGAATCAACATTTAAGATGGAGATGTAGACAACAGATGATACATAAATCATAAGCATACATATTTATATACTGACTGAGTACGCGTATAAAATTAGAGTCGCGTCCATGGAAGCGATTCACAACGTTCCTTCTCGTTTTCTCTCGATGTTTTCTCGATCTCTCATGACATCACGTCTTACCACTATAAATAATTTAAGACTTATACGATCTTTTAATTTCTCAAATTCCATTATATGTTAATTTAAATTTCGTCCATTTAGAACTTCAACCACATGTTCGACACAACCGTAAAACAGACGTTCTTCGGTTTAAATTCGACAATAGTTACTCGGACATATCGTACGCTACACTGCATTTATATCTGCGTGGTTGGGACTGGATAAGCACCCATCAGCCGGAACTCATTGAGGAGATTGAAAATCAACAAAGTAAAGATATTGTTGTAGCTATTCATCGGGCAGTACGCCGTGCAAATAACACAAGCTTTACTCACAAGGCCAAAATGTTTGAATTTCGACAAAAAATCCCATCTGGACAAGGACAGTGGGTCAACGTTGACCTTAAACCTGTTTTCGGTGATCGCGGGTCGAATAAATCTCATGAAATTCTTATAAAAGGTGTAGAATCCTGGATGAAGCCTTTAGTTGTGACCACCGATAACACATCGAATAATCCATTAGTATGCGTCCTCCACACATCGCAATTCTCTCATGGTAATTGGTAAATTTATTGCCTTTATTTCAGACGGTTCACATAGAAATTGGATCACAAAAAAAGCATCGACGAAAACGAAGCGTTTATATGGACTGTACTGAAAGTGATCACGATATGCGATGCTGTCGATATCCTCTCAAGGTGAACTTCACAAGTTTTGGATGGCATTTCGTTGTTGCACCTACGTCATTTGATGCATACTTTTGCAGTGGCGACTGCAGAGTTGGATACCTCGAGCAGTATCCCCACACTCATTTGGCCGCCTTAACGACGTCGGCCACGCCCTGCTGTTCGCCAACAAAAATGAGTTCCTTAAGCTTGTTATATTTTGACGATAACCATAACCTGGTTTTAAGTGTTATACCAAATATGTCTGTAGAGGGATGCAGCTGTTCCTAGCCATCAAGTCGAATTTTTATCTCGATTTTTATACCAATCATCTAGAATAAAAAAAATATAATTTTATGTACATACTTGCAAGCTGCTTACTTTATTATGTAGGAGATGGTCTAACCTAAGGCCTCGATATTCTATTCCGCTAATAGTTATTCAGCCAGCCCAGCCCTCCTATTGACGACGATCACAAATCGGATACTGGCGGATATATTAACAGGTATCAAAATAAAATACAATTAAAAGTATCTTTATTAAGCTATGAATTTTGATGATTGGGTTTTAACATTTGCATACATATGTATATTTAAAGGATACAATACTTGAATTTATTAAAAATTAAAGCTGTTTTTGGAACGAATGATTCTTGATATTTCGCTTTGATCCATATACATATTCACACATATGTTAAATTGAAGTTTATACAAACAGCTGAGCATTGAAAAATGGCATTTATTCTTCAGACGCTGATGACCAAAAGCGCATAAATGTTTGTATTTTAATAAAGCCTAGGACTCAGATCCAAAAACTGTTTGCTAGCAAACAAATGTCATATATTCTTCTAGCGGCCAGTGGTGCGACCAGAGATGTGCACTTCATTCCGTACGGTTACACTGCTCGTTTCAAATCGATTTTTCCATTTCCCTCTTACTCGCATACAAAAGAATGTGTTAAACAGTATATTTTAACTGGCATGATAATGTTGAAAAATGGTAAGTTTTCTACTAAATTCGGTTTTTTGCCTTTAAATACACAGTCATAGTCAACTGCTTTACCACCAATTTTGCTCTCTCTCTTTGTGGACTGCTTTACCATCGTAAATACAAATGTACAAGTACATAATATTTACGCTTTGTTGGTGGTTTTAGTGTAAAATAGAAAAATTCTTCCAATGTTATTATAATATATATATATTTGTGTATAAAATATATATAGTATATATATAAATATACAACTGTATGTTATTATGTTTACATTTCTGAAAATGTGAAAAAAAACAAAATGTTACAGCTTTTCTGAGTACATTTTTCCCATTTTACAGAATAAATTTGCTGCTTCGAAACTGAAAACTCTTCCAACAAATTTTCAATTTCTATGCTTAAATTGAGTCCAGAGTGCGATTTGTGTAGCTTTATTAGACCGAGCGTCTTAATTTCAATACGCTGATTTCGATAATACTGAGCAGTCCATGCAGAAAAAAGTCGAGTGCCAAGAAAGAAAATGTATGGGCGTTACTTCAACTATTTATATTCAGGCAGGGTTTTTACATTCACTTTGCGTTTACTTTCAGCCAAAAGTCATACTTTTCGTTTTCAGGCGCTCTGGAATCCGCAAAAGTGTGATATATTTACTCCTGTACTGTTAACGCAAAGCTTACTGCTGTTATACCAACACTATAGCGCCAGATCATATCAAAAGCCTCTGTTATTTTTAACAGAGATTTATCGAAGAGTAAATCGGTCTGCGAAAGCTGTTCGAATGAATTCACTATTTGTTGTTGTACAGACAAATTTTTCCAGATCTAATTTTGAGGTTAGTTTAAAAAATATTTATAAAAAGGGCACAAGCTCAATTGCACAGGTAATGGTGTCATGTCAATACATCAGTAAGTTATACTATATTTTTCCTTTTGCAATTAAGATTCGTTTTGTTGTATTAAAAGTCGTTTTCTTTTCATTTCGGCGAGAAATATGTTGCCGTTTTGAAGACGGAAAAGTTTTGCGTTTTGTGAATTCGGGAGCATATAACGTTCCGTTTGGGAAAGTAAATCGAAAAGTGGTAACCTAAAGTCGTCGAGTACCTATTACGAACCAATCGATAAAAGCAACTTTAACACCGCTGTGCGAGTCCCCCTATTGTGTTGCAAACATGGTAGCATCTGGCCACACTTGATTCTTCTCGAAAAAATATGTATACAAATTAAAAATAATAAAATACAAATAATGTAATTTCACAGTAAATCAGCAATATGAATAATTGCATTTTCGAATTGGAATATGAGTATGTTGTGTTAAAGGTACGTAAGAGCATTTAAACTATAAACACATGCATATTTACATGTTTACACGATGTATGTATTGCATTGATATACATATATATTGTAAGAACGAACTTATTGAAGAAAATGTAAAATACTTTTTTCAGATAAATGGAAATGATATTAGTCATTTGCCGAGATATGAAGCGGTTCAAATGTTCCTTCAAACTAAAGAAACCATTGTAGTCGAATTGTGCCGGCAGAAGCAAAACGCCTTAGACATAGAAATTAATATAGAAACTCGCTTGGAAAACAAAGTTGATAGCATATTGCCATTTGATCAAAGCGAATTGGCAACAGTTGAAAAGTTAAATACATCACCGACAACCAGTGCCTCACAAAACGTAAAGTCAACTTCGTTGTTGATTGCCAGCCCCAGCCCTCCATTAGCACCAGTGTCGCAAGCAAACTCAAAGAACGACAATCAAATTATTTTAACACTTCGTGCATTAAATAACGAAGAGTCTGCAGTTCCGCCTGTCGAAGTTTTCTCGGCCGTTTCCGTGTCGAAGGAAACTCAAACTTCAGCCGAAAACCTTAAGGAACAGGATATAGTACGCACGATAGCCGATCACTTCATTGAGCAAGAACATCATTTGTTTGAACAATGTCTGGAGCCGGAAATTGATATTGAGGTATTTTGACAAGATTAAAATATGAATAGTCTCATATATACATAAGTATGGTTTTAATTTACAGGAAATAACTTTAGTTAAGACGATTGATGATTCAACCACTGAAAAGTTAGGTATTAATGTTTGCTGCAATGGATATCAGGCTTCAAATATCGACATTAGCCGAGGGGACGTAATATCTGACGAGGCTGAGGCTGATGCTGATGCTGATGCTGATGCTGATGTATGCGAAGATGTATTTATTAGTGATATTGAGCCGGAAGGTATAGCTCAACGCGATGGACGCCTTAGGCGGGGTGATCAAATTCTGCGCATCAACGGCATGGACGTTAAAAGCAAGGAAGAAGTTGAAGCTCAGATCGCAGGGAGTACCTTTGCAGTGACGCTTCTTGTTAGTCGCCTTCTATATCCAGTAAGTGTAAAAGTATATTTTTTTCTTCGTGACCACAAATGACTGCATAACTGTTTAGTGTAAAAATAGTTTGGACGATAAAATACATATATATGTGTACATGTTGATAGTAATAAAAGTATACATATGTAGCATACATAAATGCATCGCAAAGTACATACTTATGTTGATCTCTTCCTACACAGAACTATGTCAGCTTTTGTGTGTTTAATGCAAATGTAGCCTTGCTTTTTTTTTAACTATTTCTCTAAAATCTCTAAAAATTTGTTTGAAAGGAAGACGACGATGACGAAGACATTGAGAGTAACTTTGAATACGCTAATAGCTTTCTCCGCGATGATTACACAAATGTGGTCGATAAATTGGACAAGGTCTTGCTGAGCCAAGTGCAGACCATAAAGACTCTTAGTGTAACAACCAATGAACCGGTCAGCAACACCACCAAAAATTCGTCTCCAACAACCCAACAGAATTCCGATCCGAACGTTAACGTTAGAACTTATGTGCCAAAAGTCATTCTGGAGACATCTGAAAAAGCGTGCAGCAAAACAAAGTTTCGCACAGACGAAAACTTGAGCCATGTAAAAGCGTTAAATCAATTCATGAACAAAAGCTGTCAGTCTCATCACCCTTATGAGTATGATGAAAGCGAGCATATTTATGAGACCATTCCTGAAGATTCGGAATCAGAACCGTTATACTGTTCCCCGTATCAAAGCTCTAACTATATGACGGCGATGGGCTCCTGCTCATCAGCAACAGCCACAGGCATAGGTGGAATAGAAACTGAAGCAATGGAAACGAAAATGCAGCAGCAAACTCAACGTGTTGCCCAATGGCTGGGCCTTAAGTCACAGTGCCACGGCCACGGCAGTTCCAGTCCAAGGACAATGCACACTCTAGTAGGTCGTCCCGCTGTCCTAAAATCTACCCAACAGCCTGCGTGCAGTCGTGTGTTCACACTCCGCAGTACATTAACAAATACAAGTCGATCAAGCAGCAGTGGAGCCGCGCACAGTGCATGTGGACCCAACAACGTCGACATCGGAGGCCACGCTATGCTGGGCGATGAAATTGACAACTCATCGAGTGCCTACAACACTGGTGGGTCAAATAGCGCTTCGCCCCATCAAAATCAGATTTCAAATGCTGGTGACGAAGCGCCAATTAGTGCAAACCAAATTGGCAAAATGGCTGAGAGCCAGAACCCACCCATTCTCTCACCAAAAGAAGCGATTGTAACCACTACTGCGAGCAGTATGTTGATGTTACCATTTGGTAGGTCTGGCCGCATCGGTCTTTGCTCTTCCAATTTTCCCTCGACGTATCTCGGTGGTAGGAATTCAACTTGATTCATTTATGAGCTCTTGAAGGTTTTATTTATATTTGTAAAATTTAACATATTTCAGAAAGCCCGCCCAAAGCATGCAACGAGGAGGAAAACCATCAGCACAAGACTGATCTCAAATTAATGCGGATAAAGCCAGCAGAGGAGTTGCAAAGTCATTGTCCCCAATTTAATGCACCAAATCTGAGCCGCTATCACTTCGTTAGTAGTCAAGAGGTAAGAAATTAGGAACATACGTGCTTTACTTTGTAGATCACAACTATTGATCTATCAACCTTAGTCGCAGTTGTATCTACATTCCCAAAATCTTGTATTTCAAATAGGTCGCAAATAAAAGCCACATTGCAGCCAGCTCAAAACATAGCTCAATACTGATAAGTGAAAATGGTGAGGAGATACCCATGGTTTGGAAAGTGAAGCGTCGTGCGGATGGAACACGATACATTGTAAAGCGGCCAGTACGTAATCGGGCGCACGTTGCTATTCGAAAAAATACGCGCAGTAATGAGTTTACTACGACAGAGGATGATACAGTGTCGGAAGTCAAAATCGGACGTTATTGGACTAAGGAGGAACGTAAACGACACATTGAACGAGCTCGTGAACGGCGCCATCATCAGCAGCAGCAGTAGCACCTACAATCTTAGTTTCACCATATACCATGCATATATGTATTAACTAAACACTACACAGCTTATACGAATACGAGTGTGACATGAAAAAAGTCGGAAAGATCTTTTTTGTGTAATGTGTTTTTGAAATGATGGGTTTCAAACGATATTGGGCGGAAACTTTATTATAAGAAATCTTAAATTGTGGTCGTTTATTGTTGTGCTCTTCAGGATTGTTCGCGAAGTCAAACAAATGTATTTTACCTTAAAGCTACAACGGCAATAACTTTAAATGCGAATTTGAAAAACAAATCTAGATTTTACTATTCACATTTGAAACATTGCCGAGTTCTGTGTTATGTATATATTTACAGCCATTTTTCATGCGACTGCAGATTTACAATAATGCCCAACAAATTATTTAATTAATTTGTATTCAGTTGAATATTTTGTATTATTAATCTTAATCAGATTTCGTCCAGTTATCGAGTTATGGCGAGCTAAAACTTTGAAAATACAGTTTGTATGGCTTGAAATGTAAATCCTGGGTTTTCTAAATAATTACAACCAACGTACTTTGTTCCCACAGTCTTTCTTTTCGATCGATCGTTCCTATGATATCTAGCTATTTACTATAGAAATCCCATTCATGCACAAGCTTGCATTGAAGCTGACATTATAAATTATTATACATATGTTTTTCAATACAATATTTTAATTGTTAGACCCTTTACAGAGGGTTTTTTGTTTTTCTAAACAAAGATTAGTTGCTTATATAACCTTACAAATTTAATAAAACCAACATACTTTTTTTTTAAACGCCAATATGTATATCAGATTATGTGTGTAACATTTTTCAGACGAATGTGATACGAGATACATTTATTAAGGACGTTTTCCACCATATGTATATTTCAAATCGTTTTGTTGTATAATCGATTTCTTTGCTCCGTGTTGTGAATGGGCTCCTGCACAGAGACTAAATTGAACTACGTCGTCCGTCATAATATTTTAACATTGCACAAATTGTTTTTAATATGGGAAGGACAAGAATTAGTAAAAAATTGTGAAATAGAGAAGTCGAGCCCAGAAGGGTTTCCGACCGATAAATTGTAATGGATAACGAGTTGTCAGCACGTATTATTTCCGACTACTGGCTCGGCTAGGAGGCTGGTGTTTCTTTGTTTTGCCATAGGCTGACACCCTTAATATCCTTAATCTTTATATACATATATATATATAAATTTATTCATTATTAGCACTAATAAAGTCAATATGCATAGCTATACCTGCAAACCTGACTGGCATATCCCAAGCCTCCAAAAATTTTCCTAATTCTATGGGATAAAGAGCACTTTAAGAAAGGACTGCGGAAACACATGCTGACTCACTACACTACTCGACAAAATCGAACTTTTAAAACTCAGGAAAAGTCGAAAAAAAACATATCCTTGTCCTTTTATTTTTTTGTGAATCTGTGCTTTAATTAGGCGCCATTTAAGGTATTGCTCATTAAAATCTATGGAGAGACGGCGGATCTAAAATTGGTTGAATAAAATAATTTTCGTGGGGTATGGTTTCATGTTCAGGACTGAAAAAAAGGCATGAAAGGCAGGCATAAAAATGTTGTTGTCGATGTTTTTAGTAAATGTACCCCACCTTATTATATCACAAATCAATGTTTGTTTACTTGGTATGTAATTCCAATTTTGATACATGTTAAATTCAAAAATGTCATAACAAGCATTGCTTGGTGGGCCAGCAACGGTAAAATGAGATTTTCGGAGGTTTGGTCAACCAATTTTAGATCCGTCGTCTCCATAGATTTTAATGAGCAATACCTTAAACGACGCACAAAAATCTTCATTTTTGCATTTGAAAGCTTAATATTTCCCAAACGGTAAGCTGAAATCACAGTCTTTGGGTCTAATTTATAGCTGCATCAATTAGCTTTTCAGAATGGTAAAGTTTTTTACCACCAAATGTAAGATACTTAAATTATGTGAAAAAATCGCTACCCTACCCTTAAAAAAAGCATTCAAAAAGAGTTAAGGCGTATATTATATTTGTGGATGTGTGCAATAGCCATGTCCGTCTGTCCGTATATTTCAAAGTTTCACCCCGCCCCCACAAAGGACGAAAATCTGTGGCAGCCACAATTTTAAAGATACGATAAAACTAAAAACGCAGTATCGTACAGACCATATATTCCAGATTGCCGAATCTGAATCAGATCGGATCATAATTATAGCCAGAATGAAGAAATTAATTTTTAGATGCTTCCCCCACCTCCTCCAGCAAGAGACCCGCTACTCGAGATAATGCTAAACACATAAACATAATAGCCCATGGATCGGATGTAAGGCCGTTAAAGCAGCAGGAAGCATAAATTTTCTTCTGGTTCCAGTCACACTCGACAAAACAAATCAAGTGAAATATTGGTTTTTCCATGTATAAATATACTTTTGAAAATGACCGCCAACCTCATTTAACGCACAAAAAATTCTGACATTTTTCGCTCTCAATTCGTGGTGGTTTTTCAAAATTTGCTCTCTTTCAGCAACATGAGAATGTTGCACAGCATTGTTGTGCAACTTTGGTTGTTTTTCTTCTTCTTCCTGTTTGACGATTTTTTTTTTCTTCTTTTTCCTGTTTGACGAGTTTTTTTTTGATTTCGCGTTTCGAATTCGAATTGTTATTTCATGGTTATATTATGGTTATGTTATGTTATTTTATAGATTATAGATTATAGAATAGACATATTGTTTGTAATTTCAGGCTCCAATTAATGCAGAAAATACGCAGTCTTTGTTTTAAAGATATAAACGAAGTTTTACAGCTCATGGGTACCAATAATAGGTATCAGAACCGGGATAAATGTATATATAAAACCCAAACATGTGCATTAATAGGTAAAAAACATGTCAATCTAGGATAAAATCATAAATAATGTTTCAATGGAGCTTGGAACAAAACATTTAACATCAACTAAAAGAAATAAGGTATACAAAAGTACATACGCATAGAAGAGAACTTGGTTGACCAGCAACACTGACGTCACATTTAGTCAACATATCGTTTTATGCTTTGGCCGTTTTTGTTTGAACCTTTTTATGTAAACAATGCAATAAAAAGGATTTCTGAAAACTCGACAATCTTGTAAAAAATGTATGTATCTATCGGATAAAATTATTTTTTTAGGGCTGATAGGGCTAACTAGCTAGTAATATCAAACGGAATATCAAAATCGAGGAATATCAACGTCTTGTTGTGTCCGTCAGTATATTTACGGTATATTTTGATAATGAGAAGGTATATTTGAGTATATTTCTGTGGGTCAGGCGGTATATTTTATTGATAAATCCGTGGTCACACTGGTGCCGGTAAGTAAAATGTGCTAAGTCAACAATAACAAAAATTGTTTTATTAGGAAGAGCCTAAGTTTGTATTTATTAAACAAAAACCCGATCACATAAATTTGAAACCTGAACCCTAAAATGTGTTGTCTTATCTTATTGATCGTAATGGCCGATTTACGAAAGGCGTGTCAGGATACGTATACTGCCGGAATGTGTACCTAGCAATATACGTTTTCTAGTGTACATTTGTGTGTATGTCGATACGTACATACAATACAGCCACGCCACCCACTCCCACTGAGTGGGATGTAATGTATGTTTTACAACTGAATTGACGAATGTAATGAATGAACAGGACGTGGATATTAATTGAGTTGCGTGTGGTTGAATTTTAAAGTGCTACCAAAAGACCAAACAGTCGGCTATGAGATTGCACTGAGCCCCATACCCTACCCGTGTGAATGTGCGATGTGAGATGGAAACTGTATGTATGTGTTGTGGGTGTGTAGAGAGGGGCAGTAAGAGTAAGAGAGGAGCAGTTACAAGGGGTGAGTGACACAAAAGTTGCCGTAAGTTAGGGGTTGGTTATGAGCGGTGCGGTACTTGGTACGTCGGTTGCAGCAGCGCGGCTAAAACGTTGATGAACTGGCTACTTATTGAGAAAGGATATTGAAAAATGTTTAACAAATACTCACTGTTGACTTAAACTATGTAGTAATCCTAAATGTAAGTACGCACACGGAGTCATGAAAGAATACATATATCCGTATATATGTACATATATGCATATACATATGTTCAAATGTATGATGTAGAGGCATCCAATACACCCATGAGTACACCTATCCCTCCCATAAAAATGCCTGTGTGTGTATACCAAATGCATTTTCGGTCTTTTTGTATATTGCAGAAAATCAGGAAAGGAAAAACAAAACGAGCAAATGAAAATGCACTATATTTGAGCAACATACATTGGTAAAGTTGTGTAGCATTAAAAACGAGATATAATTTTAGAGCATAATGATATGTCTGGAATCCATATAAGCACGGATTTGAATGAATTCAGTGGCGTGAGTTCCGGTTCTGCTTCGATTTCCCTATCATCATCTTCAAGTTCGTCATCAGCATCGGCATCTGCATCTGCATCGAGCTCCACATCATCGTGTGAAAGGAAAGTGGTATTGTACTAGGAGGGAACATTAGCAGCTGCCCGATATTAAAAATTGGCACTAAAGATTTAGTCTTGTTTCAAAGTAAAGACCCCTAAACTATTAGAATGTCGGCGCAAATAGCACCAAAGATGTTGAACGATAGTATGCCGGACTCAATTCATAAGAATAATCCTGGGCATCATCAAATGATCGAACAGCCAAAAGTTCATGCGTCGTCGATGCCACTAACCGACGATCCGCGAACATTGCAATTGGCGTTGGAACTATCATTGGTCGGGCTAAATGACAATCAACACTGCTATGGCCAACCTGCACTACCCGTCACGATACACAACGACTTTGAAATAGGCTCCATCAATGTGGTGCCGGCCGTTTTCTCTAAAACGGACAACACCCTGCCTCTATCTGGAGTATCTGGTTCCGGTCTTTTATTACCCACTGCCGCTACCGTTGGCGTTGAAGACCGATCAAAGAAGTCTCAAAATATGACCGAATGTGTGCCAGTTCCGAGCTCAGAACATGTCGCCGAAATAGTGGGTCGGCAGGGTAAGTGCCTTTAAATGTAAATAAATATTCCGTAGACATAAAATATATGTGTGTGTGTGTGTGAACACTGTGAATGTTGATAGCCATATTATCTGGATATATGTACATATCTATATACATATGTATTAGGCAAGACATTGACAGATCAGCACACAGGCCAATGTTTATAATTCGAATGGCAAGACCACATCTCAATTAGCTGACGCTCGATCTTCGACTTCTTTACTGATACTTAAAAATAAGTCAACGCCGTCTTAGGTGACTCTCCCTCTTCCAGTGGGGGTTGGCTTAGCGAAAAATCGCACCACTTAGTGGGACTCGTACTTGCAATGTTCGATACATACATATGTATGTAGTCCATTCCATTCAATTGTGAAAGTTATTTTTTCCACCAGTGTCAGCACTACCAAAGAATTATTTAATGGCGCCCTTTAGGTCGGCCATATTTGTATGAATCTGTTACGAGCTAGTTCCGTTTAATGAGCAGCTTAATGAATATATTTGAATGTTTATTTGGCTGCATCTGTAGTTATCTCCAAAATATGGTAGAAACAGACAGTACGACGGCCCAATATTGAATTTCTTATTAGATTAACATCAACAGATTGTATTTTGTTTGATAATTACCGTTTCTCCATATTTAGGGTGCAAGATCAAGGCTTTAAGGGCTAAAACAAATACATACATCAAGACTCCAGTTCGCGGAGAGGAGCCGGTATTTGTAGTTACTGGTCGCAAGGAAGACGTAAACAAGGCAAAACGAGAAATACTTTCTGCAGCAGATCACTTTAGCTTGATACGAGCGTCTCGAAAACCTTCGATTGAGGGTCACAATAGCGGATTGACGGGAAATATGAACGACTCGGGCTCATCGGGATCGAGTGGCAGTGCAGGTCCTGTATCGCGAATGCAGTCTGGACCCCCATGTTTGCCCGGCCAGGTTACCATACAGGTACGTGTACCTTATCGGGTTGTGGGTCTTGTGGTTGGACCCAAAGGTGCCACAATTAAACACATCCAACAGGAGACACAAACATACATTGTGACGCCATCGCGCGAGAAGGAGCCTATTTTTGAGGTGACTGGTTTGCCTGACAACGTAGACACGGCCCGAAAGCAAATTGAAGCACACATTGCCCTTCGAACTGGATCCGGGTCTGGAAATGGTGCTGGTGCTGGTACTGGCGGTGCTGGACAAGGATGTGAACTGCTCGATACGCAGGAGTTTGGGACACAGCCAACAATAAATTCATTAACACAGATTCTGAACGATGATCTAAACTCGGAAATACTGTCATCCATCTACAAAAGTGTTATCTCGCCTGCTCTGGACTATGGCGATAACACACTAAAGATGGTTGGTGGCACTGTGGATAGTCTCAACATGAATAATGTGAAACTAATGCCGGATCATCATTTAAGGAACGGTTATCAGAAGTCGGAATTAGCTGACATGGACATGCCACCGATTGTATTGGCTTCAGCCACATCGGATAACCATTTTTCAGCCAGTGAAGCTCAAATGCCACCAGCAAAAGTTACTAATGTGTACCGTATTACGAACAAAACCTTGTCATTCTGTCCACCGACATCCGCGTCTATGAATTCCAACTCTGGCTCAAATATACTAACCAGATCATGTTCATCAGCGTCCTCAACCGCTTCGACAAAGAGCACAAACAATAGCGCCAACACTCCTCCAGAACTATTGAATATATGGAAAAACATAAGCGACTCGATTGATGTGGATGAAGGCATTGGAGACTCGCCGAGCATTTGGAATCTTCCAGCGAACACTATACCCACCGCCCATTGCTCGCCCACAACCTCAATAAGTCCGACGGACTCTCTTTTGGGGCTTGGAGAGCACTCAGTAAACCAAAATATTTCTCGACACATTAGAGAATCGTCATGTACCAGTCAGCAAAGAGCAGCCTCGGTTCAATTTCAACCCAATTCCAGCACCGACAAATTATCTATGCAGCGCGAGTGCTTTGTGTGCAACGAAAATGAAGTAACCACAGCGTTGGTTCCGTGCGGCCACAATATGTTCTGCATGGACTGTGCCAATCAAATCTGCGTTTCCATGGAAGCCGCATGCCCGATTTGCAACTCAATTGTTTATCACGCGATGCGCATTTTAGGTTAAATATAGCCCTAAATAAACAAGGTTTCTGTTTAATCGTTGAGCGATATGAGGTACAATCCAAGTTAGTTCGCAAAATTATTCGCATATTTTGTAAATCAATTGATAATTAATTTAACTTAAAGATACATATAACGAAATCGTTCAAAATAATATTCCTTGCTTTTTGGAATACATATGTACATGTTCTGATTTTTTGGCAGTAGCTTCCGACGCTATGTTCACATAAAATGCATAAATTTCGGATATCGATCATCTGCAGGGTTTATCCTCAAAGATTCGATCACTTGTCGAAAACCAAGTCATTCTGAGAACATACATTTTTTGTAGCTGCCACAGAAAAATCGATCAATCATCAATCGATCTGCGATTCCACCTTAATTTCCGATTATTTGTTGTCGAAAGATAAATGTTCTACCATTTATTTTCTGCGTTGCTACCATTAACACAAGAAATATTTAATTTAAATTTTTTCGTTTTCAATGCCAGATTGCTTTTTAACCCTTGCAAATTTTGTGCAGCGGGCTAGTTGAAATTTCATTGAAAACTTTGTTCACGTTTTCCCATTTTATACCGTATTTTCTCTTAAAAAAATTATAAGGTCAAAGATACAACAACATCTTTTCATGCAATGGCTTGCTCTAATTTGATTGTCGTGTGAGATGATATGATTTAGGAAATCGTATATTTTTATATTACAATATATGTATGTATAAGTTTTAAAAAGAAAACATTTTCAAATAGGTTTGTATGTATGTATAGGTACTTACATACATATGTAGGAGTGAATAATGTGCTTCAAATTTCAATCAAATACTTTTCACAAACCAAATGTTTTTGCTTCAGTGTTTCGAAACGATTTAAGTGATTAGCTCCAGATTTTTATGGTTATCATATTGTAGCAACATTTTTAGACGACATACATAAATACATGCATTCATACATACATACATATGTAGGACACAAATATGAAGCGATAATGGTAATTCTCGCATTAAAGAATTACAAAATTTATAAAAACGAAATTTCAAAATTAACTTGGGGTCTAAACACTGAATGTACGACACTAGTTTACAGAAAGGAAGTAATACAAAATAAGTTGACTGATAAATAGGCATAAATATTAAGACCAGCACATATGCATACATAGATAATGTCAGACACAAATATCATATAACAAATTATATTTATTTATAAATATGATGCATTGTATGTATGAGCAACATGTGACAACTACCTATATAAAGCTTACGATTAATGTGAATAAAAAGACTTATATATTTATAGTCAATCATATTTAATATTGATAATACAGTGTCTATTGCGCAGTATACTAGACGAGATAATTAGCCACATTTCCTGACTCCTGTTCTGTTTCAAAACTACACTTTTGTTATACATACATGAAGTATGAACATTTTAAGATTACATTACCCAAGATTGTAGCAATACATATGTATATCTAGTCCACATTATCTTAATAGAGGCTGTTTTTCTCTTAGTTATTATATTTGATTTTATAAACAATTTTAAAGGTCAAAGATACAAACGAGTGAGACTAAATAAAGTTTATTGAAAGCGCAAAACATACATTTAGCATTATTAAAAATACATCACATTTAAATAGTACAATTTAATTTATTAAATGAATCATAAAAAATGTATGAATATAAAGCATATATATATATATATATGTATACGTACATTTTCTATGATTTTACATAGTCCTAAAAGAATATTCTTCGTAATATATAATACTAATATAAGACATAGGTACAGTACGTTTCCATAAATACGAAGGATCAGTATTTCAGAATTAATTAACTATAGAATCAAAGTACTATAGTGGGGAATACATAGTTTGATTGTTGTATTTATTTTTTAACCTGCACCAATGATTGGGCCAAATCCAAAGTATATTTTGGAAAATATTTACTTTATCTTATTAAAGGCTTTGGTTCATCAACAGATTAAATTAGAAAATTTGCAATAAGTATTTGTTACTGTTTAAAATTAGAATATATATTTAATATTTATGTTGTTATTCAAATTTCACTACTTTGTTTGTCACAACTACAGAATGACTTACAGTCTGAGCAGACCAATACAAAGCTATTCTTGCAAACAAAACTGCTAGTCGAATGTTTCAATTATGTTAAGAATTTCTACCAAATGGTCTCTCTGGTAAAATTATGGTCTTAGCAATTTTTGGTGCTATTAACAATTATCATTATAATAAATTGATTAGAGAGTGTGAGTGCTGAAAGAAAGTGAATATGTATGTTAGGTTACATTACTCGACAAAACTGAACTTTTTTCCGCTTCGAAGCAAACCGACTTTTTTCAGTAGATTGGGAGCTTTAATTTTTTAAAAGAAAAATGTTTTTTTTAAGAATTTTTGAATACTGTATATTTATTTTTAAAGCTTTTACAGAGCTTTTTTAAAGCTTTTGATCAATTAACTTAAGTATCTTACATTTGGTTTTAATGAACTTTTCCTTTCTGAAAAGCTAATTGATGCAGCTATAAATTATACCCAAATATTAAGCTTTCAAATGCAAAAATTATGATCTATGTGCGGTATTTTTTTTCAAAATTTTGTCTTTAAAAACTAAGGAAAAGTCGAAAAAAATATATCCTGGGTCCTTTTTTTTGTTTATAGGTGCATTAATTCAGCGTTATTGTTATTATTATTAAGTTATTGTTGATTAAAATCTATTGAGAGACGGCGGATCTAAAATTGGTTGACAAAACCTCCAAAAAATCACATTGCATTTGAAAGCTTAAGCTGAAATCACAGTCTTTGGGCCTAATTTATATCTGCATCAATTAGCTTTACAGAATGGAAAAGTTCATTACAACCAAATGTAAGATACTTAAGTGAACTTACTGAAAAAAAGCGTTACCTCTGAAAAAAGCTTTAAAATAAAATAGCAGTTTTCAAAAATTCTTAAAACAAAAAGTTCTGCCATAGAAACAAAAAATTATCACTAAGCATGTTTAAAGTCACAAATCTATAAAACAAAATTGGGTTGGTTCGAAGCGGCGAAATGGTGTCGGGTAGTGTAATCAAAGGCAAACTCCTGCTTGTGTTTTGTTAGAGGAAAAGGTAACTCTAAATCCCACTATTTTCAAAATTCGGATTTAGTACCCACTGCCACCGATTTAAGACGAGAGAATTTTTTTGTTTTTAATTTGATAATTAGTTTTGCAAAATTTTACAAGATAGTCTTCCATGTTTTATATTTATTTATACCCAAATTCGAATAGTTCCTTTTCGTATTATTTCCTTGTGATTAGGCCCAAATTAAAACTTATTTTCAAGTTTTTTTGAACGGTTAACATACATAAATTTGTACGTAAATACCAAACTGCGAAAAAATATTTTTTTACTCAGTATATAAGGTTTTACATTAAACTTCTTATAGAGGGCGGTTAGTATATTTACAACGAATATTTTACAATGTAAACGGGAAAAGTACATATATAAATCAATAATTTAAACAGAACAAACAGAAAAATATATTTAACATACTTATATTATATCTATAAATATATATATATATATATACATAAAATATTTAAATATAAAGTATAAGATTAAGTAAGTTGCTCCTTAAAGAAAATATATATATATATATATATTATTAATTATCCATATTGTGTTCGAGAAAATATATAATATCTTAAAAGTACATTTCATAAATCGACTTTAATCGGCTTACTCTTTTTACAGATTAGTAACCAAACCAAGACATAAATGCCGAGAACCTTAACTTTATATGAGAAATATATATGAAAATAAAAATATATACATAGCAATGTATCCCTAACTGGTTATATAATAAATTTTTCGGAAATATGCGTTGACTTATTTTTACAACCGTTACTCGCAGTATTTGCAAATGCATAATTAGTTTGCCATTGATTATTTTGCCTTATTTTGATTCAAAACTGTAGACACTCTTTTAGGGGATTTTCCACGAGCTATTGTTTTGCCCCTTTCCTTTTTTTGTTCCAGGACCACCGAGAAGACATGACAAATGATTTTAGCACTGCTAAAAAATGTCCACTGTGCAAAATCAACACAATTATTCGCAGCCGCACTCGGGCATGACAAGTCATGAAATGGGAATAATCGTTAAGGGTATAAATCTTTTTAGTTATACTCGTACATTACGTCACTAAGCAAACAACACATACAGGCGTCAAATCGACTAAAAACTGCCTGCATCAAATTTTTGGACGATTGGCTCCCAGGCCTTCGGTCGGGAGCCGATAGCTTCGCCAGGGCACTCGGCTTTCTCCGGCTTGAGCCGAGAGAGACCGCCTTTGCAGCTGTGTCGAATATAAACCGTCTGCGTGTGTAGCTATACCTGTATGCGTGTTCTCTGACTCATGACGGGATACGAAAGCTAGACGAGCATTGCAAATGCATGTGTGTAATCAGACACAACAAAATATTTATCAATTCTTATTTTCCGAAACCGTCTTTGTTTTGAGTTTTCAGGTTACGTAAATGTGTGTGTGTCATGTATTCTCACATACTGTGCTTGTATGTGGGTTCTACAATTTTTGGCCTTCGTAAATACCTCGGCCGTGTCGAGTCGACTGACAGAATACATCAACAAAATATGAAGTCTGACGACGGGAATAGGTCCAGGGCCGGATTAGCAGTTGCCTAGGGCCCCCTACGGATAACAGAAAAAGTTTGTTGAAAAAACAAAACTCCAAATAATGAATAAAAAACATAATAGCCACTGAGAAAAATACAAAATAAAGGAGGACCCCCAAATTGATGGTTGCCCAGGCCTTGGTTGAGGGTTGATCCGGCCCTGAATAGGTCGAGTCTGGTTTTAAAGTTGTTAGAGGACACAAATACAGGCATAGTTACACACGCACACGGTTTATATTCGACACAGCTGCAAAGGCGGTCTCTCTCGGCTCAAGCCGGAGAGAGCCGAGTGCCCTGCCGAAGCTATCGGCTCCCGACCGAAGGCCTGGGAGCCAATCGTCCAAAAATTGTATGCAGGCAGTTTTTAGTCGATTTGACGCCTCTATGTGTTGTTTGCTTAGTGATTACGTGTACGTTGACGATATCATGATTTCATGATTTCAATCTCCGTAATTGTTTCCTTCCCTTTAGCTCCGTGCAATGAGCTTCCCGCATGAGTTGACCGCGGTCAGCTTCTCACCGCTGACATTTCAAGTAGGGTCATGAAAATGGCAAATATTGTGCGATCATAACTAGGAGTAGCGGATTTCGGCTTAGATGTTGCCCGAGCCCATATTTTACTTGTCAAATTCACTCGTCCATACGGGCTTTCTAACTGCTTACCCCATCTATCTATTTGTCATAGTAGCTTTAACATCATATTTTGCAGCACCTTAATGAACTGGCCCTATCGTTCTCGATCCTCGATCAAAAAATCGTGGTTTATAAATACTGAGTGCTACTTTTACAATTACTTAAGACTTTATTTAAGAAAATAATGTACAATATATAATGTATAATAATAATAACAATAACAATAATGTATATGTGTTGCTTCAAACCAGACTGACTATTCCCAGTCAATACGGCAGACTACCCAATCCATTTGTTAAGTTGCATAAGTTACACAAATATTTCTCTTATTTTTACGTATTCAACCAAAACGTCCCGTTTTTGTTGTTAGGTGCTCCTGATTTTACAAATTATTGTCATCGATATGTTTCACTTTCTCTTGTCGCATCCATTTCTGGGATGGTCCGTAAGGTTTTGCCGTTCCGAAAAATTTCCAGCTATTTCACCAACCGTCAGGGATGTTCCTAGTCCGCGCGTTTCTCTGCGATATTTATTCGATAATTTTCCAATGCAACCATAAATAACACTAGTCAACACTAGAATTAGGCTGTGGCCAAAAAAACCTTTTTCTGATAGATTTCGGGGTTTAAAATATTTTAACGAATTATAGTGTAGTTTTTTTTAAAGAATTTTTTAAAATCTGGTATTTTTTTATGTTTTTTTTCAGAGGTAGTGCTTCTATTTTTCACATAACTTAAGTATTTAAGAAATTTTGATTTTAAAAACTCGGGAAAAGTCGAAAAAAAAATAATTCTTGGCCAACATTTTTGGTTTTAGATAGACGCATTAATTAGGCGTCGTCTAAGGTATTGCTCATCAAAATCTATGGATAAACGGTCAGCTTTTCGGAACTGCAAACATCTTTGCAACCAGATATAAGAAACTTAAGTTATGGGAAAAATAGAAGCACAACATCTGAAAAAAACCATGAAAAAAATACCAAATTTTAAACATGACACAATAAAAAAAACGAGAAGGAACGTGTGAGTCGCTTCTCGGGACGCGACTCTACTTATACCCGTACTCAGTCAGTATATACATTTTTGAGCTTATGATTTTTAAGAATTTTAGAATTTAAATAAATTTTTACATTTTTTTGCTACATCTACAATGTATATTTTACATCTAACATGTAGATTATAGATGTACCATTTATATTCTACATCTCCTCCGCTAGGGGTTGTTCGCGAACTGAACGCGGAAGAGTGTGCGAGCGAGAAAGAGAATGAGTAGCGGTTCTCTGGCAGGGGGTGGCAGAGGAAGCAACAAAAAATGAATTTCTTCATTCTGGCTATAATTATGATCCGATCTGATTCAGATTCGGCAATCTGGTAGATATGGTCAATTTCTACGATACTGCGTATAAAAAATGTGCCTGCCACAGATTTTCGTCCTTTGTGGGGGCGGGGCGAAATTTTGAAATACACTTGTAGCAGTGTGATATCACATGAGTCTGGAAACCAAATTTGGGTACCCTAACTCTTATAGTCTCTGAGATCCAGGCGCTCAACAAGACGGACGGACAGACAGACATGGCTATATCGAATCGGCTATTGATGCTGATCAAGAATATATATACTTTATGGGGTCGGAAAAGTTTCCTTCTCTGCGTTACACACATCCACTTTTACCACAAATCTAATATACCCCTTAACTCTTTTTTGAGTACGGGTATAATAATAAAGTACTACAAAAGTTTTTAAATCCGGAAATCTATCAGAAAAAGTCATTTTGGTTCACAGCCTAAATAAAAAGTTCAATTTTGTCGAGTAGTGTAATTGACACCACAACGAAAAACTGAAATTCACTGAGAAACTGTAAACAATGACTGACAAAAAGACATGGGAAAAAAACAACAGCACACAGTCCATTAGCTGTTTCCGCTTATATAGAGATTGCCCAGTCCATGATAACGGGTGGAATCAAACCTGAAGAAATTCGAGAACTAGGCGTGTCGATGGAATATCTCAGTGAACCCGGAGAAGTGCGTGGTGGTGACCCACACGCTCCGAAGAGAAACGTGTCCCGGAGTCTTCCCACACGGAAGGAGTGGAAGCGGAAAGAGTGTAGATACCTGGGAGTTACTCTAGACATTCGCCTGACCTTTTCCAGACATCAAGATTGTTAGAGGTGTCCGGAGGCAGGCCAGCTCTACAGGCTCCTAAAACCCAACAGCAATCTAAGCCTATCTAACAAGATCCTCATCTACAAGGTCAGCTTGGCACCCGTATGGTGGTATGACTTCCAGGTGTACGGAACGGCAGCCAAATCGCCCCTGAATATGATCAGGGTGTTCCAGAGCAAGGTCCTCCGTATGGCAACTGGAGCTGACTGGTATATCCGCAACAGAGACACTGGGGTCGCCCCAGTGCGCATGCTGAGTGCTATTTGACAAAGCTTAGTCATCACCCGAACGTTTTGGCAACAAGACTCCCGCGAAACGGAACCTGATGTCGACTAAAACGATTTTACCCGGCAGATCTAGCTACTAGGAAAATTTAATATATCTTCAAACCACCTGAACCCTAGTTTCACAACCCCCTTGTAAGTAGAAATTGTCCATAGCCCCTTAACATAAGTTGCTACTAAAAGTAACAGTAAGTTAAATAATTTTTTTTCTGTGTTTGCGATATTTTTGTAACAATTTAAAAACAATGATAAATTAATGTAAACAAAAATTTTATTCTTAATAAACAACATTGTCCGCAATAATCTTTGTTATTTTATGCTCATAATCTATTTTTCCATGGATGGTTAATGGTGCCAGTGTGAATCGGTGTTTCATATCTTTCAAAAATTACCAACGTTCCCCCGGGAAGTGCTCAGTATGCAGAGGGCTTTATTCCTATATATATATACATTTAAGCCAAATCGGGCAGCGATAGCTGATGCATTATTTGAGAGAAAAATGTGTTGGGTAAAAAAAATGTATGTATATTTTTTCATTTTAACAGATAGATACCAGATTTGTGTTTGCGTTTTATTATTTTATGCTTCATTATGAGTTAAAATAGGGCACATTTAATGGAAGGATCGCTTCTCCTGTATTATTTTCCCTTGTTCCAAATCAACGAATTAGTTTACTATATTTAGAAGACAAGATAGTGGTATTACGAGTTCGATACACACTATCGATATACAAACATCAATAGCTTCTATACATGTTATGATTTTTTTTCGTCTGTCTACCGGATATTTTTTACATATGTGGTTAGAGTGCCGTGGCGGCATTCGCACTCAGTAAATCAACAGCATAGCTCCGTGCCGTTAAAAATGTAGGCTAAATTGTTGCCTATGACTTAAAATGCAGAATTAATGCATGAATTGTACTTGTTTTATACAGATACATCTGTACATTATATTTGATTGGAAAAGAACGTTTGAAGTGCAGTGCTATTTTTGTATCTGGATCGGACTGGGACTTCGGACTCCACGGTATGGGAGAGTTGTACTAAAGCCATATTTATGTACATCACAAACTGATAAAGGGGGTGCAAATAAAGGTTTTTACTTGCTGCGAACATATATGTATGTATACGTTTGTGACTGAATGTGTACATACATATGTATGTACATACATTCTTAAATATTTATTGAAATAAACATATGTGTGTACATATGTATGTACACGTCACAGAACAATTTTAAAGTATTTTAATAATATTAAAATAATAAAAATGTTTTGCTGTTTTTTTAGATTTCAAATATGGCTATGCTACAAGGAATCCAGTCTTATTTTTCTAAACTAAGTCCTCTGGCAGAAAAAATTTCCCGCGATATAAGTCAGGTGAAATCGGCTTACAGTCCAGATGATTGGCTTGGGTTAACTTTGCCAGAGCAGGAAAATATTGTCAACAATCATTTTATCAAACCTGAAATATATATTAAGTACTTCAATAAGACTAAACCGGAATGTTCACCGAAAGATAAAATCGACAGTCCTAAGCTGGGAACTCAAACTAAAGAAAATATTTCTAAAGACGAACACCAGCACAGGCATATGAACGACGTTATATATACCTTTAACGGTAAAAACCTGCACTCCTTTATTTTTCAGAACGTGGGTCTGAAAGTTTTACACGATGAAAATACAGGAGACTACCGCGATGAGCATTCGTTCCCTTTTAGCTACCGAACCAAATCACAAATAAATATTCCATCGGCTTTTAGTGATAATGTTGATATACATCCGGTTTCCACAGATGTGTGCCATCAAATTATCCTTTTAAAAGTCGAAAAGGAAACAATGCACGCTCGGCCAACAACTGATCTTAGTGTTGCAAAAGAAATTAATAATACAAGTCGGAGGGTATCGTCCATGCACGAATACGATCGACTAAATCAGAGAAGATATGATGACGGAACATGTAGCTTTAATACAGATGAAAAATCAAATCTCTTGTCCAATTTTGGCTCAAAAAATAGTATCGCGTCAGATTTGTCTGATGAAAATGAATCCAAAGATCTCTTTCAAGAAGAAAATGCTAAACTTCTATCCCCAGCAGTGCAAATACCGCAAGGCTTCGATTTTTTAAGTAATTGGTAGGGCCCGTATCACTTGTATTTGATTATAAAATGATTCGCAATAAAATACACATTGTCGAGAATTCATTATGAGAACTATTAAGTTGTTATTTGCCTCGAGCCCTCTAGACAAGATCCTTTGAGTTTAAAAACTCGGGAAAAGTCGAAAAAAATAGTTTAATTATAAATATAAAAAATAAATATTCTTGGCACGCATTTTAAGTTTTAGATAGACGCATTAATTAGGCGTCTAAAATTCGTTAACCCAACCTAAAAAAATGAAAAAATAGACGAAATACTTTTTGGAAGGTTGCGGGCCGAACTTGCCGATTGGGAACAAAGCAAACGAAAAGGGGTTGAATTGTTGGTTTGAACCTGAACCTGAAAGTGCTGCATTTGCCAGCTTTTCAGAACTGCAAAACAGATATAAGATACTTAAATTATGTGAAGCACTACCTCTGAAAACAAACATGACAAAAATACCGGATTTTTAAAACTCTTTAAAAACTATACATATTTTTAAATCCCTAAATCTAAAAAGTCATTTTGGTCCACAGCGGGATTTTTCAATTTTGTCAATTTTTATTGACAGCAAAAAAACGGCATACGTTTCTGCGAACAGTTTAACTAAAAATATAAACCATAGCTGAACTTCCTGATTTTCTCCAATCCTTACTTCATTGACAGTAAATAAAAATTACAAATATAAATATCCTATTATCAATATGAACTAGTTTCTAAGTTTCGATATTAATTTTATTAATTTTTGAAAAATGTATATTTAACAAATGAAATGTAACAAAGAACAGAATAAGGAGCTGTCTGCTTGAAAAACAAACAAAAATTTGTTTGTTCAAACTTTGGCCCATCCTGACAACATAAACACAAAATATCTACAATTGGCTATTAGTAGGTGTTTTTACAGCTCGCGTTGTAATGTACCAACCAGGAGTAGCCTTCTGTTTACGATTCTAAGGCATTCAAGTCAACGAATTGCCATTTTCTTGCAGGAAGCCCAGATTAAACTAACTTATCATAAGCAAGAGAAAACCAATGACTCTAGACAGTTTTTGAAAGTAAGTGGAAACATATTTAAGCTTTTACCATAAATGGTTTGTTTTTTAATGGATTTGAATGCTGCGAAAAGTTTTGGTAAAAAACATATAAGCTACCAAAAACAAAAACAAAAATAGACAATTTACGTCTCGTCTGCATAGATTTTAATTGATTTATGAACAGGCACATTCCAGAACTTGCATGTCACTCCACGTTGAAATCTTTAGCTTATCGGTGTGCTCTTCGTCCACATGCAATATTTCTAGGACTTCGAGCTTTGAAGGGGCACAGCATGGACGAGGCGCTCGACTGCTATCTTGTTGCCATATAAGACTTTGCAAGAGGGCATGATGATGGGCAGGGTTGTGGCGGGGTGGACAGCGGCCATGGCAATAGCCTGCATCAAACATTTTGGGTTGTAATATGAACTCAAAGCCCTTAATTTCCTTGAAGACCACATCCAACTGATGTCTACAGCATCGCTGGTGCACTTTGTAGCAACTATTATTCCACTTTTCCCTACGCCAGCCCATATCTTGGTCCGAACGATGATGAAAATAATTGTCGCTTCTATTATTAGTCAGCACTAAGTGTTGCACTCCGACTCCGACGTCACCTTCACGATGGCTTTGCATATCCCCGTGACCGATGATATTTAGGACTGGCATAAGATGAAACCGGTCACTGTCCGCGGATGCTGACTTGGCAGATGCTGTCATTAATGGAGCGGACGGGCTGACATCGCTTAATATGCGCGCTCCTATACTCCTACATCTATCGCATTGAATCTCTATACCCAAATTTTCATGACTTTTGTTTAACCAACCGCGAACAGCTTTGGTCACATCAAATTCCAGCCACTGGGTGCGGGTTTCTTCGTAATGCATATTTTCGAACTCTATTTTCCGGGACGCAAGCAGCCTTCGTCTATTTGAAGAAAGAAGCTGATATACTTTGAGATTCAATTTGCGGCTATGGACCCGCCCTCGCCTCTTCGATTCGTTACGCTGCTCAGCGTTAATGTCAATGACATCGCCATCTCCATCGTCATCGCTGGCATTACAATTCTTGTTGTTCTTGTTCTTCATCGAATTATCATTACCGAAATTCCGATTGAATTTTCTTTTGCCAGTTGCGGTTGCCTGCCATTGTCGATTGGTCGCAAGGGCTGAACTATAGAGTAGCATTAGCCTTATATTAGCCTCATCAATTTTATCGTGGTGAAAGTTGGCATCATTTACGTTTGTCAGCGGAAAGTGCAATAGAATATTGGTCTTATCACTTGGGTTAAATTGGATGTTCTCATTCGATTTTCTTCTCTTTGTTTGTCTTAATCCGCCCAGGTTTTTGACAGATCGCTTATGACGCCATCGTTTCTGACTTATGTCGTTAAAACTATTAGTTACAATGCTTAATATGTGTAAATCCGTGAGAGGGAACGACGCTCCAGAGTCGTCACTTAAATAGCTGACCCCTCTTCCATGATTGGTTCTAAGGCGGTCTAAGTATTCAACGTATTTTCTTGAGTATTCTACTTGGCTTATGTTCACCTGTAAATAGAAAAATTCCATGAAATAGATTTTTAAATACATGCTGATTCACTCGTTTACTCGCACGATTAAACGTTCGATCATCGAGTAGACACAACAAAGCCATACATACATATGTACATACATTCTTACATATGTATGCAAATTAAAAATATTCCTACCTTTCTCATATCTGGTAGCTTCTTCAATCCAAGACCATTCATTACCAGTCGCTTAAGTTTTGATTCATCAATCCGGTTACCGTTCGGCGACTTGTTGTTATAATTTTTTGTATTATTGTGGCTCTTGGCTTCCTGGCCGGCATTTCTTTTGTATCTTTTACGGATATTCTCAATTGGAATTGGAATACTGTTATTCTTCAACTTATTCTCAACTTCCATTGCTGAAATATTTGAGTTGGTCGACTGGGTCTCAGGGTGGCTTAGAATAATCAGACTATATATATTTGAACTTGTATTAAACGGCGACTCTCCCTCACCTCCTCCTCCTCTACTACTTTTTAAACTATTTTGTTGAGCGGAGATATCATTTATGTTTCTTTTAATGTTGTTACTTTTGGTTTGAGTTTCAGTTGATTGTAGTTGTTGATTGTTTAGACGGCTCTGGGTTCCACCGTTTGAACTTTGTAATTGCATACTCGTGTAGTTATAGCCAATTTCCACGCTAGCTTGCAGCGTATGGGCATTGTCGTTAACGTAAGCATTTGAATTTGACATTGGGCCAAAAATAGCTTGACCATTGGCTTGCAGGATCAGGAATGGCAATAGGAATATAATGACTAAGCATACCTGTGTTAAATTGTACAACGAATACTTTAGAAATGTAGTGGCAAGAGTATGCACTATAGCAAGCTTGGATTCAATCTGATTTGTACTCGACGCTGATATCAAAGTATCTGCCGGCCGTTTGGCACCTATTATATTTGTGGTACGACTGAAATAACAGTGGCAAAGAATCCATCTAGAACAGGTCGGCCTATCGCGATACAAGTGTATCTGTCTACAGGCCAAGCCATTTTTTGTACCCCTTGTAACGCAACCGCATTTATACAGATTACACCTTTTCGGTGCTTTTCGATAATTGGCCGGAAAATTTGGTTTACTCTCTATTATCATGTTTCTTCAACATGGCCATCAAGTTTCTGTGTATGATAATAATACTATGCTGTTGGTAATGGTAATATCGCCGATGTGGTTCGTCTATCCTTTCGCAATGTACACAGTGAGCCTCATTTTAGAATGACATCAATTTGTTCAATTCTTAGTATGTAAATTCACACATATAGTATAGTATGTATATGTAGGTATGTACATATGTATACGACAACGCACATTCCACACGTCATCTGTACAATACGTTGCTAGAGCATCTGTTTTCTTCCAGTTTCAAGAGTTGGTATTGCGGATGTACATATGTATGTATGTATTCAAGAAAACAACACAAAATACTGTTCCGTTTTAGTATAAGTAAGTAAATGAATGATCACAGTGTTTATCAAAAATTTGTACATATTTTTTTCTTTTTCACATTTATCAACAAATGCACGTCGCGGCGGCGGAACCTGTTCGATTGTACGGTTACGGCTGGTTCGGGCGTCAAAATACGACTAAATACTTAGTCGACTAAAATAAGATAGCAAATGCTTACTCAACAACAGTATAAACAGACTCTTGCCACTCACACGCCCACACGAACCAGCAGACACAGATACTCTTAAAAGCGATTGGAGATTCAGACACGCACACGAGCACGTTTTGTATGGTACATCCATGTGTGCATACTTGTGTATATATGTATATGCTTTCCATTTAGTGAATACCCCAACCTACATCTTTTCGTCAGCGTATGAGTACATGCCATACTTATTACAGAAGCTGATGCAGATGACACTCGCTTATAATTCTAGTGACTGACTGGTAAAAAGGCAGTATTGGATTGGATGCTAAAATTATACTTTCGAATTCATCGGCTTTATGTCTAATTTATTTATATATGTATGTACATATGTATGTATGTATGTATCATCTCAATCATGTTTAATGCACACCTATGTATATTATATACTATATTTAAATTCCAATCGGTCAGCGATTCTAGTTACATATCTTTCAGGACAGGGCAGGTGTTTGGATAGAAAGTACAATTCCTTGCGGTTGTTAAGAAAATGCACATGGAATAAATACAAAATAAACATATGTACGTACATATGTATGTACATATTTATTTACAACTCATGAATGGCATCGGTACGTTTAGATCAGCCCTCGCTGTTGCTATATCATGTTGCTATAGAAACTTCCATTCAAATTTTTTCATTCATGGGACTTTCTTGTCTGTAAATGTTGACATTCGTCTTCTCTTCCCTTTTGCAAAATATTTCTAGTCAATGTAAATTGGTGCAGTGTATGTACATACGTATGTATAATGGTGCATAGCATACCAAAAGTAGATATATGTTTCTTGCACATGCTTTTGATGGTTTGTTAATATACATATAACCTATGTACTTTGTTTTTTGTTTTTAAACCCTTATTCAGAAGTAGCGCTTTTTCACATAACTTAAGTATCTTTGCCATTTTGAAAAGCAATTGACAAAATTACGAAAGGTAAAACCGGTAAAATGTGATTTTCGGAGGTTTGGTCAACCAATTTTAGATCCGCCGTCTCTCAATAGATTTTAATGAGCAATACCTTAAACGACGCACCTATACACAAAAAAAAAGGACACAGGATGTATTTTTTTCGACTTTTCCTAAGTTTTTAAAGACAAAATTAAAAAAAAAAAAAAATACCGCACATAAATCATAATTTTTGCATTTGAAAGCTTCATATTTGCCAAACGGTAAGCTGCAATCTCAGTCTTTGGGTATAATTTATAGCTGCATCAATTAGCTTTTCAGAATGGCAAAGCTCACACAACCCACATCATCATTCTTCTGATCATTGCGCCTTATTACAACATCATAATTTTGCTTTGATACTGAAATGGATGATAAACAAGGAAGTGTTTTGGCAACAAAAAAATGTATACCATTGATGTCATTGATACTGTCATCCGTGTTATGGTATTAGAAGTAGTAGCAATGAAATAACGCCAAAAATTTCTCTTTCTCTAACACATCCCCCATCTCCGCATTCCTCTTCTTCCCCCTGACTCAAAAGAAGCACATAAAATAAAATATCGGGCGGCGACCGGAAAACCCTTATCTCTCTATTATTTTCTGTACCTCTTCTTCTTCTATCACTAACTTACTGACACACCCCCCTTATCTTCTTCTATCGCACTCCCCCACCCCAAAGAGAATACTCGTTATTTTAATTCCTGTTCCTCTTCTTCTTTCTCAAACTATCACACGCACCCCCCTTAATTTTCTTGTTCTTTCTCTTCCCACCAACCAAACTCTATTCTTGTTCTTACCCCTCTAACTCAGAAGAAGAAACGCTAAAAACCGAAAAAGCCCTTATTATACCCGTACTCAAAAAAGAGTTAAGGGGTATATTGTGTTTGTGGTAAAAGTGGATGTGTGTAACGCAGAGGAGGAAACGTTTCCGACCCCAAAAAGCATATATATTCTTGATCAGTATCAATAGCCGAGTCGATTTAGCCATGTCCGTCTGCCCGTCCGTCCGTCTGTCCGTCTCGATGAGCGCCTGGATCTCAGAGACTATAAGAGTTAGGGTAACCAAATTTGGTTTCCAGACTCATGTGATATCACACTGCTAAAAGTGTATTTCAAAATTTCGCCCCGCCCCCTTCCGCCCCAACAAAGGACGAAAATCTGTGGCATGCAAAATTTCGAAGATACGAGAAAACGGCCAATGCAGGATCGTAGAGAATGACCATATCTACCAGATTGCTGAATCTCTGATTCAGATCATAATCGGATCGGATCATAATTATAGCAAGAATAAAGAAATTAATTTTCAGTTGCTTCCCCCACCTCCTCTAGCACGAGACCACGCCTCATTCTCTTTCTCGCTCCCACACTCTGCCTCGTTCAGGGCGCGAGCGGACGCTAGCGGAGGAGATGTAGAAACTACATTTTAGATGGAGATGACATTTTTAGAATTGTACATAGAGCATAACCTCACATATTTGTATACTGCCTTGATTTTGGAAAGGATGCAGCGATTCATGATTTTCCCGAAGGTGGGAAGCAAGCTAGTTGGCCTGCAGATGCTCCTACTGCAGCATGTTCGGCAGTCGCCGGAGTTTGGGTGACAGCCGGGGCCAAGTGCAATGGGGTTGTTGATTTTGATTTTAGCTATTTAACAGAATGGGCCGCACGACCGATAGGATGTAGGACCAGTGAATTAGAGAAGATGAGAGACTTCGAAATGTTGTTAGGCATTGTTCACCGTTTCCTCCACATTGGGTGTCAACATCAGCTATCGTCCAACACTTTTTTTTGTGTCGGGAGCCGAAGTTGATCGATGCGGGAGATTGTGCAAGGGCACAAGGACGTATCTGTATTCTGTATCGTATCTCATATTCGATAATCGATAATACGTTAATTTAATTTGATGTTACATATATTTATTTGACACGACAAGCAACTTATAGCTATTTTTAAGGTAAATTACACGACAATATTTAAAGGACTTCCAAGGCATTTTCATATGTACTGAATGTTTTTGTGGGCATCGACATATTATACACGAATGTGGATGCTTGTCTGCTATCTCATTGACATTGCTCTATTGCTAAATATACTCTAACTTGTATGAGTAATTTTAAATTAAATTAACCATATTAATAAAATCTACGGATGACACTGCATCTGTACTGCAAAGCGAGTGCGGGGCAAATCCCATCCAAAAGCATAAAGCCCTAACTTTACTGTTAATGTCTGAATTATTTGGCATTCATATTTCTTTGGTTTGGGGATACTTACTACATCAGGCAAGTGGCGGTGGCCTACACTAACAGAGATGATAACTTCACCCTGACAGACATACAGAACAAAAATCAATTCATTCCTTATGAAAATAGATATTGTGAAACAGTGATCTGTCGATAAACTTAGTTTTGATATTTGATATATCGTAAGGCATTGTACGTGAGTGCTTCAGAGTTAGAATATTCATTATCTGAATTTTCCTAGAGTTCGAATCCAGCTTTCTACTTATGAGTAAGTACCACATGAAACACACTAAAAGTCATTCTAGAACTCCGATCGGCTTAATGTTATACATATGTACTCTCTAAACTAATGTTAAAGTTACACCACACATCGTGGAAATAATCATAGCACGACATAGTAGCGGCCCCAGTGCACAGTGTAACTCCAGCCCCAGATAAGGAGAGTTGGTCCGCAGCGAAAACAACGATTACAATAGTATCAAAAAATAAATTCAAGTGGAATTCGAACCGTCGATGTGGTCAACAAAGAGTGCCTTAATACTTTAGGAGGTAACTTAACTATGTCTATAATGAATTGAATTTAATCTCCTTAGCAATAGCCTCTCTCTGCATTTTCTCGCGTAACCGTGGTATGTCCTCGTCTATTCGTACTATCGCGCGGATTTTCTGTAAAAATATTGTGATTAAGCTCGAAAAAAATTATTTTATTATTTGTTTGTTTGTTAGTATACCTCGCACAAGTCGCCAGGTGTTCGTTTCCACAACCAGAACATGTATACTGGTATATACAGCATAGAGGACAACGCAGTGAACCAACCAAATGCATGAGCCCACCAGGGATAGTTGTAGTCCAGGTATTTTATAGGAGTCCATTGGACTATGTTGAAGAAAAAGACGCCCTGTCGGAAGGAAAGGAACAATTAATTAATTACCATACCGCATTACTTGTATAGATATGGCTGTAATATTTACCAGACATATAGCCGGGGTCGTGACACACCAGCAGAACTTCCACCAAACTGTGGGATAGTATCCAATCATATCCTTAATTCCATCATAAAATCGGTCGACTCCATAGCACCAGGATATTGAGACGCACTCAAAGAATATGAGCCACAGTAAGCAAAAACCGCTAACTGCATACGAATCTAGTATTTGGAAAATGTACATGCCGCCCTAAACGAAATTGTATTTTAAATACAGCTACGATGAGGTACAGCCTGATCCAAAAACTTACTTGTGTTATGCAGGTTAAGCCCACTAAATAGCTCAGGGCGCATACAATGGCAATAAAAATTTCTTTGCGTTTTCGGAGCAGCTGTGGCCACTCGTCGATAATTGCTGTAATGAAGCCCTCCATTGTACAGAACTGAGAATCCAAACCGATAAGCAGCAGCATGAAGAAGAAGAGGCAAGACCACATTGGCGAGCCCGGCAGCTGCAATACTGCCGACGGGTACACTAGGAACGCTAAGCCAGGACCTGTTTGAGAGCACACAAGTATGTTTATTTCACTATTGTTCAATGACAAAAAATGTACGAAGAAATGGTCTTGCTGTTTTATACAGGATGACAAACCTGATGCTGCCACCTCCGCCACAGGTCGCTGCTGTTCATGTGCCATAAATCCAATTACTGAGAATATTACGAATCCAGCGAACATACTCGTGCTGGAATTGACTGTGCAGACAATAAGCGCGTCCCTACAATGCAATGATATAAGAATAAATACTTTGGGATAGGCAGCGAATTACTTTGTATACATATATTCCACTCACTTATAAACATTGTTCGTAAATTTATTGTAGCTGCCTAAGGCCACAAGGGTACCAAGTCCAAGTCCGTAGGAGAAGAAGATCTGCGTCACTGCATCAATCCACACCTTGGAGGCATTTTATGTTAAAATCGGCTCGTAGCAAATGCAATGGCAAAAGCCATCTACATATCGGTAATCTGAAGTTTGGTATACATACCTCTGATTGGGACAGTTTCGAAAAGTTTGGAATAATATAGAATTTAATGCCTTCCAAAGCACCTGGTAAAGTTATTCCACGAACTAACAAAACCGTGAGCAAAACATATGGGAACAGGGCTGTAAAGTAGACTACTTTTCCCGTCCACTTGACTCCCTTCCAAATGCAAAAATAGCAGAGGATCCAAACGAGCAATAAAGTTCCGGCCAATTCCCAACGGATATTGCCAATCTCCTCCATGCCGTTCGATATTTGCAGTGCACGACGCCTGAAACGGTTCATTAAACAAAACCGAAGCGAATGTTAGCCCCAGGTGGTGGGGGATTATCACATCTTTCAGGAATACTATTTTAAGCGTAATTGGTGGTTACATACTCCCAAAACTCTTTGACTGGATCTGTGAGTTCCGTCGATGAGATATTTGTCGCTGCCACGGAGCAAATTTTCTTTGCGGTGCCATTGATTACTTTATCCCAGCAGTGTAAATTGTTCCTCTCATATTGATTGACACAATTAACGGTGTTCCACCAGTTGTTGCAAGTCCTCCACGGTACATCTATGTACGTGGAATGGATGGTATCATATTATGTTGCATGCAATTTATTTGTGTATCTCAAAAGTAGTGATCGCGAAAATGGTACCCACCCGCTCTCATTGACATGAAAAAGTAAAATACCGCCCAAGCCAGAATAACAATGTAGTAAACATTCATCCAACAAGACATAACGGCGGCAGCATATCCAATGCCTTGAATAAACAACAATAAATAAAATCATTAATAATAAATATACTAATCATAAGTACGAGTAATATTGTGTACAACGGGTGTGTATGTAGATATGTATGTAGGACATATTGGATGGTTTATAGATCCGGAAATGCTACATTTTATATGAATTTAGTATGAAATTTGAACAAAAGACTAGTCAAATGAAACTCCTCTTGCCTTTGAATATAGGGGCGATTTTAAAAACTCCCAGTCCACCAATAGTCAACATTTGTCCAAGAGCCAGCTCCATAAAGAACATCGGGATACCAGCTAGAAACAACGCCAGGAAGTACGGCAATATGAAAGCTCCGCCTCCATTTTTATAGCACAAATAGGGAAATCGCCAAACGTTTCCCAAGCCGATGGCCAGTCCAACCACTGAGAGAATAAAGTCAAGCTTCGAAGACCATGATCCTCGCTCCGGCAGTTGATCAAGTTTAACCAGCTGAAATGTTAAAGGCAAAAGCATTTATAGAGCTATGTACATACATCTGTATGTATGTATACTTTTAATGTGAAATTTAATCTACTACAACCACTAATTAGGGATTTATCGTTTCATTCTTTACCGGATATAAAAGATAAAAAAGTTGTAAGGGATAAAAAGGTTTGGTGAGCGGATTAACTTAATATAAACAGATGGACTTTGGACTTTGTCCAATCCAGCACTTTGAACTATTTAATGAACAATAAGTACATATGTATGTATGTATGTATGTCTAAATTTCAGTACATGGCTTACCTGCTGCTGATTGGACGTAGCTGCATTTGCTGGGGTGTTCGAGTCTGAAGATGCGGCGAGGTCTTTACACATCTCGATAGCCTCGTGCTTTCGTCTATCTCCCCCTCCATCACCATCGCTTTCGCAATTGGTATACATTTCGCTGGCGATCGGGAAGGACTTGCTCTTAGGAAAAAATTTGTTTAGATCTGCGAGCACTTGACTAAATATCCGAATTATAGACGAGTTGGGGTAGTGGGAGAAGGACTACAGTGCCTTTCTGACTATATTTATGTATTTATGTATAATGTTTGGTTTGGCTCTTTTTTCGTAGGTCCGTTCACGTTTCGCGCACCCACGACACGACACCCTAGCAGATCACTTGCTTGCATCCAACTGACTATCTGAGCTGGAGATGGATGAATGGATGGATGGTTACGAGCATGGCACCTAATTCAAACGAAGCTCAGATTTGAGCGAGTCTGGCTGCGTTGTCATTTTTACATACAATTTAATTTAATAATGATTTAAGAAGAGGGTTCTAGCATCGGTCACATTAAAATATATGTACAGCGAGTACAGCGCATAGGGGCACGTCTCGGTCTGAGCTCGACTTTGATGGCATGCCCTGCCCAGTACAACAGAATGTGAAGCATCGCTGCTACTCTGCCTCTGCGTGCAGCAATCGAAGCTGCACAGTGCTAGCGCTCGGCAACCCCTACAAACCAATGCAGGGCAATTTACATTTACTGACCCATTTGGGGGCATGCGAGAATCAGCGACCACCGCCGACCACAGACCACCGACACAGCCACCGGATCGCTCTGGTCTCTGTCACTATAATTTCAAAGAATGTCGTATACGTATACTACTACTAGTACCTGTGCCTGTCCATCCATACCCATACATAGACGACATATTGAGCGGACGTTTGTTAGTAGGGGAATGCACTTAAAATTTTGAATGTTATATTAAAATCATAAGAGATAAACTCGGCTGCCTCGGCAACCATACACACAAATGCATACGCATACTTGCACACATATTTACATATGTACATACATACGTATGCATAAGTACTCATCAATTCACATACATACACTTGCTGTATAAGTAAGTTATCTACTTAAATCCAATAATAATCAGTTCATTTTTCGACCATTCCGATCCTTCCTATGGCAGCTATATGGTATAATGGCTTTGATCCGATTTGGCAGTAGTATACAGAAAAAACTAACAAACTGCAATTTCTGACAAAAGATGTGTTCATCAAAGATTGCAAAGAGTCGACGGATGTGAAAATTGTTACGTTCGCTACATATGTATGTATGTACATATATCGAACCGGATGTCAATAGAGATTAAGAAACATACATATGTCTGTATGTACTCTATCCGGTCGGAAATGTTGCCTTCCTTCTAACCCAAAAAAGATTAAAGTATGTGGGGGAAAAATACATATATATTAATAGTACTTTGAGCGCATACGAGTATGTAGATATAGATATAGGGAGGAATAGCCGAGAAATGATAATCGCATAGTCGCAGGATTTTATTGACACATTCTCTCTGATTATTAATTCAGCGCATCCCACATCAGAGCTGGTCAAGCATGGTATAGTTTCCAGAGAATATATCATACTCGTAGGAACGCAGTTTTCTGATGATAAATAGTGGAGATAATAGTAAGTGACCAGTCAGTGAAACAGCCTTTTTGAGGCTATCCAAAACGTTTAACACGTCTCGCCGAGAAGAGCCCAGCCAATTCTATACCACACAAGTACCTGCACATTCGAAACCGTTGCAACCCATTTAACAAATTTTCAGATCCCGTTCCTATGATATGAACACCGACTAAGCCCGCTTGGTTTTAATATTTTTATCATTAATCATTAGTCATGGCAGTGGCCGTGCCTTTTTCGATTCCAGCTCCGGTTCCGGTCTCCGTTCATAATAACTTCGATTTCTGGGTACAATCCGCTGAAAGTTTATTTTCAAAATGCAATAGCCTTTCATTGGAAAGATCTCAACACTCAGTTAGTTTTATTTGACTTGACTAAGTATTTTAATCCTGATTTCAATCTAAGCTACAATATCTATCGGTGTCTTACAGTCGAATGGGCACATACATACATACATATAGTAAGCACAAGCACATATAATTATTCAGGACTCTTTAAATAGCATGCGGCATAGCTCGTTTTCCACTCCAACTCCAGATTCAGTTTCCTTTTCGCACAATAAAAGCTTTCGGGATCGATCGGCACTCTCCTTTTCGTTGCTGATGATGCGACGTTCCTGTTTTCTGTCATCCTCCATTAATGAGCGCCCCTTCCCCAGAGACTTGGTGCTCCCGAGATGCATTTTTTTTGTTGGAAAATTGAAAATTGGCTTTTTATTGGTATATATTCGCATGTTACGCCTCCTGCCATTGTGCGATCTGTCGTCCTCTCTCCCCCCCCTTCCTGCGGTCATATTTGCCGCAGCTTTTTTCAATAATCGTAGATTGATACGTTTTATGAACTTTCTTGTCTCCGTATCAAAAGAAGCGGTACCGCTGCCACTTGCTTCTTCGTTATCAACGTACGTGTCTCTGAATCTGTCGAACTTATTAAAATTATTATTACTATTACGTGTTGGTTTTCCGGAGCCAAATTCCGAGGTCAATTGGTGAGGTTCATGATGCCCCTGTAATCCATTTGGTGTGAGTTTTGACGTAAGAGGTGACAAATATTCTGGCTTGAACGGCTTGTAAACATCGTCGATGTATATATGTTGCTGATCATCGTCACTAGCTTCGCGACTGTTAAGCGGGAGTGGTGTTGTTTGGCCGTTACTATTCCCACGCCTATTGTCTTTATCATCATCGATATTTATCATAGATTTTTGCTGATATTTAGAGCTCTGGACCGGTAATGATGGTGATTTAACCATAAATGGCAATTCAGTGCTGTTGAAGATTGACAGGACATAGATGAGTCCCAGGACCGTTATCGTCAATAACAAATAAAGAGCTCCTATGGCTAAATGCCGGTGTAGAAATCGATATCGTGTAATCATTGTTAAAAAGTCCTCATCTAAAAAAAACAAAGGTGCAAATAATTAATTACATTTTTGGTCAGTACATACATACATATGCATTTACATATTTATATATGCATATATTTATTGGAAAGCAAAACTACTTGACGTTCTTCAACCGTTCGCTACTTTGCCAGCTATGATATGATATGATATAATCAGTGATCCGGTTCCGAATTATGTATACGCATATATATGGCTAGTTTTCATTCCAATAGGCAGGTGGACAGATGGTCCGACTTTATCGATTCAGCTGATATGGTCATGACTTTATAATTATGTACATCTACATACATGCATATTTATGTACATATATTCTTTGAACGCTTCAAGCTGAGAGATGTATTAGATACAATATTTTTTAAAAGGGAATACGAATACCCAGAATAGATTTGTATTATGTACAGTAGCGGGCAATGTTAATGCTACTTATGAATGTATTTTCCGTTGCAAGCAAATATTTCTATGCAGGCTGCAGTCTACCATGGATGCAATGTAATGTGTGTCGTAGTGTTTATACTTTTGCACTATTTACAGGAACTTTGACTTTAGTTTAGCGTCAATCAAGTGGTCTTCTGAATTTTGATTTGTACGAATGACAACTTTTATTTCTTTTATTTTTCCACCGTGTTGTTTGGAGTGCAAGACTATATTTTGATTTCTTATACTCACATTTAATATGAGCTGGATCATGCGCACTGTGAATTGATAAATAACCAAATATACCTACAATAGGATGTACATACATACGTGCGCATAACTGTATGTTGGGTGTTGGTTGTTACAGGGTGGGAACGAATAAAGGGTATTTTTCCGAATCTTTCCTGATACCTATACAGATTAATCGCACCTACATAAGCACTTTGTCTCTATTTACTTAAAGTACATGCTTTAAAAAAAAAAAGACGCATACTCTTCACTCGCATTTGTTTCTAGTATTAAAACAGATAATAAATAAATTAAATTCTGTGAACTGATTTTATTTAAGCGTTAATACTAATTAATCGCTCCATGGTCAAACTGACATTCACCGCATATCTGAGTAAGCTCTGGTTTTTTGGGTTTGTTCATGCACCACGAGGCGTAGCGGAGTTCCTCAAACATTTCGATCCAGAAGGAGCGATTGGGTGGTATATAAACGCATTCGCTATCACTTTGCCTTATACCCTCTTCAGCGGAGCGGCAGATATTTTTCTGCAGTGGCTTGGATTTTTCATTGCATTGAAAATTGAACCAGAACTCAAAAAACGCAACAATTACTGCGACAATAATACCAGCGATTAGTACCACAAATACACCACCTGTGAAATATAAAAAAAAATAACAATAAGAAAAAGAAAACTTAATCTAAATACAAATTCAAATACATTCCTGATAGTATTTATAGTTCCTATAGAAGCTACCCATGCTACATAGCTACATATAGTACATACATTAACATACATACCAATGCTTTCCAGTCCTAATGCATTTGCCTTCGATTGTTTGCTTGTGCTCCTCCTGGTACACGTCTCATCAGTGTTTTTCCACCACTTGTCGTATAACATTTGAATGTCTCCCTTCTCCTGGAGCTCTAATATCGCCAAAGAAATTTTGTCTCGCCAGGGCGAGCCCTTAGGTGTGGCGATGCCATATCCTTAGTGATGTAAAAAACCAATGTTTACTGATAGAATATCCAAGTAGGGAGATACTCGCAATTCTAAGTGTAATTCTCTAGCTGTTTTTATTTATTTATGCATCTTCCTTGCATATGCACAAAAAATACCGAAATTAACCGTAATTAACTGAAAATCAAATCGGATCACTAACACTACATAACAAAGTGAAATTTACAAACCTTTTGTGTCCAGCAATCCCCCAATTTGAGTCAAGTTACAGTCGCGCTGTACAATATAATCGAGCATTGTGGACTCCATTAAAAAGGCGTAATTTCCCTGATTGACTCTCCTTATGCCGTCTTCATACGTAGTGGTAAATGCCGATGGCTTCTTGTTATCCATGCTTCTCCACATTTTCTTGTAAGTTTCAATCATGGAATCCTATTCTTGTGGGCAGTTTTTAAACAGTTATCTTGGTGTAACGGTCTTATACTCTTAGCTTACCCGAAAAAATGTCATCGTCGAGCCACTCTCCAATGTGCCATAAGAAATTTCTGTCTGAGTTGCCAAATCGTCGGCATTCTCAATGGGGTTTATCATTCGTTCGGTAGTTAAAAAGGCGGCCAGATTGGCCGTATATGATGCGACAATAATCAGGGAGAAAAATCCCCAAATGCTGCTAATTATACGTGTTGAGGTTGCCCTCGGATATATGTCCGGTGACTGTTGCATAAGGGTTCCGATGGTGAACCAGAAGCTGTCAGACATTGTAAACTGATTGCCAATTGTAATGTTATCCAAGTCGCACGGATGAATACAGTGCCATTCGATGGGGGACAGTTTTCCTACAATATATATACTAATTGACACTAGGAAATACGCAATCAAAACATAAATCCAGATTTCAATGGCCAGCGGATTCATAAAGGAGAACAATCTGGTAGGCTCTGATTCGGGTACCTGCCAAAGTTTAATAGCGCTGAGTTCATAAAATCGATAATGCGTATCAGGAACAAACAAGAATTCGTATACCTTAAATAATATGCTGATTCCCAGGTTCATAAAGGGTTTTGTGAAATCAATAACGCTCTCCCTTGCATATGTAATTGTCATTGAGCCGACAGCCAGGTCCGCCTTCTAAAATTTGTTAGTTGGATAGAGAACAAGGAGGCTATGGAATTGCATGTCTTAACGAACATATTTCATTAGCTGAGCAACCATTCCATTCCATTCTCCGGTTTCGGGATCCTTGGCACCATACTTTCTATCGGGTACTAGGTCCAGAATGTAATCAAACCCAACCTCGTGTGAAATCGTTTCCAATATATCCACACAAAATCCAAAAAATCTTTCATTTCCCGTAAAATTTTTCCCATAATTCATCATTACGTATGGCGTTTCCTGAAATTGAACATACATATATACACATAAATATATTAGTAAATTATAATATGTACATAAAAATTAAATTATTCACAGACCAGTATCGTTATTACTACCAGTGTGACATTCATTGAGCCGGAGTCGAAGAACATTGATGGGTCAGTTATGTTGAGATATCCCTGGGGTGTCCACTCTCCAACTTTCACAATGGAGTGCTGCTTCAGTTTTATTAGGTCCAACTTGAACTGAACACGCTGTCCTTCTTTGAATTGAATAGGACCAGTCAGACCTTTCCATTCAACCTGTAGGATACATCTATTGAATTATACATGCATACATATGTATCTATAAGCATGTATGTATGTATACAAAATTATGTTATAGCATTCTACAGTGTTATACGAACCGAATTTATATAATTAATCAAGCTCAAGCCCCCATTCCACGGAATTTCATCGTCACAAGTCAAATTCGATAGATACAGCGTATGCGACTGCTCCAACGTCTGCAGTCCAATAGCGAACACATAAACCGAATCAAACATTAGGGCTGGCTCCGTCTGCAAAGCACCCGGGCATGGTTAGGACACGGTTGGTGTATGTCTAATTAGTTATAATATCCTCGCACGATTATAGTTTCTTTAATGTTACATACCTCAATTGTTACCGCTTTTCGTAAATACAAGTTTGCATCGGATTCTTGGAACATTTGCTGACCAAAGAACTCAAGATCCTTCAGTATCTCCTTCACAGCTACATCACCGATGTCGACCAGTCGGAACGATGTTATGTTCACAAAATTATACTTAAAGTCTTCCAGATCAAAGGTTTCCAGGTCGAAGCTCGTGAAAAAGTAGTGGTATTTATACTCATTCATCTGCTGTTGTAGAATCTGCTAACCCGAATGAAAGAATTTACAATCACCTAATGTTAGACGACCTCAGTTACACCTGAGTGTAACTCCCCCACTCACATTCTTCAACAGCGCTGTAATGCCGTCCGAGTTTATATCAATTATTATATTGTGGATCTCTTTATTCTTAAACTCGTTCAACACAGACAGGTACGATGCTTGGGAAACTTTTCGCATGTGCACTTCCGCTTGAACGGAACGTGAAAGCTGGTGTAAATTAATAATTCCTGCAGATACAAATATAATATATATGTACATATGCATATATGTATGTACAGATGTAACATAACAATAAGAAACATCGATGTGATTTTTGAAGCAAGATAAAGCCAACAGGAAACGTCTACAAACCATATTACCAGAATGGAGGTAAATGTATATACCTACATATGTATATCTTGAATGCAAAACAGCGAACTTACCATAATCTTTTTCATACAAAATGCCGAATCTAGTCCAATTTAGATAGCGTATAACATCGATAAATGCATTGTTAACGTATTGTTGTGATGGATGGACGTTAATGGAAAAGTCGTGGATGGAACGACCTATATCTGGAATATCCAGGGCGTCACATATTGAATTTATATGAGTTGCCAAAACAGAGTCGGTTGGACTAAAAATAGCCTGAACACCAACCTGCACAAGTCTGCACACTGCAAGTATAGTAGTTCGGATAAAAACACGTAATTACCTAGGTACTGGGATTTTACCTACTGAACATACCTTTTTGTACTGTCTCAAACGAATCAAATCGACTAACGTATTCAATATCGTAGACAATGTTAGTTTCTGGCAGAAGGCTCTTGTCCCGATTCAATCTATGAACCGCATATCTAAAGGCCAGTTCCGAGTTGTGTTTTCCCGTATGTTTTGGAAAAAGTGCACCTTGGAAATATGTAGCAAGTAAAAGCAAAAACTGTAATTGCGACCAGTGGAGATTATTACCAACTCTTATTACGGGGGGAGCCCCTGAGGTGTAAGTAACAAACAAAAATGTACATATCGCGGCACCACTCCAATACATTATAAGCGCGTAGACAGACAGTTTTGCACAAGACTAGTTCGAAATTGCTAATGAATTTTTACATTCTACGATAAATTGATTTCATTCTAACGAAGCCGTATTAGTGCATTCTGTACTGCAGTGCAAACGAGTAGCCACGTGTACTTGGCCACCCCACCAGCTGGTGCTCGATTTTTACCGATTTCTATGGCGTTAAGCACAGTGTACGAGTGCTGCAATGTGCTCTTCTGATCTGCTAAAGCTAAACTGAAACTTTAAGTAGTTATCGCGACTGTCATTTCGATGGCAGTTATTGAATGAATCGAGAGCCGAATTTAAAATATTTATTTTCAAATACTTATTTTAAACAATTTCAAGTTCGCTTTAGGTATGTATCTGATAAGTTTTCGCCTGTATAATATCTTTTTAACTACTTATTAGAGGGTTTGTTTCCTTGATGTGTACATATGCATGTATGTATGTATGCTCACTTGGGTTTTGTTAAAAAGTTACATATGTATGTACATATGTATATGAGGTGTAATATATATTCTATTTATTTTGGGATTGGATTCAAACTGTAACAGTAATTTAATTATTTATCATTTATTAGTTGTAGGACTTTGATAAAACTACTCGTACACGGATAACAGTTGATCGCTGCACAAACATTAATACATACATAAATATGCATAGGTATGTATGTGTGTATGTAGTAATAATAATGCTATTATAATTAAATATTTGTTTATTTTTCACTTTTTCAACATCTACAATAGACTCTACTGTGACGATATACCACTACCAACCTACCCAGCTCTAAACATACACACATAAACATACATATATTTACACATACATATTTACCTCTACAACATACTGAACTCTGTTCTTTGGTACCGCAATTTGTAACTTCCTTCAACATAATTTTAGCTTTTTCTCAGCTTTTCTCCCACGAATTTATTTGTCTCAGAAGCACGTAACGTGTGTTAATAAGGAGGAGTCGGGGACAAGGGGGATAAAGATAGATTCAGATACGGCTCTCATTATTGACAGACCTATACATCGTGGACAAACGTAGACTTTAAAATTGTTTCCGATGGAAAACAGTGACTAAGATCCTTCCAGTCATGAACATTTTTGGTTTCCGTTGTTTTGTTAAATATTAATGCTTCGATCATCGATAAACAGTCCATGAAGGTTGAAATGGAATTTCGCTCTATTGCATGCGATAATTACAGTTCAAAATTGTTGTATACATTTTTACATTAGCTGACTTTGATAATTTGTTACGTTAAATTTTGAAAAGACTCTTTTTTTCTTCCATATAGATATAAATATAAAATGATCAAGCACTAGACATCTGTTTCTTTTTTAATTGTATCACCAATATGTTTTTCCAATTTGTATAAAAGGTATACATATGTATGTAATATAGCAAATGAGGCTATTGAAATGTGTGCGAATTAATGCCTACCTAAGCGGTTATCAACATCCAATTGAGTGAAGCTCCAATACCGATCCACTTAATTCTAACAAAAATACAAATATATTAAAATATTCGATACATTATATATTGATAGGAGAATTCATTGCCACGAATTGCGTGTGGGTCAATATTCAAAGGCGGTTTTCTAAATAACTTCATTGATATTTTTATTGTGATCTAATAATGTATAACCGAATTATTTCGGTGGGAATGCTTTAATGAAAGCAAAACCGTAATAAGATTATAACTTCCTATAATTTATATAACACAGGTATTTTTTTCTTTTCTTTTTTGAAATACAAAAAACTCATGAATGGTCTCTGGATGATCGACAAGCACAAGGGACATAGACTTAACACATATATACACATATTTGTATACATATATATATATATATATATATATATATATATATATAGACGCATATAGGCATTTTAATGTATAAATATTGTTGAGAATTCCCCAATTCATTTCCCACGGTAAGCAATGAGTCTAAAGAGTCTGAATACTTGCACTCAAATAGGAAGGTATGCTCATGTTTGTTACTCAAACGATTCAAGTATTTCATTTTTTTTTTGACAGCATGTTTTTTTTGGGTTTTTCCTTAATTAAATTGTAACTTACATATACAAGTTTAACTCTATGAACGATGAAGAAAAATAAATCTACGGGCATACAAAATTCTAAGTCCATTCGTCTATCAGTCGATCCATTTTTTATATACTTCACAACATGGTCTTGCTTTCCATACATACTTAGTATCGAATCATTTGAAGCTTTTGGGTGTGTGTGTCTTGAGTCACAGAATGCGATAGTCGATGGTTAATGACCGATAGTCATCGATTTTTAATCATCAACAATGGAACAAACAAATTGAGATATATAATCATAGTCAGCTTCTCTGCCTGTTGGCCTGCTTTGACCGGACAAAGGTTGGTTTTGAGTAGTCTGACGCCACGTGGAGCTGTTGCTATTGTTTAAGCCAGATGCGCCGGACTGGCCACCACTCATTGTTATATTATTTGCGGTACTCTTGGAGCCGGCACTGTTTCCGGAACCTGCAGAACCATTCACGGAATTGCTGTTCACCGTACTGCTGCCGACTGGTCCAACGCCGACTGGACCCGTTACAGAACTGCCAGAACCACCAGAATTGGGAGCCGCCCCACCACTTGTACTAAGTAGATTCGAATTTGCCACACTTGTGCTTGGATTAGTGCCACTGACGCTGCTATTGCCGCTGCCGCCGCCGTTTCCGTTGCCATTTCCGTTGCTACTGTTTCCAGATAGGCTAGACACCGAGCTGCTACTCCCAGCAACAGTTGCTGTACCAACGCTACTGCCAGCGCTACCTCCAATAGCAGAGTTGGTTGAGGATGGGACTTGCGGCAAATGTTGTAAGATATTCTGTACCTCGTTCTCACTCGGAGATTCAGCAAAAATTGTTGTGTTGCCGAGAACACAGTTATTTAAAGCCATTTGCGCTTTGCTCGCCTCCTCCCGCGTTGTATATTTACATAAGGCAATTCCTTGGTTTAAGTATAGGTGAAAGCTGACAAGGGGGCCATGCTGCATGCACAGGGTACGTAAGGTAGGACCGTCAATCTGGAAATAAAATACAACGATATAAACACTTTGAGCACAAAACAAAACTTAAAAGCAGAAAAATCGAAGGACAAGCTTAAGGCTGTGGGCTTCAAAACATAAAAACAACTACTATGGAAAACAGATTTGTATGAAGAATACATGTACTTTCTACAAATGATCTATGTCGCAGGAGAGATGCTTGCTTCTGTACATTCCAAACTTCTGGTACAAAACATATCCCCTTAATTCCTCACAGGTGCATAAAGGAAAAATTTATTTCATCAGTATATGCATTTATAGAACTGCTCGGAATAATTTAATAAACGCTTTTACTAACAGCAGGCAGGTACTGATAGCTGGTTCATTTTTATCCTTTCATTTCATTTTTCTGCTAAATAACCGACTAGCAGAACCATTTTGACGACAGGGAAGTAAAACACTTATCTATTATCTTTGTAGAACTTTTATAGAGCATACCTGAGCTGTAAGATTTTTCAGAAGCAACCAACTCGAGCTCCACGATGTATTGCCTCCAGTCCAAGTTGTATTTGTGGTTGGGACACCACTTCGCGTCTGCAGCCAGCCATTAGCACTGCCGGCGATCGTAGATGATGTTGAAGTGGCGCCACTTACTCCGTTGCCAGATTTATTGGCATTAGTAGTTAATCCAGGCGGGGGTCCTCGAGACGATGCTTTATTCAGTGGGCTTGTCCACAGCTCAGAGGTGGATGCGCACTGCTGACTGTTGTCCGACCAACTTGTCAATGTATAATAAATAGTTATGTATATATATCGCAAATATGTAATGTTTGGGATTCACCTTGGAAAATTTTGATTAGGATTAAAACTCCACGTTGACGATGACAAACTTAAAGGCGGCAGATCAGTCGGCGAGTTTTTGCCAGTATTGGCAAATATATCAGCATCTTTTGGCGTCGGATTAATGGACAATGGAGATCTAGCAACGCTGCCGGGAGTTATGCTGGGATCGTCTTCTATGCTTTTGATCTGAGAACCCTTAAAAATAAACTTCTGCTTGGATATGTTTCGACTTTGCATGGTTGTACAGGTTACCTTCCACGGCTTGCCTGGCTCGAACTCTTGCACCAGGTCGGTGTAAGCAGTTGCTGCTGTAGTTGGCTGTGCAACTGACCAGTCTTTATTCTCGTTATCAGATGAGGGATCTGGCCAACCGTCACCAATATTGCGTCCAGTTGACCATGTACTAGGATAACAATGATAAGTTTTATTTCACTATTTAACACTACCATTAAATGGAGTCGTTACGTGACTGTAGGTAAAATTATGTATGTATATGCAATCATACCAATTATATGTATTCACTAGTGAGGGGCAATTTTTTTTTCGCACGAATTCTAAGAATCTTTCTCCAAAAAACTATGTGAGAAGCAGGACGATTTCAGGTTGGGAAATTTTAAGGAATTTAAGGTATTAAAAAAATCACATTTTCTGAGCATGCATTCTGATCATTCTAATGCATATTTTTATAGCCGTACTCGAAGAGTTAAGGGATATTAGATTTGTGGTAAACGATGATGTGTGCATCCACATAAATCATAAGCTCACAAACTTATATACTGACTGAGAACGGGTATAAAAGTAGAGTAGCGTCCACAGAAGCGACTCACAAAGTTCATTCTCCTTAAAACAAATTTTATATATATTTTTGTTGTTTTAATTAACCAAACATTAAACTTTTTTTTCAGAAAGTGGGAGCTAAAAGTCTTACTTTTTAACATATTGAAAATTTGGACAATAAAATAAAAGTACGCGTGGCATAAGAAAGGGCAAAACTTAACGGCCATAGCAAATATGGAAAATAAAATTTTAAAATGTGAAAAATACAATATTATTTTTATATTTTTATCAAGTGAATTTTCAGAATTGAATTTTCCAACTTATCAGGATATACTAACATATTACATTTACGTGAGTGATCGTCAAAATAACAAACAAGAAAACAACACTCTTATGAAAACGCTACGCCAATAATAGCCAACAAGTTAATTGAATTTTGGGAAATAGCTAGTATTAAGCTAATAAATAAAAAAAGAACATGAAACGGTGCAAAAATATATATAAATATATAAAAATAAAATTGTATTTTTGACGTTTTAAAAATCTTTTTGCCGTATGACCATTAAGTTACGCCCTTTCTCCCACTTTCTGAAATGAGCAGACTCATTTCATTAATTAAAAAAAGGGGGCTAGAAATTTATTTTAGACACAATTTCTTGATGAAAGTTTCTTAGAATTTGTCGTAGATTCCGATTTTGGTGGACGCTTACCAAATTCTTTTTTTTACCCAAACAAATTGACCCAACCTAGTATTTACGCACACTCTTGCACTCCGTCTATACTCCTTTCCATTAATGACAATAATTCAAACTGTTTCCATACCAAAAATTCCGTTATATCTCTTTTTTCACCAACAAAATACAATCCTCAGTCACTTCGCAAGGATAGAAGATAAGAGAGGGAGAAAAATTGCTTTCTTCATTCCGGCTATAATAATAAACATACTTTATGATACTGCGTTTCTACAGATTTTCGCTCTTTTTGCAGCCGAAAGGGGAATGTCAAAATCAAACTTGTGAAAATGTGATATCACAGTAGTCTGCACACAAAATTCGGTTTCTCAGGATATAGTTTCAAAACAGGGCGTTAAACAAGAGTGACAGACGGGCATTGCTATATCGACTCGGCTTTTGATGCTAATCAATCTTAATGAGGTCGTAAACGCTTTTTTCGGCATGTCTCATTTGAATCTAAAATAACCCTTTGAGTTAACCGGAACTTATGATTGAAAGCTTAGTTTTTTGCAATGTTTTTTTACTTACCCATCATTTTGCAGGCCCAAAGAGCCCATATTGTTTGAATTGCTCGATAAATTTTGCTTAGTCGCACCTGGAGCCCGCGAAAAGTCTGTGCTATCAGCATTTATATCTTTTTCTAATACTGGAAGCTTCCACTGATTTAAACGGGACTGCTGATTGGATGCCCCTTGGTATCCACTTGGCTGAAATTTAATCAATACGTCGAACGTTATACCATCTAAGCCATATAGTCATCGCAATCGGAGTCGACCCCTTTTTACCTTGTTAAGATTGAGCTCAGAAAAATTTCCTTGCATGTTATTTATTGCATCGTGACCTCTCATATAGTCATTGCCAGAGTTGTTCAGGTGTGCTGATGGATGTTGTGGTTGCTGTTGCTGTTGTTGCTGCTGCTGTTGTTGCTGCTGCGAATTCGGTTGTAGATTTTGCTGCTTTATATAAACGGCTTGTTGTGCATTTATTTGGTTTTGTAGATTCTGGATTTGTTGCTTATATTTAGCAATGGCAACATTCACTGCCATTGGATTGGCATTTCCGCCTCTAGCCAGAGATTGCTGAGCTGCCTGGAGATGCTGCAGAAGGTGAATTAGAAAAAAGGTTAAGTTAGGTAGAAAAAGAATTTGTAAGCGATTTCCCAAATAAAACTCAAAAAAGAAATTACCTTTATATTGCTAAGGAGTTGATTCAACAGGTTTAAGGTAGTTTGTGTGAGCGGTTGAGTCAATATTTGACTGGATATGAAACCACTGTGGATGGCCAATTGAATCTGCTGCCCCAGCATGCGTATTTGCTGACCAGACGGTTGATTATTTGTGTTAGCTGCAATATTGACGGTGGCTGCTGCAGCCACTGCTGCGTTTGATGAGCCTTGTCCGAATCCCACTGACACCGAGGATGCGTTACCCACGGACTGAGGGCCAACAGCAACGCCATGCGGGCCCTGACTCAAATACTTTTGTACTTGCATGGCGGCCATGTTGGGATTGTTGTTTCCACTTCCTGTCACTGCAGCACCGCCCATGTTGTTCATAAGATTATTCTGTTGGAAACGAAAAGAAAGGTTCAAAATGTTATTGTGCACCTGTCTAGAAGGGCATCGACCACCTTATCACTTACAGGAGGGAATGACATCGAAGGTTGTGCAGCGCCCACTGGGTAGCGCCCAGCAAATCCACCGCTGCTCGTTGAACTAGAGTGATCGGAGTAGGAGCCGAGATTCTCCTCGTGCCGACGCCAGCCATCCATGGCCAAAGACGAATTGGCCCGGAGCATGTCAGCCGCTTCCTCAATGTTCATATTGGCACTTACTAGGGCCCGTTCCACGTCCTCTTTCTTAAATCCGTTTTCGACCAGAATGCGGTACTGCTTGCTTTGCTTTATCATCTCCGTGTTGAGAACATTAACCATTCCCACATTCAACCCAGCCAGCTTTTGCTGTTGCTGCTGTGATTTGCCCACTATGCCACCGTGGGCGCTCCAATCGGATCCGAGGTCACTACTGTCCACAACACCAACACCGACACTGGACGACGTGCTCCAGCCTGATGAGCCACTTGTTGATGGCAATTTACTCTGCTTATTGCCCCAACCAACACCAACGGATGACGTGTCGCTCCAAGAATTTTGTGCTATTCCTGCACTTGATTTGTCGTCCACCCAGTTACTGCCAGATACAGATCCACCGCTGGGACCGCCTACACCAATGTTATGGCTGTCGTCTCCCCAAGCGGTAACGCCTGCAACTGTATTTCTGCCGCTTACGTTGTTCGTATGCACCCACATTGTGCCTCCATCTGGCTTGTGCTGCACGCCGCTAACGGATGAGAGACGCGCCTGTGGTCCCACTACACTGGACATGGGATTGTTGGGATTGCCGCCAACTGGAACATTGCTGTTTCCAACGCCAACGCCTGCAATACCGATACCTACAGATTGATTTTGTCCGCGGATCAGGTGATTGCGTCCAATAGAGTCGGTCATGTCTTTCCAGTGCCCGCCGCCGCCACCGCCGCCGCCGCCAGGAACACGGGACTGCTGGCCCCACAGAGATGTCCCGTCATCGTAGTTTGGAATATTGCGGCGCTGTGGAGGTGGCGATGGCTCCTCCCAGCCACTTATCTTGTCCTTTGTACCGCCCCCACCCACTCCCACCGTTTGGGTCGGTCCCCATTGGTTTGCAATATTTGTTGATACGGCACCAGTGACGCCACCTGGACCGGGACCGCCGGGACCAATTCCAGGACCGGATGCCGCTCCAACATTCGAGCCGGAAACTTGCCCAACCATTTTGTTCATGTTCTGTAATTGGTTGTGGGACATCTGCGGATGGTGGCCCCACATTTCTGAAGTTCCATTGAGTCTGCCAGATATTCCACGGGGATCCCCACGAATGGGATCGCGTGGGTCAATCATGCGAATGTCACGAGGATCCCCGGACGGAGCTCCAGCACTGCCGCCTGCGCGTAATGCGTCGCGATGATCGACATTTCGAATGTCCATAGGTCCCCCGCCCCCTCCGGCCAGCGGCCGTATTTCTCGAGGATCTCCCCACCCGTTGCCAGTATTGCCTGCATTATTTCCACCTCCAGCTCCAATTCCACTCGCTCCAGTTATATTGCTTGAACCGCTTCCACCTGCAAGGAAAACAAGCCCACAAGAAGGGAACCGATAAAACATTATAACAATTAGTTTTCAGATATCTAAATGTACTTCTACAACACTGTGCAACCACCAACCCAACTCTATGTATCAAAGCCGTCAAAGTTTGTGCCCCGGGCCTGTGCTAAAAATGGTCAAGACGCCGACGAAATTGCACCAAATTATGGAATACTCAAATCTACTCAAATTTGGTGGATGGAGTTGAAAATAGTTAAATTTTGCGACTATTAAATGATTCGATCAGAATGTTAGTGGTTCAAAAAGAAATTACTGCTGCCTGCCTCCTTTTTTGATCCGGGCAATGAAATGGGTTTCATTTGTAAGGAATTTCCCTAGACACTTTTCGGATGTTTGAATTTAGTTGCACAGTGCGACTGTTGTAAATTTCAAAGCTTACATCCTGGTGTTACCACAGGCAAGGTTCCACTAGTGCCAGAACCACTATTATTACCAGTTGATCCTAGTCCAACGCCAACTCCAACGCCAACTCCAACAACACCCTGACCCCACTGAGGACCAGCGGAGGGAACAACTGCGGGGCCAACGTTGACTCCACTTGGATTTACACCAACGGCTGCACCAGATCCCGTATTGTTAACTGAGCCTCCTGTCCAGACACTACTACTATCCGCCCCGTCATCGTCCTCTCCCCACGTACCGCCAAGGTTGGAGGATGGCGTGTGACCCCAAGAGGGCTTCGGAATTTGTTGAGCTGGCGGCTGGCCGCCGTTTCTCAAGTTCGACTCCCAGAGATCTGTGCCGTTGTTGACGCTCGGCTTCCACATGGGCGGTGCAGATGCATCCTTGTTGGTTGGCTCAGGAGAACTTGGTACCTCCCAGTTTGTATCCTGGTTGACATGCTGGCAACCCCAGCCATCCTGAGAAAAGAGCGCTTCGCGCATTGTGTTCAAGTGCTCCAACTGATCCTTAGCTCCAAATGTTGCATTCCCAACTATTGCAGCATCAACTTGATCGTCAACGTCATTATCAAAAGCAATAATCGCTATCGTTAATAATTCGTATGTATTCTATGGAGTGGAGTAAGAGTCTTCTTTGCTCTATTTTGATAATTGTATATTTTAACTCGGTTTCCGTATGGTTTCGTTGCCTTTCCACCACTGTGTACTGGGAGAAGATACAAAGTAGAATAAATGTTAAAAAAATAATTAAGAAGTACATTAGTTAGTAAACCATTTATATGTGTATGTAGTACTAGCATGTCCATACATACTTCTAAAAATGTCTTCTAACACTTTTTATTCTAGAAACCTTTAGATGAAGTGTTTTGATGTGCTTTGTTATAAAAAAAATACTGAATTGATTTCCACTCATATGTACATATGTATGTATAACTCTGTATATATGTATAACTATAACAGTCGTATCGCTCAGATACTCGGGACATTTCTGGCAACTAACATTACATTTGAAAGAAAAGCGAAAACTAAATTATTCCATTGATTTTAGTTTTTGTTAAGATTTGGTGGTAAGGAACAAAAGGAAATATAAAATATTAAATCAGGTCGGTACGTGAACTACACCACGCATACTTATGCATGTTCGTACATACACAACCAAGTGTGGAACATACTTGACAACTCTGGTCGAGTCGCCGTCGTCATTGACGCAATCACCCTATTTTAACTCTGTACCTTTCCTTCTTTTGCACTCGCGGTTAACCAGCAAATATGGCTCTTTTTGTATGCAAATGCAAACAAAACAATATATAGTATGCATGTGTACAACACATATATATGTACACTGTAGATGTGTAAATGCATATATTTTAACAGTTATGTTCAGTCACTACAAAAAAAATTGTTCTCTATAAATATATATAACATGTGTATATGCTTAGAGTATGTATGTATGTACAAATATTCGCGTGTTTTGTGTGCATGAAAAATACCAACGAAAACTGGAATGATGTACAAAATGGAGATCCAAGAACCAAAAATTACGTCAAAAACTTTTTAATTTTTGTTTTTGCCCTTTATGCTGCTGTACTTCAAAAAACACATATTTCTATTTATGTACATATGAACATACTTCTGCACTTAAATATTTTTGCAATAATTTCCTTTCGTATGCGAACGAAAAGTTGATTTTCTCTACATACGAATACATATGTGTGTGTGTATCATGCCAAGCCACTGACGATTCAGAAAGTGTGTGTATGTAGTGAAACATACATATTTACATATTGAAGCGATTGAAATTTTCTCTCCACATTTCACAAATGGATAATTAAATAACTTGCGAAGATACACAAAAGCATATATGACATTACTTAAAATTGGAAACAAGTTTTAGTAAAAATATAATTACAATTTCGATGTGAATTGAATGCGAATTTGCAGGGCACGTTCAACGCGGACGGAAAAAGAAACAAGAGAGTGAAAAAACTGATTGCAATGTTGCCACCTGGTCAGAAAGCCAAGCCTTTGAAATTTTCAAGTGGTGCACATGTAACAAATGCATAAGTACTATATACATAGAAATGTAATAATAGATTTTGCCATTATATTTATGGCAGGTAGCTACTAAGGAACTTGGAGTAAGCTTATCCTTAAGCAAATTACAAACTCGTACGTCATTATGTAAAATATTCAAAGCGTGGCAACACTCATTCTGCAACGAGACAAATATATGTACATACACACACATACACATGTCTCAAAAAATTCACTAGATATTCTATCATTTCAGGACCATTTACATTTCACAAAATGATAATTTAATATATTGAGTAGATACGTGCACAGATATGCGGCGTTGTTTTAAATTGGAAAGATCTCATTCTATCTTTCATGACAATGTTATGCATAACATGCATATGTACATACAGACATACATATGTATGTATGCTGGCTTATATTAGCCCATTTATTTTCGAGTGTCACTGCTGTACATACTTTTATTGTTAATGCCAACCAAAGCATATGCTTTTTTCACCGCAAACTATTTTCACACACAATAATTTGCAAAATTAGTATCACGACACTGTGTCGATTCTATGTTGGTGAAACCATCGATATTTTTTTTGGGAATCGATGTTTTTGCTATTTATTTTGAGTTCGCTACAAGAGATCCAGAAGCTCCGTAAAATAAGTCGTCAAATTCATTCGTTATAATATTTATTTGATTATATATGTTGCTTAAATTAAGGTACAGTTGGCACAAGTTTTCAGGCACGCAACAAGCAACTTGTCGCTTCCGAAGTTTCAGAAACATGGTACTGAGATGCAAATTTAATAGCATAGCTGAAAGATATAAGCATGGATCTCAAAACCCGAAAAATTTGTTATTTTCTTCGAAAAAACAGTTCGCGAACAGAATCACGGGCACAAACTGGTTTCTAGGCTTTGTACGGAAAGATCCGAAAAAAACTCCTCGCTAACAGAATCAGGGTTGATATTCGTATGAAACCGATAAGAAATTTGTTCGGGCTAAAACTGTTTTCAGGGCTCTGTACGGAAGGCAGTACTGATTACACTAGTCAACACGATTTTTCCTCAAGGAACAAAACGAACTTTTTCTTAAAGATTTGGGGCTTAGAAATGGTTTGATATTTTTTTTTTCTATGGCAGAACGTTTTTTTTGAAGAATTTTTGAAAACTGGTATTTTTTTGTTAAGCTTTTTTCAGAGGTAGCGCTTGTTTTTTTTCACATAGCTCTAGTATCTTACGTCTGGTTGTAAAGAACTTTGCTATTTTGAAAAGATAATTAAAACAGCTAGAAGTTAAGCCCAAACACTTTGTGATTACAGCTTACCGTCTGGGAAATATAAAGCATTGAAATGCAAAAATTATGATTTTTGTGCGGTATTTTTGACGAAATTTTGACTTTAAAAACTCAGGAAAAGTCGAAAAAAAATTATATCCTGTGTCCTCTATTTTTTTGTGTATAGGTGCATTAATTTGGCGTCGTTCAAGGTATCGCTCATTAAAATCTATGGAGAGACTTTGGAGCTAAAATTCGTTAACTTAACCTAAAATTGCTGGTATGTTTCAACCCAGGTATGTTTTTCCAGCAAACACGAAAAACCAAATGAGTATAATTTATTATTTTTATATTTTCATATATATAAAACAAATATTGTTTTAAAACATTTCGTCGTCACGGTGATCGGTACGGAAGGCGTCCGTGCTGGTGATTGTCAGACACATTACTTTGCCAATAAAATATTGGGGAGCCCATGATATGCCTGGTGAAAAGCGAAGTGCATTTATGTGCATTTTATGAACTTTAAACAAAACCAAGCAGCTGTCTGAGCAGTGTTACCGTTCGGAATACATTGCACACCTCTGGTCACACCACTGGCCGGTAGAAGAATATGACATTTGTTTGCTAGCAAACAGTTTTTGGATCTGAGTACTAGACTTAAAGCCTAGATAGCCTTAGATCGGATACCGTTTGATTCTGGAATCTAGATTCCTGTCTTTGGGACGACCGCCTCACATAATTCAAGGCCTTGTTGACACAAGATTTTTGGTCTCGTAATATGTCCAGTTTCAGAAAGAGCGTCCGCAGTGTCCTCAGATTCTTATTGAAATGCTTCACCGGGATTTGAAGAAGCGCTACAAGGGGATTGTGATAAATTGTCTCAATAATGAGACTTTTCCCTTACGCTAGGGGCTTGCCTATAGCGCCTATGGCGCATACAAAATTTAGTCGAGAGTATGTAGAGTCTTCACCGTATCTGAAAGCTAAATGTATATGAATTTAGCTCCATTCGTGTCCACACATTGACAAATCCGACACATAACTTATCCATACCAATCCTAAATAATGAATTAAATAAAACAACTATTACAGAGTTTACAAAAGCCATAATGGCGTTGGAGGTGTTTCTTTATTATGATTAACTGTCTTTCGAACATGTTCTTTTCTTTTAATTGAATCAGGCTACAAATAAAATACATGAACTGCAAAAAGCATACTTTTACTGTTTTGTTGTAATAAATCTACAATATGTAATTAACGTAATTTGTTTTCTACTCTAATAAAGGTAGTTGTTTATGTATGTATGTGTGTAAGTATGTATGTATGTAGATAGAAAGCCAAATATCAATACCGAATAACCGTACAAAATCAAAAGCTTTCTTTTATAAAAATGTATACATCATTTAGATGTTGTGCTTCTGTATGGTATGTGTTGAAATGAATTTAATTCAGCCTCATTAATAGTTCTTAACATCGTCTAGTATTGGGGGAATTGATTGTTATATACATAACTAAAAATGTATATGCCGGAAGTACTACCAGATAAGCGACACCGTCAGGAGAAGAGTTGTCTTCCGTTCCTATGGATGTCTGCCAAAATGCAAATGCATGCACAGATCGAAGGAATCTATTCTCTTTATATGGTGAACATTTGACACTACAACTGCCACAGCTACGGAAACATATTTACCTCAGTGCAGAGGTATTCAAGTTAATAGATTTGTGTCAATTGTGCACTTGACTTACTTTTATTTGATTCGTGTACTTATAAAAATGCATCAGTTTCTTAAGTCTTCCTGTTTTATAACACAACGCATTATGTGAAAAATAGCAGTCAACTAGTATGGGATACTAGTAGCATTAGAGATGATGCTTCAGTTAATGGACATGACATGCATAAGGTAAAAAATGGCGTAGGCGAAATGTAAAAAATCTTTTTAACTATATATATATAATATATATATATATATATATATATAAAGGTAGTCACTATATATATATATTCTTAGCTATCGTACTGAGAAATTTCGATTTTTGTTCTTATATTACGTATGGGTTTTTCTTGTTTTGTATCTCACACGTGTCGTTTGCTTGTATATATGTATGTATGCTGTGTGTATAATATTTGTATGTACATCTTAATGGTTTACACTACTAAATTAAAATGGATCAATTAGATTATTGTGTCCAGTTGTCGGGCTTGGTGTAAAATCTTTTTCTGATGTCCTACTAAAGTTATCCCCATATCCGACAGCTGTTGAGCTGTTAACCTAGAGATCTGGGAAGGGGTGGTTCAAAAAACAGTAATAACGGTTATAATCTTGAATCTTTAGAGCGCCTACAGACTACATACATATGTCAATTCATATGAACAGAGTACATAGTATGATATATGTATAGGATCTATCTCACCTGTTGAGCATTCACTAAATTAGCCTCTTTAAAATGCTGACAGTATCTTGACATTTTAATATTCTCCAACCATAAGTCAGTGCTTATGAATATGTTCTGTCCGCGTTGTGTATCCAAAATATGAACCCCGTCTGTTTCCGGTGAGTTGCGAGTTGTCAGCAATGACTGCGGCTGTCTCGCCAAGTTGTCAAGGGTCGAAACGATGCTGGCAAATGTGGGACGATGCGTTCGCTGCTTTTGCCAGCAATCTAACATCAACTGATAAAGTGCTTCTGGGCAGTCCATTGGAGCCGGTAGGCGATAGCCTTTTTCAATGCTCTTGATTACGTCCTACGTAAACGATAAATACCTAGGTAAGTACGCTGCTTTCGTGCAAATAAACATATTAGGGGTGTGTACCTGATTTGACCAGTTCCAGTATGGACGTTCACCATAGGACATGACCTCCCATAAAACTACGCCGTAAGACCAAACATCCGATGCGGACGTAAACTTTCTAAATGCAATTGCTTCTGGAGCAGTCCAACGTACTGGTATTTTACCGCCCTGAAATATTTCAATCGATCAATTCGCATTCAAAATTATTTTAGCCACGAATAGACACAATAGTCTTATGCACTATAGTGATGTACTGGCTGTACTTACACGTGTTGTGTACGCATCACTTGCATTTTCGATTTCTCGTGATAAACCAAAGTCCGCAATCTTGCAAATCAATTGGGCATTAACGAGAACATTTCGGGCCGCCAAGTCTCTATGCACATAATTCATGTCACTCAGGTAAGACATGCCACTGGCTATGCCACGGAGCATTACAATCAGCTGAAGCGTTTGGAATTTGCCGTCATTCACTCGCAGGAATGTGTCCAAGCTACCATTTTCCATGTACTCAGTTATTATCATAACCGGATTGGAGCGGGTAACCACACCTTGCAGATATATTACATTCGGATGATCGAACTGTCCCATTATTGAAGCTTCAGTCAAAAAATCACAACGTGCCTTTTCCGAAGATCCTAGGGAACAATAGATAATAGATAATTCATTGAGATTTATAAATCGATTTATAATCGAGCGGCATTCATTTCAATTGCGTCAATTAATATCTTAGCTTGGTACTCCTTACCTGGTTTCAAAGTCTTTATTGCCACATCAATGTCCTGCACAAAGTTTGGAGGTATCTTCAAACGACCACGGCATACATCACCGAATTCTCCACCTCCTACATAAAAGTAAAAAATGTAACAGCTGAAACCAAAGCTAAAGTGTCAAAGGTGACAACAAACTGACCAATAATTGCTTCTATAGTTATGTAGTTGGCATCTATTTCTCGAGCAAACTCCCTTATAGCCTGATTAGGATCCTCATATGTATGAGGATCGACGTAGCTCCGACTATTGCCAAACAAGGGCGTTGTCACTGGAAAAACAAAGGGGAAGCAAATCGTTGACCAAAGAGAACTTATGCGCATAGTCCTAATTTTATATGTATCTATGTATTTATAAAGCCCATATACTCATATGGTAGGTTAAAGATTAAGTTATTATTGGTGTAACAGAACCGGAAAACATGCGAGTTAGGCCAAGAACCATTGAATCAGAATTAGTACAACCCAAAGACATATGTATGTATATATGCAAAAAATATACCGTTTGAATGAAGAGTCTTGACAATTGGAGTAGTATCCATTGAATTAACTAAAAATAAATTTAAAAAAATATTACATATATGTTCAGTCAATGAAAATATTTGTTCTGCAAATGATTATAAAACTATAGTAGCATTGTTCCGATTTTCAGCAAGAGTCCGTGTGCGAATGCAAAGTAAATGAAAGTTGGAAACATTGATACATATACGAAAACATACGACTAGTACACAGATCAGATGGTCTTTTTACCGTGTAGGGTAAATATTTACTATTCGAAAATATGGGAGTATTATTTGGCTTAGTTTAATTTATGAGTCAAATCACTTACTATATGTCACAATTAGTCCTTTAAAGAGAGATCAGTTTTAATAGGGATTAGAGGAGGCGGATATTAATACATGTATGTTTAAGGTTTCATTTTACAAAATTCATGATTCTGTCAATAAGAAAGCGAGTGGGTTTCAAAAACTAACAATATCAATATCAATAACAATAAAGAAAATTAACAAGAGTGTGCAGTGCACTCATGCATTTCTGGATGGATCGTAGTCAAATATTATCGTTGTCGGTCCTGCGATCCTATTGAGATTCGTCAGCTGTCTTAAACCCTGCAGTGCTAAAGTGCTAAAGCACGCAAAGGGACATGAAAACTTTGGTTTTCTCGCTGCATTTGACTACATTTAGTACAAGATCTGACATAGCATGAGTTCATACAAATTTATTTTTCGCTCTAATAATAAATATTTTAATACGCGTTCAGTTGAGTTGTTTCCGGGTCAGCTATGTTTATGCTATGGTCATCTGAATCTTATTATTCGGTCCTTTATCTTAATTCAGAAAATACAGAACAGTACAAAGTACACTTGGAGTTAGAGGGCCAACTCCAACTCCTACAAATCAAATCAAATTACAAGTACTCATTTGACTTAGTTTTATCTTTTGATCGAAACATTTGAGTATGGGTTTGAAGCAGACGGACATGGCTGTATTGACTCGGCTAATAATCCTTATAAAGAATATATATTACATATATGTATTTGTACATATACATACATATGTAGTATGTATGGTTAATTGTGTCAAACTTACCTTCATTACTGGCGTAGTCCATCGGTAAAGGCAAATGATTTGTAGACTTCTTATCGAGCTCATCTTGATGCTTAGATCGCATAAAGTAGACGGTGGCAACAATAAATATAACCAGAAAAAGCACGCCCGTCACAATCGCACCAGCTATGAATCGTATTTGGACAGAATCGTCATAAACTGTGATTTTCATGCATAGAGGCAGTTGTAAGATTATAAACGTTGATAATGAAATCGAAATTTTGAACCTACCAGAACTTACGGACTGAAGCGTTTGCGCATAGATCATATTACTATAAGAGCCGAAGCCATTGATGGTTTTACAGCGAACTTGAAAGCCATATTCTGTACTCTCCAGCAGTCCTTCGATGTGTGCCTTCGTGTCCTTTGTATTTAAGGCCGATTTATTAATGGAATCCAATTCGAGCTTGGGAAACCACCGCACTTCATAAAACTCCAAAGGAGCATCGTTCTGCAGAGGCTTGTCCCATTCAAGATCGGCATCTTTGCTGGTTATGGCCAAAATTCGTAAATTGAACACGGTTGAAAGTAGAGCAGATTCAGTTGTAAAAATTATTTCCGCGTGCTCTGTCTTTATTTCGTTTAAATCAAGCTGATTGCTTGCAGTAGACGAGTTAGCAAACAAAATTTCATTGTTTGCTGACGTTTCGTTTGAATTAAGACTCAAGTCAATGAGGTATGATATGCCATTAGTGGCGTGAATCTGCACCGTGTATGTCGTCACGGGATCAAGATTAGTAAGCGTGATTTTCGTTTCGTTAAATGTGTCTGTTGACGGGTTAAACATTACATTTGCGCTGCACATACTGCAGCGTACCTTGTACACAATATCGCTACGGTAGCTATAAAGTTGGCCCTGGCCTTCGACTAGCTGCGATTCATTCCTAGCTGGAGCACTCCATGAAATTATTGCACTTGTTTGGTCCACAAACAACAAGGTGAGGTTTGTAGGTGCAGCTGGCGGACTATAGCAAGGCATGTGACGACCGTCCCGGGGATGTCTATAGTATCCTGGCAAGCACATGCAAAACGGTGACCCCGTTTTTGAGGAATTGGAGTTGGGCGGGCACGGCATACATTTCCGAACCTCAGGCGATTTAAATGTGCTAACGGGACATTCTGAAAAAAAGGGAAACACGCAATATAGTTACGCATATAAATAGTTATACCACTGCTCATAATTGGACACTATGGACACCATACATAAGTAACATAATCACATACGAACTACACATACAATTAGAATAGAAACAAATAGCTGCTGTGGCTGCGACTCTACTTTTATACCCGTACTCAGTCAGTATATAAATATGTGAGCTTATGATACATGTGGAATTTTTAAATATTTTACATTTCTTTCGCGCATTGCACAGGACAGAATGTGTGCGAGCGAGAAAGAGAAAAGGTAGCGTCTGCTTTGGTGGGGGTAGCCACCGTAAATTAATTTCTTCATTCTGGCTATTATAATGATCTGATCTGATCCAGAATGGGCAATCTGGTAGATATGGTCACTCTACGAACCTGCGCTTTTTGTTTTCTCGTATCTTCAAAATAGTGGCCACAGATTTTAGTCTTTTGTGAGGCGGAACTAGGCGACAAACAAGACGGACGGACGGACAGACATAGCATACATGGCTATTGATGCTGATCAAGAATATATATATATACTTTATGGGGTCGAGTTATATATATACCCACACACATATGTGTGTAGATACCTAAACAGCACTTTAATTTTTGCAATTTACTGTAACGAATGGGAAAATCTAGTAGCAAAGGTAAAAATATGGAATAAATTCAGTAAACTTGTCGTAGAAATCAGGTACCAGCAATCAAACATGTTGTATGCGCTTTTGAATAATATGAGAATGTACTGCTTATGTTCTAAAGAAAAACCTATTTGTCAAACTGTGTACATATATATGTATTTACAGTGGATATTGCAAACTATAACTCTCACAAATTTTAAATGCCCAGATATTAAAACCGGCCATTTTAACGTATTCAAGTGAAGGTCAAAATTATAATTAAAACGAGAGGGAATGTTGTGAGTCGCTTCAGTTTCCGCGACTCTACTTTTATAGCCGTACTCAGTCATAAGTTTGTGAACTTATGATTTATGTAGAATTTGTAAATATTTAACATTTTTATACCCGTACTCAAAAAGAGTTAGGGGTATATTAGATTTGTGGTAAAAGTGGATGTGTGTAACGCAGAGAAGGAAACCTTTCCGACCCCATAAAGTATATATATTCTTGATCAGCATCAATAGCCGAGTCGATATAGCCATGTCTGTCTGTCCGTCTGTCTGTCTGTCCGTCTTGTTGAGCGCCTAGATCTCAGAGACTATAAGAGCTAGGGCAACCAAATTTGGTTTCCAGACTCATGTGATATCACACTGCTACAAGTGTATTTTAAAATTTCACCCCGCCCCCATCCGACCCCACAAAGGACGAAAATCTGTGGCAGCCACAACTGTTTACTGTTTTGTTGTAATAAATCTACAATATGTAATTAACGTAATTTGTTTTCTACTCTAATAAAGGTAGTTGTTTATGTATGTATGTGTGTAAGTATGTATGTATGTAGATAGAAAGCCAAATATCAATACCGAATAACCGTACAAAATCAAAAGCTTTCTTTTATAAAAATGTATACATCATTTAGATGTTGTGCTTCTGTATGGTATGTGTTGAAATGAATTTAATTCAGCCTCATTAATAGTTCTTAACATCGTCTAGTATTGGGGGAATTGATTGTTATATACATAACTAAAAATGTATATGCCGGAAGTACTACCAGATAAGCGACACCGTCAGGAGAAGAGTTGTCTTCCGTTCCTATGGATGTCTGCCAAAATGCAAATGCATGCACAGATCGAAGGAATCTATTCTCTTTATATGGTGAACATTTGACACTACAACTGCCACAGCTACGGAAACATATTTACCTCAGTGCAGAGGTATTCAAGTTAATAGATTTGTGTCAATTGTGCACTTGACTTACTTTTATTTGATTCGTGTACTTATAAAAATGCATCAGTTTCTTAAGTCTTCCTGTTTTATAACACAACGCATTATGTGAAAAATAGCAGTCAACTAGTATGGGATACTAGTAGCATTAGAGATGATGCTTCAGTTAATGGACATGACATGCATAAGGTAAAAAATGGCGTAGGCGAAATGTAAAAAATCTTTTTAACTATATATATTTAATATATATATATATATATATATATAAAGGTAGTCACTATATATATATATTCTTAGCTATCGTACTGAGAAATTTCGATTTTTGTTCTTATATTACGTATGGGTTTTTCTTGTTTTGTATCTCACACGTGTCGTTTGCTTGTATATATGTATGTATGCTGTGTGTATAATATTTGTATGTACATCTTAATGGTTTACACTACTAAATTAAAATGGATCAATTAGATTATTGTGTCCAGTTGTCGGGCTTGGTGTAAAATCTTTTTCTGATGTCCTACTAAAGTTATCCCCATATCCGACAGCTGTTGAGCTGTTAACCTAGAGATCTGGGAAGGGGTGGTTCAAAAAACAGTAATAACGGTTATAATCTTGAATCTTTAGAGCGCCTACAGACTACATACATATGTCAATTCATATGAACAGAGTACATAGTATGATATATGTATAGGATCTATCTCACCTGTTGAGCATTCACTAAATTAGCCTCTTTAAAATGCTGACAGTATCTTGACATTTTAATATTCTCCAACCATAAGTCAGTGCTTATGAATATGTTCTGTCCGCGTTGTGTATCCAAAATATGAACCCCGTCTGTTTCCGGTGAGTTGCGAGTTGTCAGCAATGACTGCGGCTGTCTCGCCAAGTTGTCAAGGGTCGAAACGATGCTGGCAAATGTGGGTTCCAGACTCATGTGATATCACACTGCTACAAGTGTATTTCAAAATTTCGCCCCGCCCCCTTCCACCACCACAAAGAACGAAAATCTGTGGCAGCCACAATTTTAAAGATACGATAAAACTAAAAACGCAGTATCGTAGAGAATGCCCATATCTACCAGACTGCCGAATCTGAATCAGATCGGATCATAATTATAGCCAGAATGAAGAAATTAATTTTCAGTTGCTTCCCCTCCCCCACCCGCCCACAACAACGTAACTCATTTTCCTTCTCGCTCGCACACTCTGCCGCGTTCAGTGCGCGAGCAACCCCCAGTCGGAGGAGATGTAGAATATGAATGGAACATGTACAATCTACATGTTAGATGTAGAATAGACATTGTATATGTAGATGTAGATATCAGATGTAGCAAAAAAATGTAAAATGTAAAATATTTTTTTTTTTCTTAAATTCTAAAAAATCATAAGCTCAAAAATGTATATACTGACTGAGTACGGGTATAAGTAGAGTCGTGTCCCCAGAAACGACTCACACGTTCCTTCTCGTTTTTGCTACATTTGTTATCTTCATTTACATCTACAACGTCGATCTGAAACATCTGAAACGTAGATTATACATACACAATGTAGATTCTACATCTGCGCAAGGGTCGAGCGTTGCACAGGGAATAGTGTGTGCAAGCGAGAAAGAGAATGAGTAGGGTTAGCAGCGCTGGAGGAGGTGGACAAGCAACTGAAAATTAATTTTTTTATTCTGGCTATAATAATAACCCGATCTGATTCAGATTCGGCAATCTGGTATATATGGTCATACTCTACGATACTGCGTTTGGTTGTACATCATCTTCAAAGTTGTGGCTGCCACAGATTTTCGTCCTTTGTGGGGTCGGATGGGGGCGGGGTGAAATTTTAAAATACACTTGTAGCAGTGTGATATCACATGAGCCTGGAAACAAAATTTGGTAGCTATAGCTCTTATAGACTCTGAGAACTAGGCGCTCATCAAGACGGACAGACGGACGGACGGACAGACGGACATAGCTATATCGACTCAACTATTGATGCTGATCAAGAATATATATACTTTTATGGGGTCGGAAACGTTTCCTTCTCTGCGTTACACACATCCACTTTTATTAAAAATCTAATATATCTCTTTACTCGACGAGTACGGGTATAAAAACTTCCCCAGACCATCCATTCAGCTGTGTCCTTGTGCTCTCCGACTTTCCGGCGACCATTCGTCATACTATCAAAACCAAACAGATTTATCTTAGATTCACTAGAACATAACGCTTTTAAAGTCAAAGTTTCGTTGAGTGGGCCCATTGGAGACTGTTCTGGAGCAGTTTTATTGCAAAAGGTGGTATTTTTGCTGACAAACGACCGCTAAGTCCAGACTCCATCTTATGTTTAAGAACACGATCGTAATTTGAGTTTTTTCGCTTTTTTTCGACATTACAATTTTTAACAGCTCATATTTGTATCTATGCAATAACAATGTTTCCCGACTGACTTATAAGTTTTAAATGTAGCCCCATCGGTTTGATGTTTGTTAACATGATTATCCACATTTCATTGTCCGCTACTGTGCATTCAGCACTGCTATGTGCACTCGTCAAGTGAATGTATACAAAGCGTGTACTCCTGCTGAGAAACCAAATTATAGCATTCAAAAGGGTAGGGTTGTCTGTATGTGTATGTGTGCTCATTCGGCCAGAACAGATCGTTTCTGATCCCATCCTCATACTTTCTTGACCATCATCAACAAATAGCCAAATCGATATATCCATGTACGTTTTAGTGAGCACCCGAGATCTTAGAGACTATGAATATTATAGCCAGAGCACCAAATTGATATTGTTTGTGTGATGCCCAACGCATATAGTATATGTACATGTGTATGTCTGAGCAGTTGCGGCGAAAAAAATAGCTTTGTGAGAAACAACAGTCTTTACTGTTTAAAAAAATTTTTGCACTGAAGTAAAAAAAACGTTGACTCCTCTCTGAAAGAATGGCGGTTCTTATTACTTTAGTAAATTGGAACGGAAAAAAAAGCACCAATAATGGTTTTTATACAAACTCTAACTTTTCGGAGCTCTTTGATACTTTATTTTAATTTCTTGATTGAGTTATAGCAACTGAAAATTAATTTCTTTATTCTGGCTATAATTATGATCCGATCTAGTTCAGATTCAGCAGTCTGGTAGATATGGTTGTTATTCTCTAGGATCCTGCATTTCCCGTGTTGATGCTGATCTGATGATATATGTATGTTTTACTATTACAAACTTTTTCGTTTTTGTTCATTTATTTAAATAAAAAATTTGTATTCACTTATACTCTACCCGATGCAACGACCGAAGTGAAAATTTTTGAAACTATCTACCCATTGATAGTTGGACATTGTGTTTTGTGAAACAGTGGGAGCAGTATAACCAAAAAAATAAATACAACCATCGAAATTTAAAAAAAAAAAAAAATTTTGCACCTAGTTTCGTTTTTTGCTGTTTTGACCATATGTATAATAAAGGACATACTGATAAAAATTATCCTTTAACTGAGTTAATAAGAAACAAACGGACAAAAACGTGAACACTATGACCAGTATAGCTCATGCGAATTATAGTATAATACTTACCATATATAAATTTGTAGAGCAAAAACCGAACCTAACCTGCTTTCTTCGCAACGCATGCTGTTTTTTTTTTAAATGATAGCCAGAGTATGTGGCATTGTTTTTATACAAAAGTTTTTACTTTTCTATAAATAGGTTCCTCAAAAATTAAAAATTAATAAAAAAAAATCTAAAATTTGGTCTAAAAATGTGTGTTTGAACGCCTATTTCATTTCATTTTGTGTCATTCTATGGAAAAACATTTTATAAAAGATCCGAACTTTGAACGCATTTATACCTTTTTGTATGAAAAATTGTTTTCTAAAAAATTTTAATTTGTGTAAATATGTTTGTTGCTTTTGATTGCACTACTCAACATATTGAACTTTTTCTTTAGGCTGTGGACCAAAATGAACTAAAAATAATTCTTGGCATGCATTTTTAGTTTTAGATAGACGCATTAATTAGGCGTCGTTTAAGGTATTGTTCGACTTGTCCGACTTATAGCTGCATTTTTCAGCTTTTCAGAACTGGTTTGCAGATATAAGATACTTAAAGCCTAGTACTCAGATCGAAAAAAACACCTCGCGAAGAGAATCAGGGTTGATATTCGTATCAAACCGATACGAAATTTGTTACGGCAATAACTGTTTTCTAGGCTCTGTACGGAAGGCAGTACTCAGATCAAAAAAAGGGCGGTATATACTAGAAATGTATCCGAAGTATTTGCTTGTATCAATTTGATATATTTTTCCAGCAAACACGAAGCAAACATTTGATATATTTTAATAATGAAGACAAATAGAATCTAATTAATGCAGCATTATATGAATGAGAATTATATAAATATTATAATTTATTATTTTTATTAATTTTCATAAATATAAATCAAATATTGTTTTCAAAACATTGTGTCTTCACGGTGGTCGGCACGGTTGGCGTCGCCATCCGTGCTGCTGATTGTCAGACACATTACTTTGCCAATAAAATATTGAGGAGCCCATGATATGCCTGGGAAAAAGCGAAGTGCATTTATGTGCATTTTATGAACTTTAAACAAAACCAAGCAGCGGTCTGAGCAGGGTAACCGATCGGAATGCAGTGGTCACACACTGGCGGCTCGAAGAATATATGACATTTGTTTGCTGGCGAACAGTTTTGATCTGAGTACTAGGCTTTAGTTATGTGAAAAATAGAAGCACTACCTCTGAAAAAAAAACATAAACAAATACCAGATTTTAAAAAATTCTTTAAAAAAACTAAACCATAATTCGTTAAAACATTTTAAATTTCTATAAAAAGGGCCACAGCCTAATTGTCGTGTTGACTAGTGTTATCATTGTTTAATTTCGATGAATTCCTAAATATTAAATGCATTTAGTAAGCAGAGAAACGCGCGGGTCTGATAGTACTTTCTATTTATGTGAGTTTTATATATAATATGTAATATGAATACTGACCTGTACATGTTTTATTTACATCGTTTGGTTCGTAGCCGACCTTGCAGCGGCAACCGCCTGTAAGAATCGTCCATTTTCCATCACCCTTGCAAAGGTATGTAGGTGATTCATAGGGTTCAGCGTTTTCTACGCACGTTCCGTTCTGTTTTTCGATAATAGTTATTTCCTTTCCCGTAGGCGTTTCGTTGAAGTGTGCAAAGTTTTCAGTTACGGCCGGACAGGTAATGTAATAGACCTTCACTGCAAGGACGCTTATGCACGCACCCTGATCTCTAAAGGCAAAGTAAACGCCCTTTTTGTTCACGGCTATGCTTTTCACTTCTGTATTGATATCCACATCGGAGTTCTGATTGAAGCGGCCCTCTCCAGCAGCAATGCGAGCAATAAGCCTGTAGCTATCAGTTTGCCACGGCGGGGGCTCGCGAGTTGCAGCATCAAACTCGTAGAAGAGTAAACTAAATGTTTCTTTGCAAGACAAAGCATTTCCTGCAAAATGTATCAACACGTATGGTACAGGATGATGGAAATATTCGAAGCTTGTGGCTTACCTGGAAATAGGGAACAGTCCCGTATTGTGAATTGTATTTCAATATAAAGCCGATTAGCCGGTCCTCGATCAATAAACGGCGACCACAGCCAGTTGTTGACATTGTGATATGCAACATCACAAACAACATAGCTTCTCCAGTTAATGCCTTTAACAAAGTCTGTAAATGATTCTTCTACCCACTAAGAGAGGTGTTGCAGAGGAATAAAAATACAAAAACGAAGAATATGATAGCACACTCGAATATAGTATGTACATATGTATATGCATGTATTCCAATATTTGATATGTATTTCAATTTTATATTATCTAAGTTATGTAAAAGTTATATGTAATTTTGTTATAACAAAAATGAATACGTACGCCGGGAGTTTGGGCCTGTGGACCATACGGATATCGTGTCCATTCTAGAGTAGCTTCTCTGGTCGTGTCCAACAGAACAACTGCAAAAATTGGTTACTTAGCGATTAGATTGGATTTGGGAAGGCTTACAAATCATACCTTGATCTGCGTGTGTAAATCTTAAGTTGCATTGAAATGCAATCAGCCAACTTATGCATAATAACGAAATTTTTGCAAAATAACGAGATCCATTGTGCACTGGTTTCGGTATCGGCGTTGAAATTTGAGGAACGAGTGTAGACGGCACCAATGTACTGATTTTGTGAACTCGTAAGGAAGCCAATTTATTCATGGAAGAAATGGTGTTACGGCTGCCGGTGTAATCACTTTTACAATCTCGTCTATGGACACTACAGTACGTTGATGGCATTTTGAATCTTCGAGGTTTTGCTCAGTTGTCTTATTGCGATTTCTTTCATATACAAAAATATTATGTCGCTTGCATGGTGCGGACAGCATTACAATCATTCAAGTTCCATGGCAGGCTGTTGGGAGGCAAGAAATTTTCAAAGTTGTTAAATATCAGAATTTTATGGTCGTTAATTCACTTTCATTTTAAGAGTCTCGTGAGTCGAGTCCCAGCACTTAAATTTCCTTTTCAGGACATATGTACGCGTTTACTTTTGTGTGCGCACATGCATTGATACCGATACCTGCATTTTCTGATGCAGCTGCATACATACAAACATAATTGTATGTATGCTATGCTGTAGAATTGGGAGGACGCTACTGCTGATTTTCTGTTTTGTACGTTTTTGAAAAGATTTTTCTTTAAATCAGCATAACATAACACTTGAGTCGTTTAACTTTAGTTGATTAACTATTCAACTTTACACAGATTCGATTTATTATTACATTTCAGGACTTCGTTAAGCGAATACATATACACACATGCATTCGTATACACACACATTTTCAGTCGTCCGCGTTCAAGTATAATATTGGCCCACACACAACAGTGACAACGTTCAACAATGAAAGAAAGTTAAAGAATTGTGCTTAATACGGCGACGAGTCATTATATTAGAGTTAGTTTTCTTGTTTTTTAATTTGTAATACTATTTATTCTTGTATTTTAAGAGCTGGGCTGGATAAACATCGATGTTAACATCAATGTAATCGATATTTGCTTGCAGACATCGATTCGATGTTTATTCGTCTCTAGCATGATGCAATTATATAAGGTGGTCGGTCTCGTCGGAAAAAGTACTCCGTTAACAATGCAATGCTACAATTAGTGCGAGTGAAACAACAATAGAGCGTGGATTAACCCTCAGATGGATCATGCGGCTTAAAGTTGCCTGTTAACTTAATTTTTAATAATTTCAAATTTGAAATTAAATGTTTGTTTTTGTTTTTAGATAGATATTTTTTATTAAGGCTCTTAATCGTAAAATAAATTCTAATCTTCAAATAAAATGTTTTTATATCGAAATTAATATTAAATTCTTAGAAGCCATTAAAAATTTTTGTTTAACGTTTTGTGTTATGTTAAAATCTTTGATTATGTTTAAAAATATCATTTCCAGCTCTTTCAGTTTTTTTTTTTAACTCTACAGGACGTTTTTTAAGTCAACCATGCGAGACCTCATCTACGTAGGAAAATGTCGAATTTTCGGCAAACTCATTGGATACTCGAAGTTTCTTGATAACATAGCCTGCTAGGTGCTTAATGGCATCCTCCGTTAACTCGTCTAGCTCAGTTTCTGGTGCTATGCTGTTATCAATGTCAACCACAAAATCTTCATATTCGCTCTCCTTGGTTTGTTAACTTTGGTGTTCTTGTTTCAGAACTGTCTTCGTCAACATTTTGATTGTTTGACAATAATTCAGTATTCTTAGCTGAATAAAAATAAAGATTTAAAAAAAAATTATTATTAAAAAAAAAACATAATAAATCACAAAGCACAACAAAAAATACACAACACAGAACAAACCTACAAATAATCACGATCAAAACTTTTCTGACTGAAACTTAGAGCTTAAAATTTGATAATTAGTATTGTTAAAATCAATTATTTATTTATTATTTAGTCGGACCATCCGAATAGTCCACATTTAGACCGCATAGCGCCAAAAAATTCTCCACAATGTCTTGGTTAAGACGACTTGTTAGGATATAACGAATCTCGTACTTTTCTGACAAATTGTTTAATGGCGCTGGCGGTTGTATTGGAGAACAGTTGTGTTGCCAAATTGACTGTCTTTTTAGCCAACGAACCAATATTGATATGATTATAGTTAATCTTGAACAATATTGCTACATCTGAAGTAGTACAGTGGCTGATTGTCTGCTGGACTGTCGTCTTAGTCAATCTGTTTCTGTTGATGACTAATCCGGAGACGACATAGTGGTTACGGATCAACTTTACCAGATGTGGAGTATCCGAAAAAACATATATTGTCAAGTCTTCATCCACTGGATGGCTAAAACAGGTCATTGCTAAAATAAAAACTATTTTAAAATTATCTTTTGTATTGATTCGAATAACTCTCCGATACGCCAAGCTCCTTCCATAATCTTTGACTTCCTGCGCCCAAATCAGAAACAATAGCAACAACGGGATAATCTCTTTTGTGTAGCTTGTTATACCCGTACTCAAAAAAGAGTTAAGGGGTATGTTAGATTTGTGGTAAAAGTGGATGTGTATAACGCAGAGAAGGAAACGTTTCCGACCCCATAAAGTATATATATTCTTGATCAGCATCAATAGCCGAGTCGATATAGCCATGTCTGTCTGTCCGTCTGTCTTTCTGTCTGTCTGTCTGTCTGTATTTCAAAATTTTGCCCCGCCCCCTTCCGCCTCCACAAAGGACGAAAATCTGTGGCAGGCACATTTTTAAAGATACGATAAAACTAAAAACGCAGTGTCGTAGAGAATGCCCATATCTACCAGACTGCCGAATCTGAATCAGATCGGATCATAATTATAGCCAGAATGAAGAAATTAATTTTCAGTTGCTACCCCTGCCCCCTCCTGCCAACAACCAAGCAACTCATTTTCCTTCTCGCTCGCACACTCTGCCGCGTTCAGTGCGCGAGCAACCCCTAGCGGAGGAGATGTAGAATCTAATTGGAACATGTACAATCTACATGTTAGATGTAGAATATACATTGAAGATGTTCTAAAATTCTAAAAAATCATATGCTTAAAAATGTATATGTTGACTGAGTACGGGTATAAGTAGAGTCGCGTCCCCAGAAGCGACTCGCACGTTCCTTCTCGTTTTTAATCTATAGTAAAGTATCCGCGTCCATTCCAGCATTGAAATCAAAGATTTTTCAAGCCAAGAGCTATGGCCAGTTGAACATAGTTGCTCGGCTCATAAACAACATCCGCTGAGCTGTCATACTCGAAAACAGCAGCAACGTTCATTTCATCGAAGGACAAATCGCAAAAGCTTATCAACTTCGGGCATTTCCTCATTTTCCATGAGGTCTATCACTACATCAGTACCGGCATAAATTTTCACATCTGCCAACCATCTATATAATGTTGCCCGACTAGGCAAAGGAAAAGGATTTATACATATGATTGTAGACAGACATGTATGTTGCATTAAATAAAGCTCTCTTTCCTCCTTTTGCTTAGAGATTTTTCCAATTCCTGATACTCTCCAAGTTGCTGGCGTTCTCCAAAAGTATGTTACATTACAAGTAAATTATTGTTTGCATACACTCATTTATTTTAACACGGTTAGCTTACTCTGTTTGCGTGCTCGAATCGGCGTAGCCTGATTTTAAAATTGTTGGTTCATGTTTTGGGTCTCTTTGCGGAACAGCATCATCATATAGTCGCCGTCTCTGAAAGACTTGGCCTTTTTTGGAACTGACTTCCACTTCCACTGGTACGCATTAAAATGCGTATCGCAAATTTTGGAGTTCTCTCCAAGGCTGCAGCGTAGAGTTTGCTCTCACTAAACATTTCGGTGCATTTATAAATTTCACACCTTGCATCTGCTTGCGTCAAAAACTTAATTCCAACAAATTTAAAGATCCCAATGGCAAAGTTGAGAAGCCATTTATTGATTTTATTATACGAATGCGAAACTTTTGTAGGTAGGAGCTCAGCTCAGATGTGTTTGATTTTGAAATTAGTTCGGCAAGCATTAAAATTCACGTATATAACATTTACATATAAAAACAGTAAACAAAAATAATAATTTAGCATATAAATCTTTTCTGTTACATGATTTTATGTATTTTATGTATTGTACCTATAATTTTAATTGAACATTTTAAACCGAAATTTTGCTGGCGCACACACCAAAAACAAAGCTCATCGTTGATTGCAGCCCACACATCGAATACCTCAAGTCTGCAAATTAGAAATCATAAAGTTGGAAAGTAAATTATCCAGAACTGGCGGTGGAGCGGCCACTTGCTTCTATTGCTTCTTTCACCTCAACTTCATTAAATAAAATAAACTTTACGACTTAAAGAAACTTTGTTCCTTCCACTTTGCAGATCAAATTATTCCGTTTAGGATTATAATTCGCTCTACCTTATAATATCCACCACTAATTCCCTTCGTCTTCATAAATCACTAATACTAACATACCTTACCCGTAATTAGTAGTATTTCTTAGCTATCTTTGCGTTTGAATTTGAATTGCGCGCAATAAAAAAAATACTGGCAGTATATACCGCAAGATACTGATGAATACTGATGATGCGCCGGAGCGCAACCGAAAGAAGCGCAACATGATTTGTCTCTCTTATCTTATCTACATTTATTCGTGTTTTATGCATTTTTAATGCATTTTCGTTTGACAAAGCATTTATTGCATTTATGAAACAAATAAAGGTATACACATTCATTTAGTTTGAGTTTGGTGCCATTGTTGGTGTTCATTGTTCATCCCAGCAAGAGCGAGCGGCTCGGTAGACTTTGACTTTCCCATAGCTTGCGGCCCTCGCAGGTCAACTACTGTGGAACCAAAGACAAGCGCGCCAAGACGATGCAAAATTTCTCAATCAAGCGCCGTACAGCATGATGCAGATGAAAGTAAGGCGGAGCAGCAGAATGGCACTACAATCATTTAGGGGAGTTTGTGCCGCACGAGCGTCAGAAATCGCTCCACTGGTGCTGTCCCCAGTGCCGAAGGGACTACCGCAGAAACCAACGCAATAAAACTGTTTCTGCGGCAAGGAAGAGGATCCACAGTAAGTGTAAGGCTCCTTTGTCATCCGGGCCGGATGCTCAGCAGGCGCAAGTCTCCTGCCTGTGTGGGAAATCGGCTCCGCGCTCCATGCGCATAGCAGCAACAGAAACAACCTGTGGGATGCGGCCAGTTTCCGTAGAACCAGTTCCATGTCAGCGTCTAAAAATAAGAATTATGGTAATATAAGTGCAACCACAGGAAGAGAAGAGGCACACTTTGTTTCAACTCACTTTTCATATCCATATCCATATACATTTTCTTCTCCGTTCTATTTTTGAAATTTTACATGTCTTTAAAGTATTAACATATTTTTTCCCTGCAAGAGAATATTATCATCATGGTCTCTAGGACACTTCGTGTGCATCTGTCTACGTAAAAACATACAAAACGAGAAGGAACGTGTGAGTCGCTTCTGGGGACGCGACTCTACTTATACCCGTACTCAGTCAGTATATACATTTTTGAGCTTATGATTTTTAAGAATTTTAGAATTAAAAAAAAAATAATTTATATTTTACATTTTTTTGCTACATATGATATCTACATCTACATATACAATGTATATTCTACATCTAACATGTAGATTGTACATGTTCCAATTAGATTCTACATCTCCTCCGCTAGGGGTTTCCCGCGCACTGAACGCGGCAGAGTGTGCGAGCGAGAAGGAAAATGAGTTGCGTTGTTGTTGGTAGGAGGGGAAGCTTTGTGGCAGGGGAAGCAACAGAAAATTAATTTCTTTATTCTGGCTATAGTTATGATCCGATCTGATTCAGATTCGGCAATCTGGTAGATATGGGCATTCTCTACGATACTGCGTTTTTAGTTTCATCGTATCTTTAAAATTGTGCCTGCCACAGATTTTCGTCTTTTGTGGGGGCGGCAGGGGGCGGGGCGAAATTTTGAAATACACTTGTAGCAGTGTGATATCACATGAGTCTGGAAACCAAATTTGGTTACCCTAACTCTTATAGTCTCTGAGATCCAGGCGCTCAACAAGACGGACGGACGGACGGACGGACGGACGGACGGACGGACGGACAGACAGACATGGCTATATCGACTCGGCTATTGATGCTGATCAAGAATATATATACTTTATGGGGTCGGAAAATTTTCCTTCTCTGCGTTACACACATCCACTTTTACCACAAATCTAATATACCCCTTAACTCTTTTTTGAGTACGGGTATAAAAACTCAATTTAATGTAATTTAAAAAAAAGGAAAAAATCCAATATTTTGGAAAATAGCTGAGCAAAATTAGTAGAGAAAATTTTCGAGAGCCACGTGTCGATACAGGGAACGAAATCAATACGATAGCTGCGATCAAAATCCTGTGATTCAGCACCAAAATATATTCTTGCACAAACTAATCATGTTGACGAGGAGAATTTATTGGAATGGATCTTGGGAAATGGAAACCATGAAGCGTGGTCATTTGTGACAGCTTCTACTAAATCCAATCAATGTTTTAAACACAAATATAAAGCTATGTTTTTTTAGAAGCGGTTCGGGACATTTTGGGAGAAAGATGTACACGAAAACAACGAGGTGTTTTTTAAGGAAAGTTTTGTCGGCATAGCATTGTATACCTTCGACTCTTCTTCTAAACTTAGAACAGTCAGAACAGTCAAAAATAAGGTCGGCATATACTAGAAAAGAATCCGAATGTAATTCCTGATATTGCTGGTATGTTTCAACCCCCCTCGAAAGTTATATCAATTTAATATATTTTGCCAACCAACACGAAACAAACATTGTAATATGAGAACAAAAAACCAAATGAAATATTTTAATAATGATGACAAATGCAGCATTATATGAATGACAATTATATATATAGTATAATTTATTATTTTTATTAATTTTCATAAATATAAAAAAAATATTGTTTTCAAAACATTTCGTCTTCACGGTGATCGGTACGGAAGGCGTCCGTGCTGCTGATTGTCAGACACATTACTTTGCCAATAAAATATTGGGGAGCCCATGATATGCCTGGTGAAAAGCGAAGTGCATTTATGTGCATTTTATGAACTTTAAACAAAACCAAGCAGCTGTCTGAGCAGTGTAACCGTTCGGAATGCAGTGCACACCTCTGGTCACACCACTGGCCGCTAGAAGAATATACATATGACATTTGTTTGCTAGCAAACAGTTTTTGGATCTGAGTACTAGGCTTTAAAAAAAATTCAGGTTAATACCAAAAAAGCAGCCGATGGTATTGGATGGTATTTTTTTAGGCCCCAGCTAAATATACAAAATTTCTATTTTCCGTCGCGATTGCCTCCAGCAATTTGTAATATGTCGCCTTTTCGGTAGAACAATCCTATATTTTACTAGGGTCTAGCAAAATTCCATCGGCTGCTTTTCTAGTATTCGGATTCTTCTTCAATATTGATCTTGATTTTTGTTTACAATATTGTCTATTGAATGATCCTGGTTTATGTTTTCAATATTTTTTTTTAAAACATTAGCGTTTGGCCTTTTAATAGCGTTCTGTTTTGATCGAACACGATATTCCTCGATATTGATATTCGTTTTAGTATTAATTTTCTTCAAGACTTATCCAAGGAACACTCCAGTTTTCAATTCTTTGGAGTTTTTGCAATAAGAAAGAAATAGTATAGTTTTTAAAAACTGTGTAAAAAAAGTAAATCGGTTCAAACCTCAAACGGAAATTCTTTTAAATGAACGGTATCCAAGCAAGCGGGTAACACCTACTGGTCATAAGGTGCTCGATCATAGTCAAGATAAAATCGAGGCAAAAAACAACATAAGGTATATAACAACCAGCAGGTTTTCTCGAACTCGACAAAACGAAAATTTGTTCAACATGCTATTAGCTTCTTCGGATCTAAAACATTCAGTATCAAGACATGTATGTAAATAACCATTCCGCATCTAAAATCAGTGTACTTTTCAGTTTCTTACCCTGCTCCTTTCTGAGCTGAAGCCGCGCTACTTATTCTCTTTCTCGCTCGCACACACTCTGCCCTGTGCAGTGCGCGAAACTACAATGCAGATTTAGACGACAGATGTAGCTAAAACAACAGGTAAAATGTAAAATATTTAAAAATTACACATGTATTTAAAAGCTCACATATTTATATACTGACTGAGTACGGGTATAAAAGTAGAGTCGCAGCCACAACAGCGACTCACAACGTTCCTTCTCGTTTTTAATAGTTACTTTGCTAATCGGGACGGAGACAAATACAACAAATCAAAAACCATGAAAATAAGTCCAGCCGTTCTCGAGTTATAAGTACTAACACGACTTTAAATATATTTTAAAATATTTGAAATAAAAAATATTCAGCTTAAATACTAAAATACTTAAACTACCATTAATATATTTTTTCAATATACCAAAAATATACCACAATTTGCCAACAACAAATTATTTTACCCCATAGGAGATCATCCATTATATTCCATTCACGCAATCGCACATTGCCTGAGCTAATTTTGCTAGAAAAATATTTGAACCCGTTATAATTATATAGCTTTACATACCTTAAAATATATCAAAACGTACATAAGGACGTAAGCTACATTGCAATGTAAAGAATGTATTTGGCGCCCATGATTGGCGCACCACACCACCTCCTTGCCCTTTCACACCTTGTAAAATGCATGTAATAATCGTAAAATGTCGAATGCGAACTGTTTTGTTGAGACATTGAAAGTAAATAATGGAATAAAACTACTATTTGAATAGCCAGTCTTATAAAAAATGAATTAATGTATCGGATATAATATAATATTTGTACGTTAAAAAATGTTGCATTATATTAATGCTGACTCAACATTTAGAAGATTTCGTAGATATCATATAATATCGTATCGTAAAAAAAACATTCGATACATTCATTCGTTTCATCAGCTGCGCTGCGCCAGCGCCTGAATTCAATCAATAAATCAATATTATTACAAATAACTGTAATTAATACCATATACCAGTTCATGTTTTATCTACAGAAGCTCGTCGATTCGATCCGGACTTCAATGCAAAAAAGTGAATTTCTCAAGTAGTGTCTAAATTATCATTTAGAGCGTGATAAACATTTTTAAGCCACGATTTTATTCACGCAAGTTTGTAAATGTTGAAGCCTGTAAGTACGATAACTTACATAAATACACATATGTGTGTGTGTAAATGTTCATAAATATTCAAAGTATTTGAAATTTCAGCCAAATTACATACTACAAAGGACGTATAACTTATTCAAGTCGCAATATATGTAATAATTGACTACATTTAAGCACGTTTATGCTAGCATACGTATGTACATTGTACATGTCCATATGTATGTACATATGAACGTATGTACGTACATTCAACGGGTTTCGCTCTCATACATATGCTTATTTGTGTAAACATATCATATGCATGAAAGTAAGTAAAAACGTAGGTATTTTGGTGCGTGTGCAACTTTTCGTATACATATGTATGTACAACCATGTACCTAGGTACTCGCACAATAGCGGACGTTCAAATGTGGACAGTCAAAGTATTGCTTTTTGTTTAACAAAGTATTGGTATGTTGTTTAAGAAAAGTACGTTTTGAACTTAATAATCAATAAAAACAGCTAAAGAAAAATACTAAACTTTTGAACCCAACATATAAAAGGATCCTTCAATAACTTTTGTATTAACTTTTATATTTGTACGGAAAAATACATTCAACATTTTTGGTTAATAAATAAAATTTTGTTATTACGTTTAATTTAATCAACATTTGAAGAGTATATATTTTTTGAACCTCTGTGGCTTAGAACACTAACCATACAGTATACTGTATGGTTAGTGCTTAGAACCAGTTTTCTACACAATGGTACTAAATATCAGATCAGATTGTTTCGATGTTTATATCGATATGAATAAATCATAGAACTATAGAATACCAAAGCTTAAACAAAAACATTCCCAACTAAGCTTGCACGAATCGTCCTAGAAGATGGGAGCGTCAGTTTGCGAAATACACTTGTAGCAGTGTGATATCACATGAGCCTGGAAACAAAATTTGGTAGCTATAGCTCTTATAGACTCTGAGAACTAGGCGCTCATCAAGACGGACAGACGGACGGACGGACGGACAGACGGACATAGCTATATCGACTCAACTATTGATGCTGATCAAGAATATATATACTTTTATGGGGTCGGAAACGTTTCCTTCTCTGCGTTACACACATCCACTTTTATTACAAATCTAATATATCTCTTTACTCGACGAGTACGGGTATAAAAACTTCCCCAGACCATCCATTCAGCTGCGTCCTTGTGCTCTCCGACTTTCCGGCGACCATTCGTCGCCAAACAGATTTATCTTAGATTCACTAGAACATAACGCTTTTAAAGTCAAAGTTTCGTTGAGTGGGCCCATTGGAGACTGTTCTGGAGCAGTTTTATTGCAAAAGGTGGTATTTTTGCTGACAAACGACCGCTAAGTCCAGACTTCATCTTATGTTTAAGAACACGATCGTAATTTGAGTTTTTTCGCTTTTTTTCGACATTACAATTTTTAAATTTTTTTGTAAAAAACTTACTCAAGCAATTTCTATAAAAACAAGCCGTAAATTAACAGCTCATATTTGTATCTATGCAATAACAATGTTTCCCGACTGACTTATAAGTTTTTTATATAGCCCCATCGGTTTAATGTTTGTTAACATGATTATCCACATTTCATTGTCCGCTACTGTGCATTCAGCACTGCTATGTGCACTCGTCAAGTGAATGTATACAAAGCGTGTACTCCTGCTGAGAAACCAAATTATAGCATTCAAAAGGGTAGGGTTGTCTGTATGTGTATGTGTGCTCATTCGGCCAGAACAGATCGTTTCTGATCCCATCCTCATACGTTCTTGACCATCATCAACAAATAGCCAAATCGATATATCCATGTACGTTTTAGTGAGCACCCGAGATCTTAGAGACTATGAATATTATAGCCAGAGCACCAAATTGATATTGTTTGTGTGATGCCCAACGCATATAGTATATGTACATGTGTATGTCTGAGCAGTTGCGGCGAAAAAAATAGCTCTGTGAGAAACAACAGTCTTTACTGTTTAAAAAAATTTTAGCACTGAAGTAAAAAAAACGTTGACTCCACTCTGAAAGAAGTGCGGTTCTTATTACTTTAGTAAATTGGAACGGAAAAAAAAGCACCAATAATGGTTTTTATACAAACTCTAACTTTTCGGAGCTCTTTGATACTTTATTTTAATTTCTTGATTGAGTTATAGCAACTGAAAATTAATTTCTTTATTCTGGCTATAATTATGATCCGATCTAATTCAGATTCAGCAGTCTGGTAGATATGGTTATTCTCTAGGATCCTGCATTTCCCCTGTTGATGCTGATCAAGAATATATGTATGTGCTTTATGGGGTCGGAAAGGTTTTCTTCTCTGCGTTGCACACATTCACTTTTACCACAAATCTAATACATATACCCCTTAACTCTTCAGGTACGGGTATAAAAAGCTTAAGAACCAAAATTCGAATTGCGGATTCAGACACCAATGCTTACGGTAGGGCAAATCGTCGGTTGCTTAAATAAAATGATGCGCAATACTTTGAAATACATATGTTACCAACAAGAAACACGGGGAAGAAAGGTCGATCTAATTCCCCCCATTTCCGCCCTTTTTTAATAAAGGCGTCCATAGAAATAAAGGACCTAAAAGAATCGTTAAAGATAAGCAAGACCGAAAGCCATGGGGAAAAATATAATTGTAGCCTTCGAACTCAACTGAAGTAAAGAATTTTAATGGAACATTAATTTCAACTGTTTTTATTCGAAGTCAGCAATACTCTCAGATACGTTAAATTGCAACTTAAAGTTTTTATGTTAGATTGAAACAGATCAATTAAACCATTGCTTGAACAAAATCTCTCAATACAGACACATTAGTGGCATGGTGCTATTTTTTCCGGCGCAGCTGTACATACATATGTATATAGTTTTTTTCAAATGTTTACATTCTGAAAATTTCTACACCAAAAAGTACCAAAATTTGAATCGCTTAATCATTACAGCCAGAATAAAGAAAAGTTCTTGTGCCAAGAGAAACGTTTTTATACCAGGTAGAGTACGTCGTGGAGTACGCTTTCCTCTCTCCTTCTGCCTATAAACGGAAATACAACCAATATAAATGGATTAAAGGCTATAGGGAATCCACACATTTGATTTCTTAATTACTTAGTGTAAGTTGAGCATCTTAAACTAAATACATTTCTCTAAGAGACTCAGCTGCTGAAGCTGATCAATATATTTTTTATGAATTTTGAAATTTATGAATACTACTACAAGTATTTCCTATTCAGCATCTCTTTACTTACCTAATACTTCAAGCGATCAAGTCAATATTAATTTACTTGTGATTAACATCGCACTGTGAAGAATCGAATAGGAGTGCATACATATAATGTTTAGCATAGCGTATAGCACCAGAACGCAATCAGTTGAATGTAACCTTTGGCTCAGAGCCTACTGTTGAGACTTTTTTGAGTCCAGAAACGAAAACAACCGTTGATGCTTGTAGGAATGTATTCGTGCCACTTCTGCTGATAAGATACTTTTCTTATTAAAAATTCTTTTAGAAATTTACGCCAAGTCTGACGAAATCTGTTGATGAGGCGACGACAACTATGAGGCACGCTTGCACACATTGACGGTTCGGTTACATTAAAAAGAAAACTTAATTCCTTCGAAGTGATGCCACTATTTGGCAAGAAGGACTCCGGCAAGAAGGCCAAGTCAAAGGATATGAAGGAGTTAAACAAGCAAGTGTCAATTGAGGAGAAGTACAATCTTCATGGTCTTTTGGGGACGTGAGTACCATCATTTGTTAATACACAGCATTATTGTTGATAATTTGTAATATGGTGGTCGTCTTTGCAACCTTAGCGGCGCGTTTTCCGAAGTGCGGTTGGCAGAGAGCAAGGATACTCCTGGCGATCATTTTGCTGTTAAAATAATCGACAAGAAAGCCCTCAAAGGAAAGGAAGAATCTCTGGAAAATGAAATTCGTGTTCTGAGAAGGTAAGGCGCAAATCAAATAAAGTTAGTCAAGTGTACATCAATCCAGTATTCCCCAATGAAACTTTTCGAATGCATACATACATACATACATACATACATATGTTTATGTACATACATGCATGTATGTGATGTGATGTGACGAGAGCCCACATTCGTTTCTAAACCTTGCCTTGCTACAATGTTTTCAAGAATTATAACTGAAGCTTAAATTGGTAACTTTGGTAGTCGATGTCACACATATGTACCATTTCTGATACAATGTCTGAGCGCTTAAGTTAATTTCTTCTTTTTTTTGCATAAAAATAATATATATTTTATAGTTATACCTACATATTTGATTTGAAAGTTTAAGCTGTTTAGTTTAGCCAGACAAGGTTCCGGGTCGATCTCAATATTTCCTAATATTACTTATACATACATACATATATACATAGATATATCAAAGTTCTGATCCTAAATTTACTTCAATCGTATATGCAAAGAAAAAAGGAATAATCCAAAACAACAAAACTGATATTGTTGGTCGGTCGGTAGGTAGGTAGTAAATTTAATAAGGATTGACATTTTCAAATAAATTTCAACTCGAGGTGGATGGATCTCGAGAATGTAAAAATGTGTTAGTTTTTCTTAAAAAGTCGCACCTTCAACAATCATTATAGCTCTAAAACCTTCTACCTTCAACATTAAAATATATGTATCGTAACTATGTATATTTTCTAGCCACTTTTCCGTTTCTGTTTCCCTCTCCCTTTCCAATTTAAATTGATTTTGTAACTCTCCGCTCTATAGCAAATTGTATGTAGGTTCCTAAAGGGATATAAACCAGCTAATATTCGTATATTTTAGTTTTCTTCGCTTAGTTGTATTATTTGTATTGTTTTAAACACTTTCTGGTTGTTTGCTTAATTTACTTTCTTTTCATGTAGGTTCAGTGCAAATCATTTCGATGCCAACTGTCCGAATGGAACGCGGTGAGTTCATACCCCGATCCCACCCTGAACTATGCTTAAGTGAGTTATAGAACATTGGCAAGATGATGAAGATTATTGAATGCAATTCAGGGGAATATCAATATTGATTCACACTTTGAATGAATTTGAATGCTTGTGTCGTAGCTTTATAAATCGCACCGCATTCAATATGTGCATGAAGCACATACTAAAAATACGACCTTCACGACCATTCTACATGCATGTACATTGTACATCCATATAAAGTTTTCTCAAATCTATTTCTAGATTAACTCATCCCAACATTGTGCAACTTCTGGAAACGTATGAGGACAAGTCGAAGGTCTACCTAGTAATGGAGTTGTATGTTTTTCAATATCCATATACAAGGTTTTTTTTATACATATACTTTATAAACTTGCACTTTCTTTAGGGTGACTGGCGGTGAGCTCTTTGATCGCATTGTGGAAAAAGGTTCGTATACGGAAAAGGATGCCTCTCATCTTATACGACAGATTCTAGAGGCAGTAGATTATATGCATGAACAGGGAGTTGTGCATCGAGATCTTAAGGTAATGTTCATAAACTACCCCATTTTCAATTTGCAGTATAATTTTAGATCACTCTTCCACATTATGCACATTAAATACTCGTTTAAGTCGTTTTTCTATACCTGAGGGCATTTCAAATAAACTCGCCTTCCAGTTAAGAAGGAAATTCTTTTGTCATTAAATGTGCTTTAAATAGAATTTGCTATTTCAGCCGGAAAACTTGCTTTACTACAGTCCTGAAGACGACAGCAAAATAATGATTAGCGATTTTGGTCTATCAAAAATGGAGGACTCTGGCATTATGGCTACAGCATGTGGAACCCCAGGCTATGTTGCCCCCGAGGTCCTGGCCCAAAAGCCATATGGAAAAGCCGTTGACGTATGGAGTATTGGAGTAATATCATACATTCTCTTGTGTGGCTATCCCCCATTTTATGATGAAAATGATGCAAATCTTTTTGCTCAAATATTAAAAGGTTGTCTTCAATGAATGAATGAACGAATTAATTACAAGTGAATATGCCTACTAAAATACATTTCAATTGTAGGTGAATTTGAATTCGATTCCCCTTACTGGGACGAGATAAGCGAGTCGGCCAAACAGTTTATTAAAAACTTAATGTGCGTCACCGTCGAAAAGCGATTTACTTGCAAGCAAGCATTGGCTCATCCTTGGTAAGTGTCAGCACCTTAATCTTAATGAACAAATAAAATAGATCTCTTTCGAAAGAACTTTTAACTTGTTATCTATGGCAAAGTAACTATTTTCTTTTTCGTTAATGAAGGATCTCTGGAAATGAGGCCAGTAGCAAGAACATTCACGGAACTGTTTCTGAGCAACTAAAGAAGAACTTTGCTAAGTCACGTTGGAAGGTGCGTTAAGTTACATAGCCAATTCCAATCCCTTTGACTCTCACAAATGTTTGTATTCTTATATTAGCAAGCGTACTATGCGGCAACAGTGATCCGACAAATGCAGCGAATGGCACTTAGCAGCAATAGCAGTGCATCAGCTGATGCCACTAATAATGACGGTAGGCGAAAGGACCCATCAAATCCAAAAGCAGCCACTGTGTCGTCTGTGTCAACCGACGAGTCAGCATCGCAATCAACACATTGTAATATAACAGGCTCTAATGAGCCACCACCACAGGCAAAAAGCCAGCCAGGCCAGGACATAAACAATCACCAAAGAACAAGTCAACCGAATTAAGATTCAAGATTAAAGCCAGGCCAACATATGCTTATATTTCATTGCACAACCATTACTGTCGTCTTATGCATTGCAATGCGACAGATTAACACATTAATATTAGGCCATACAAATTATGTCACACACATAAGTGTGGAATGGATAGTTAAATTGTTTTTTTACCGCGATAAATGATGGGGTATTTCGATTGTATTAGTTTAAACATCGGCTACTGAGAAACCAAATAAGAATAACACGTTGATTTTGGCCAAGGATCACATTTAACCCAACCGTTATAAACTGTAATCAGCTATTACTTATACAATGTACATACATATGTACGTGCATATGTATGATGTATGCATGTCTCCTATACTGGCTATATGAACATGTTTAGAATGAAATAAAGCACTTATTGATATCAATCATTTTGTAATACATATTTCTCTCTGTATAACAAGCTAAGCTGTAGCTAGTATTGAGTGCAATCTAAATAAATAAGCTTAATTTTATAATATTTCAATGTTTCATGAAAAATGCCTGCATTGCATGATTTTACTCTCATGTGTGTGGTGAAAATGATATTGCTTTAATGGAGGTAGTCCCCTCATACTAAATATATACAATAGTACATACATATGTACATATGTATGTATGCATAATAAAGATCCGGTATAGAGAAGACTTGTCTTCTTTTCCAAAGACTCTAAATCAATCAATGCCATAGCAAATGAAAATATCACTATGTTTGAAAAGTAATTATTAATACTTGAGATATTCGATGTTGTTGAAAATATTTTAGCGATACATATATACATACATACATGCGTTTTCATATGTAAACATACACTTAACGACGATTAAATGTTCTCTAGCACAGAAGGCAGACTTAAAAGCCTCCTTCATATTTTTACATCTACCAGCTTAATTTTGTGATGTTGCCAAAATCAATGGAACATAGTATATGTAATAATGCTTAGAATAAGTTGTTGGCATTCTCATAACATAAACTGAGAGTAGGTGTGGTGTTGCCTTGGTTTGACTGGATCGCTAACTTCTCCCGATAGCTTGCCATTAGCCTGGTACGGTACGGTTCAAAGTAAGCGCACAGCTTTAGTTCCAAAACAAGAGCAAGTCGGTTTCGGTGTCCAATTATAATTTGTAAAAAATCATTTGTACATATATTATATGTAGGTATGTATGTATGGGTATGTACATACATATGTATTCGACAAGTATATTCATAAATTCGGGGGCACACATCACATGTGTTATACTCGTTAAAATGAGCAATATCCGGATGGATATGTATTGCTTGATTTTTTCTACATAATAAATCTTTATTGAATATATATACATAAACAATATAATAAAACTGTTGATTGCATGGGGTTTTTTTCTTAAAATGAATGAAAACATTTACTTTTTCTTGTTTCGCTTCTTTTTCTTCTCTGAGCCAAGTACTTTTTTTTTAGTTATGCAAACGCGGCAGAACCAATCGTCATTGTCCTTTGGAGCAACATTGATGCCAACACAGGTCCTGATTGCGAAAAAGAGTTCGTAAGAAAATCATAGGAATAATGAAAATCTATCGTTATTATTTACCAATGGTACCAAGCGTCGCAGCCGTCACATCCAATCATTGCAGAACCGTCATCCACCTTTCCGCATGCCGGGCAAATCCAGATTCGATTACCTTCGGCATCAACATAAGATGAAGGGCGGTTTAATTCCACAATTTGTGGAGGACAGTCTGGAGAATTGTTAGGTGAAACAGGCAACAGACCTGTCCCCAAAGGCGTCTCTGTGCTGACTCCCATTACCGAAGTAAAGTTATTCACAATGGGCTTGGACGCCAACATCAATTGTTGTGGCAACAAAACAGAGCTGGCCGAAAGCGTGGACGACGCTACAGCACTATTACTAGTATTAGGCATCCAGCCTCCTGAATTAGCAGCAGCAGGATGGCTTGTCACCATCTGAGGCGCCATGGGGGCCAAGGAGATGGTTAAAGGTTTCACAGGACTGTTGGTTGTGTTAGAGTTGCTTAAAGGCACTACCGTATTGTTTGATATGCTTGAGAATGGAGTTTCACCTAAATGTTGAATAAATTCATTAATCGCCTAATCATTGCAGATGGGTTAATATCGCACTCACATGGCTTGGCCTTAGGTGGTCCGGTAACCAATGGGGAAAAGCGAGCTAGTTCTGGGGAGTCGTCCCGTTCGCGTTCCCTTTTGCTTCCCCCCATAGTTGAATGTTGTACGATACCAGCGTCCTGTGCGTCTCTATCCTTGTCGGCACACGGTAACGGTGTGGATTTACCACCTAGTTTCAGTGTAAGTTTTGGGACAGGATTTGGGGAAAGCTCCAATTTGGGTGTGGTGTCGTGGGGAGCATTTGGCGAGTATTTTGGTGATGGCTGGATTGGAATGGATGGCATTACAGATACCCCAGAAAAGACTTCGCAACTAGAGCTACGTTCGTTCGACTTTGGCAGATGATGATTGTTTAGGAAGTCTTCTGCATCTGCCGGGATAAGTGTCATTATCTGAAATGAAGAGCGAAACAGGGGGGTGTCTAATCTGTATAGATTATAGATCAAGTTTTTAATTGTTTGAACGGCTGGAAAAGTCTTCAAGTTTCATATATGAAACGCTCCAAAGTAACTTAAGGAATATTTGAAATTTTGTTTATGTTTATATTTCGAATTTTAAATATATGTATTACGTATATATGTATAGTATAATGCGCTAAAAGCCATAATGAATTATGAAAGCTCAACGTTACACTCGTAGCAAGCATAATTTAGACAAAGAAACCCACCTGCTTGTCCTTCTTCTTTTCCTTCTTCTGTTTCTTGTCGGGCCCTTTGATTTTCTTTTCGATTTTATGAATATTACTTCCATTTCTTTCCTTTTCCTTCAATTTATCCTTTTTGTCCTTCTTCTTTTTTACTTTTCCCTCCTTGGGTTTCTTCAACTTTTTATGCAGTTTGCGCATTTTCAGTTCATCTCGTCCTTGTCCCATGGCCAATGTGTTAGTTGGTGTGATCGTAATGTCCTCGTAGCTAGAAAAACTTGGCATAAACTGCTGATCCTCGGAAATATTCAGCTGTGTGGGTACCAGGCCGGACCCCGATCCAGATGTTGCGCCAGCTGACAAGCTTGTGGCGGGAACCGTTTGAGAGGAATACGCCAGACCGCACTCCAGCCGCGACAATGGAATGAGATCCGCGCCACCAGCCAAGCTAAACTTGTCCCCGCCCTTGAAATTGGGCATATTAAACTGGGGGAAACATGGGGTGTTGCAGGAAGGTGTGGCTGAGCTAGCTAACACTTTAACATCTGGATGGCCAAGCTTTGATTGTTTTTTAAACTTCTTGGTGGATTCACAAAAATTTGGGGAAATGGAGTGATGGAGTATGTCCTTTGAATGCAACAGAGAATCATCTATAGATGTAGCTGGTGTTATTGCATACGGCAGAAGTTGAGGCTGTAACATGCTCGATCTGCCAAGGTTTGTCGGGGATAATTGTTTCTTATTTTGTGTTGATTCATCAGAGTCATCCGACACCTCAATCGGATCACCGAGATTGCCGGTAGCCTGTGCAGAGGGTTTCGTCTTTGGCTTTGATACGGCTTCTGCACCAGTCGGGTCAGTGGTAGCTCCAGCTAATGATCCACCTCCACCTGCATTCAAATGTATTACAAATGTGTTTCCAAAGAGCATGCAATCATAACTCACCTACACTAAACTTCATGGACTCTGGCACTAGGGGAGCAACATTACAATAGGTTCGCTCCGTCTGAGAATCAGTTAGAGCGGAGGGCACCCTCAGAAACTGGCCGACTTGATCTGCTTCTAGGAAATAAATATAAATAAACGAAAATTCATAATTGTTTCGTCCTGGTTAACGTACCACTAGTATCAAGAGCGGATGAACGGCAAACTGAATCAGTAACGGCTCCACTTGTTCCTGGGAAAGGCATGAATGGTGGCATGGAGACGCTACTTCCAAACCCGACCAGACCTGCCGTCGCCGGAAAGAGTCCTGGCCCGGATGGTATCAGACCTGGTCGTGGCGGAAAATGTAAAAGTGGTAGCAATGGCACGATTCCCGCTGGATTGCTCGGATATAAAGCCGCATGTGGCATACCTCCGCCGACCGCCATATATTGGCCAGCACCAGGAACAATAGAACTGGGTTTAGTACCATGTACAAAAGGTTTCGTCGGGGAGGTATTCTCAATGGAGTGACCGTTGTAGCCTAATTCCTTTTCCTTCTCATTTTCGGGCAGGAAAGAGTCATATTTTGTCTTGTATCTCTTTCGGTCCTTCTTCTCCTTCACCTTACATTGAGGTACATTACTCAAGTTAAGGGGCTCCGTTGGTATAGTTATAGGGACCAAACTGGGATTCATCAGCAATGTAGATGACGGCAGTGAAACTGACAGTGCATTTATATGGTTTTGCTTGCCCTTCTTCATCGATTGAATTGTAGGCAGCGGCTGGGACTCCAGCTGCGCTACAGTGTCAGTTGCTGAGTGAATGGGCTTGGTTTGATTCTTGCCACCTGGTTTTCTTCCTCGTTTCTTTGGCTTTGACGAATCTATGATCATTAGGTCCACAGTTGACTGAGGTGATGGTGCCTGTGGAGTTGGCATCATCACACCGTAGTTGGGTAGCATTTGATGACCAACTGCTGAAATACTGCTGGCCACATTTATGTGTTCCATACTGAGTCCCAGTGCTGGCGCTGGTGTTATGGTCGTTCCGGATGGTAAATTAATCAGTGGTGGACTAGCTGTGCTTTCAAATAGATTTCCTGCCACAGCTAGGGAGCCCGATAGCCCTGGGCCATCAAGCCTTGGCGTTTTTGGCTTTGAAATTTTCTTAAAAATATCCAATTTGTTACGTTCGGGCTCGCTGTTATGCTTTTTTGTAGCTGATAGTCCTATTTGCGGTACCTGGGGTCCCACTGCCTCCGATGCAGGGCCTACTAATGGAAATTCGTCCTGATTCTCCGTATGTTTACCAACAACAGTTGTCCGACTATCAGCATTACTTTTGATAGCAGTTTCTTCATGGCTTTTCGCTGCAGCTTTTGAAGTCAGTGCAACATTAGCAGGGTCACTGGTGGTTGGGGCAATATCTAGCGGCTTGCTTTCAAGCTCTGACTGCAGGCTCTGTCCCTGCAACTGTTTTTGTCTATGCTTAGCTTGTTTCTTTAGGATCTTTTCCAGTTTTATCCTTTCCGAAGATCCATCTGGAAGAGATGGGAATGTTCCCCGATTTAAACGCTTCCTTGACTTTTTCAGGTGTAAAAGTTGACTACTCCCACCATCATTTTGGCTCTTTGCTAGTTTCTGAAACATTTTCATTGCTTTTCGCTGCGCTTTTTCTTGAGCCTTACCACCATGGACATTCATTTCGGCCTTACTTCTCTCCATGCCGGACAGGTTTGATAAAAAATGCTTTTGTTTCTTGCTTTTCTTAGAGGTTTTGGCATTTAACATGACTGCTACCGATGGGTTCGGATTCTCTTGAGGCATTACAAATTTGCCCTCTTTTTTACCATTTTTACTTATCGCTGTGGTTCGGTTCTCGATGCGCTGCTGATCTCTTTCATTTAATTTCGATGCTGATGTTGAATTGAAATATCGATTCTCTTCAGTAACTGAAGTATCCGGTTTAGTTGAAGAGGTTTCCAGCGGAGCGATAACTGGAGAGGGCACTGGCGGTGCATGTAGCCCTTTATATTTTTCTATCAATATAAAAATACACACACATAGAATGGGAATTTATAAGTTGTTCAAGTTCCATAAAGCTTACCAATAATATCGGGTACGAAAGCATCTGGGAGTTTCCCTTCAATAGCTGGCGAAATGAAGCCCCCTGTTGTCATTACCACACTACTCATTTCGCGTACTGTCCGTCCATTATCGGGGTCACAGTTTTTATTCGAAGGAAAATTTAGTAGCGTGGACTGCGACTGAGAATCTATTGGTATTGAGGTCCGATTTTCTACCATAATGAGCGGATCCAAATCGATTTTCGAGCTACTTTCCTGTTCCAGTGTTAATGTCTTTTCAGACTCATTGGAAAGATCTCGAAGTTCAGAGTCCTGAATAATGTTTGTCGCGGTAGACGGTGGTTCACTTGGTTCAGCGTTTGGCTGCATTGGTGGCAAGTACTCAAATATATAGATTGGTCGGGTCAGAGTCTCTGCGCTGCCTGGCTTTAGAAAATTCATATTCGAAGCTCGTTTGATAGGAAACGCAGCAATATCGCGTGTAAAAGCCACCGGCTCGACATTTCCAATATAGTCCAAAAGTTCATGAACATTAATGCTGAGACTCTTTAAAGTCAGGCGTGCATCCTTCAGGTTTGGCTCAAGCCGATTTGCTACATCAATAACAACAATATATAAACTATTACAATGATGAACCAACGAACAGTGTAGCCTAATCAATACACTTACCGTGCTCCATTTGACCATGCAAATCGCGTGCGAATTCTTGCATAAATTTTAGCAAAATATCCTGCAACAATTCTAGCGGTGCACTTAGTGTGCTGCTGTATCCAATAGTTTGTGTTATTTGCGCAATAACAATGCGCATTAGATCTGAAGAGTATTTGTCTGCCATTGCTGCTCTGTTGGATGTATTTACAACATGGATTTGGACTTTGTATGGGAATTTAGGGCTAGGAATGAGGCGCAAGTAAAGAAAATATCCTTAGCGACACGTTGTTTTATTGTAAATACACACTCTACTCTATTTAGTTTGTACAAATTTTAAGATTTTATTTACGAATAAAAAAAATTAAAATTAGTTATGACAGTATTTCGATACATTGTATAGTCGATAAGCAAGATTATTAAAATATTGTGGGGATTCCCGAAAGTAGCTCTGAATAATTTAGGAGCAATGTTATAAATCAGAGGTCGGCAGCGTCGTATGCACTGTGCATAGGAAAAAATTTCGGGCAGCGCAGTCGGCACACGTACAGCGTAAAGACTTCGTGTGGTTTCGTTATTCTGCCTGATGACGTACCAGCAGAGAAAATTCTGCTCTGCTGACGTCGCGGCAGAGAAACATGCTTCGGCCTATGCACAAACGGCTTCATATTCTGCCCGCTTGCCTCAGCGGCAGAGAAGCATTCGTGTGCCCTTTGCAAAATTCATCGGCTTTCGCAGCGGCAGAGAAATAAGTAACGTATTTGACTTCGTGTCTGTTGTTTTCGCACACAAACGCACCAAAAAAATGTGTGAGTCTGTGTGCCGACCCCTGTTATAAATTCATAAGATTCTTGAGATTTTTAATTTCAAAAATCAATTGCACAGCCCCTAAATCTAACGAATTTATTTTGATCGGCAAAGAACTCAGATCCGAAAAAGACACTAGATTTTGCAAACTTTGCTGCAAAGCGACAGATAGCATAAAAGACAAAATTCCAAATTATATTTTCCAGCACAGCAATCGTTTATATTGCTCTTGCTCTGACTAAAATTGTTGGTATCGTAATATGTATCAGAAAGAGCTCCGCAGTGTCCTCAGCTTGGTAGAGGTCTGGTAGAGGAAATTCTGCGATTACAAAACAAAAAGAAAAGACAGGATTCTGTCACACATCACGACGCACAAGGGAATAAGGGATTATGCCTGCGAGTAAGTGTACTATAGGAAACGTGAAAATATTTAATAAAATTATATTAAATTTGATTTTTTTTCCAGAATGTGCCCATCTACATTTATGAAACCTTCCGATCTAAAGAGGCACACGATTAAATATTCTAGCGATAGAAATTTTGCTTGCGAGCAATGCCCCACAAAGCTGAAATCATTGACAGCATTGATGAATCATAATGTCAACATACATGCGGCAGCATATCCATGTACATGCGAAACATGCACGAGTGCGTTTAAAAGTTTAAGAAGTCTGAAAGAACAGCCCGCGGAAAAGCAAATACACCACCTGAAGAGGGTCAAGATGACCGAAAAAACAGAATAACATAATATAAATGTAATTGTGTCTGAATAAATAAATATATCCAGATTGTTGCAATTCTTCACCGGTATTTTAAAAAGTGCCACAAGGGAATTGTGATAAATTGGCTCAATTTTGGCTCTCGCTAGTGGCCTGCCTATAGCCCAGATCCAAACAAAATTAATTTTTGTATTCATTTTATCTTGTCTCATTAGTACTTTTAAACAGATTAGTGGACATGTAATTTTTTTATATTCCACTTAAATGATTTATATAATGCTGGAAAACGATATATATTATATTCATGAAAATAAAGACAGTGCTGGAAAATGGAAATATATGTATGAAAATAAACAAAGTGCTGGAAAATATATGAAATTCAACTATCGTTTAATAGTTTATTTATCAACAAGACGATGAATATCGAACACAAAATAGTTGAGAAACATTAAAAATAATAATTCTTCCAAAATTATTTTACTTTTAATTTTAAGTGACCACCAATTCATGTTGCTGAAGTTCAATGTCTGATTTTAGTGCTTTCCCGTTAAATTTTATAATTTTCCTGTCCAATAAAAATGTAAGCCTTTTCCAATGTCGTAAACTTTTAATATAATGGCTTTAATATATATGGCTTTCCTATGGATATAATTGATCCATTTTCCCCAGATGTCACTGCCAAGACAAATAACAAATATAGCATATATATTATAACGTCATATTCTCTATATATACTGTACGTACATGCATGTGTACATTTGTATGTGTGTACATGTGATTGAGTACAAATAAATAGGTAAATTTTGTTATCAGTTAATTATGAAATTGTGTCTTACACACATGTGTACTTATGCACACCGAGATTTACAGTATTACGGTTTTTGTAACGGGCAGTAAATCAATAGCAATTCTTTCTATCTTATGTTTCTGTTTCCTTCAAACTAGTCTCAGCGTTAAAGCTACATATGTGGCCATTGTAACTTTCAATCAAATTACAATTATATATGCATGTACATAACTCGCAAAGGTGGTTGAATGTGTTGCTTTCAGTCTATAAAAATCCTGGTTTGAAGATCAATTAATTGGAACTTCAAGGGTATATAGAATAGACCTTGGCGCGGTCAAGTTACTGCTACTGTTTGTATAAGAAATGCTGTATTTTATTGTATCCATGTATTGCTTTTTAGATAGGTGTTGCTAATTTGTTTTTGTTTTGGTTGTTTTGTTAGATACATATTTCTGACAAACTCCCACGAAATTGGTTCAATCGATTCGATTCGAGTTAAATTGTCAAATAGAAAAGTGTTAGAAAAACAAATAAATTACGTGTTTTCCCAAACGAACATAGCAATGTTGTCTTATATTATATTATATTAGACTTGTGGTAAAAGCTGATGTGTATAGCGCACTGACTGACTGAGTACAGGTACAACTGAGTACAAAGTTTTTCCTCGTTTTCATTAACATATTGCCTTTTGACAAAGCCTTATCCTATTTAAGGCTTCATAGCTGAAGATGATATGTTGTTGAACGTCGTGGTTCGGACCTGAAATCAGTCCGAATTTCCACAGTAATTTTTTAATTCATTTTTTTTCCATCGTCTCAAAAATTTAAATATAATAAATTAACATTTATTTTTGTTTATCTTAATTGTCTCTGCCCCTGTCTCTTGGAGGGTCTGATCTTATCATGTCGAAGCATGAAGAATCTTTTTGATGTTATTGTATCGAGCTGTCTTGTTTTGAATGGCAGGTGTTCACACATATATTTATACATATGTACATTAAATATACGCGAATGTACATTTTTGTATGAAAATTATTTTATTTTTTTATATACAGGCTGACTGGAACGGTGATTGTATACATATCCGGTAACGATGGTATGGAATAAGCACACTCGACATTACGCGCTGGAGTATTTTATTTTCTGATTATTACGAGGCAATGCATATGGCATATACATGTACATATCCATTCATGTAATGTTTTCAAGATGATCGTTTATTTTTATATTTTATCAGCTGTTCAACAAAATGTCTTCGGAATCAGATAACCAAGAAATTTCGTATAATTCGGAGAGAATGCACAACATAGATCCGCTATGTGACAATTTAAACGCCAGATGTTCTGGGTACTATAGCGCGAAAATGTACAAGTGGAATAATTCGGGTCGAAACGAGCCTTTGACATTTCAATGCAAGCTTTCATATCCCAACAAGACTTTTATTTTTGAAAGGAAAACACACTCTGTAGCTACTACAGAAAGCACAAGCAAACATCTTACTGATGCTCTGGCTGTATATTCAAGAGGCAACCATTCTCTTTCTGCTGATGCTAAATACAGAGTTGCGTCGGAGTCAATCGAACAGAATAGAGAAATGCAATCAATGAATTCTAGAATTGATGGGGCCAAACAATTTTTGGCGCAAAGTGGCATTTTAGGGACAACCAACTTCACAAGTTCTTGTGACTTAATAAGGAAAACTTCAAGCATTCATATCGATGCGACTTTGAGGGAACAGGTAAGCGTGAATTTATTTATTTAAAAATGCTTACATAGTCAAAGCTATTTTACAGATACGAAAAACATCTATGTGCCTGCGTTCAAGGATTTTTATCGAAAAGAATATACCAAAAGGCTATGATGAACTCATCAATTCACTTCAGCATGAAGTCGATACATTAAAGGGAATCATAGATAATGGTGAAACCAAAATTATAACACTGCGTACTGAAATTGGCAAATTGAAGGCAAGAAATTTTAGCATCATTTAAAAGACATTATTTATACTATTTATATATAGTACGAACATTTTAAATATACATCATATATGTGTACATATTATTTGAAAACAATTGTATATTGGTATGGTCTCTCACGCTTTCATCCGCGTGCTTCGCTGAAGATGTCGATGTCGTGAGTAATATTCCTTTTTTGATGCTTCGTTGTATTATTTTATTTCAGAGAGCCCTTCAAGAGATAATGCACGTCCAGATGGTAACTTGCAGCAACGCTGGTGATGGCTCTCCGAGTCCTAAGGGTACAACTATTTGCCTTTTTTGTCAACCCAGAAGCTGGACGAGCAAAAATTAAAATAAAAACAACTGTTGGAATCGACTTTTCCAGCATAGGTTCACTGAAGTTTATTACATGCTGTAATTAATACAATAAAACCATTTCATATAATTAATTTTTAATTAATTAATTACACTTTATTGAGGTTACTTTCATCTATTACATTTGAGATAATAGCCGTAATATTTACAATAAAGAAATTCCGCTTTTACGCATATTGAATATATCGAATTGTAATAAAAACAAAAACTTAATTCCATAGAAAGCACTTTGTATAATGTGTAAGGTAAGCGAACCTTATGAGGTCAATGGTGCACATCAAGTTTACACATTTTACATACACACATCACCGAAATTAAAATTGCAACGACTACTGCAGATGTGTAGAGCTGAACGTTCTTCAAAAACATACATACATACATATAACTAAATAACAAAGTATAAATTAATTCATTAATAACTGAAATTCACCTAGCACTCATTTTATTTGCAACTTTATTATAATGCATCCTTGACTTGAAACATTCACAATTCAATTTGTAGGTATTAAATACGGAGATAATTAGGTGTCGTTTATCGTTTATGGGCCTCGTTAATTGTGAGTACAGGTGTGCACGGATGTGAAATTTCTTAGTCGATCAATATATTTTGATTCTATGTATAAATAACGGTGTTAGGCATTTCTATTAAAGCTTATTTAATATTTTCATTATATTTTGTTTGGTTACTTTGCCTTGCCCCAGAAGTGGACATGGAAGAAATCTTTGTTATTTCTAGTCCAAGCAAGAATATTTGATTTAAATGTTTAAAGATAGAGAAAAAAAATGAAAAATGTTATCAATGCTGGTCGAACAAAATTTTGAAAACATATGTAAGTATGAGCCAATAATTGTGAACTGATCTCATTGCCGTCGTGTACAATGGACTTGTTAATTCTGTAACAAAAACGAGCAAGTGGTAGATTTCGAAATATATCCTGGGTCCAAAATAGTAGTATTGCTACTGAGAATTTCGATTATTCTATGTTATGCCTATAACGACGAAGGCGCGCACTATTTTCTATGTTGGGCTCCCCCGGCGGTGGCGAGATGTTAGGCTGTTGATCTGTTGAATTTTCACTCCATGTGATATTGTTAATGTTTGATTCTTCATATTGCTTTGTGATAAAGTGAGCTCCAATAGTTCCAGCTTTGTCTTCACTGAGATCAGTTGATTGATCATCAAAATTTCCTAACATTGTTGTGGGTATGCCACGAGTTCTTAAATGTTACATATGCATGTTTTTAAAAGGATGAAATTTATTTTAAATTGACAGAAACCTACCGACTGGAAGTGCGGGACCGAGGACGTTGAAATCTTAGCTGTAATTGTGTTGGGTCGGTTATGTACTTTCCTTCAGCGGATTCTCGTCGGCGCCGTAATCCTAAATGAGATGATTGAAATCGAATCACATACACATTAGAAAATAGAACAGAATTCGCTTTTATATAGAAGGTAACTATCACGGTGATTATCATGTTAGCTCTGCAAGTTGCATTACGACATAAAACGCTTTATTACTTTAATAAAGAAGAAAGCTCCATTTCGTTTTCTCTTAGGGTCATTTAGTTTAATAAAATATATAATCCACATATACAAAAAACGGACCATCGAAAATTTATAAAAATAAACAGTGGATCTAAATTAAAACAGTACTTGTACCAGAATATTTTACTTAATCTCAATGTCATTTGAATAAAATAAATAGAATCTTGAAAGAAGTTACATGCATCGTGCAGCGGATACACGCATTGTCATTAATCAATTAGTTGGTTGGCAAGCCCACTTCTTAAAGGAAACAAACCTGGTGTTAGGTCCGTATTATTAGGAGGATTTTGTAAAACACCAGAGTATATGTCGTGGCGAACAGGCATAGCGTCCATCATACAATTGGGCATGTCAAATGGTGGATTGTTTTGGATATGATGCTGTCCTCCGATGGACCCAATTAAGGTTGATGTTGATGCGTTTGTGGCAGTATCAGCACCCGCCCATGAAGCGCATTTTGATTGGCGCACTGGTATTTTGCTGGGTGCCAAGAGCGGTGGTTCACAGCCACCTTCCGTGCCTCCATAGGCGCAGCTCACCCGTGTTATTTGAGTATCTAAATCACCTGTTTTTGTAAGAGCCTGCTCCTTTGTATTGCATATTTCGCTATTTCCATTCAGCTTTGGCTTGATAGAATCCACCACATGAGAGTTGAAGCAGCTTGGCTCGTTGAGTGCTTCAGAAGTGGCTTTGTTGACTGGTGCTTTACAATTATTGATTGTATTTGGAGAGGAAGCTTTTATTGCTGCTGCTGCTGTTGCTTTTATTTCATCACAGTTAATTAGCACCTTATCACTAGAATCTTGGCCTTGAGTTTTATCAGCAATGCCTTGGCTAGTTGTACTTGAAGTCATCTTAACAGCAGCTGCTAGTGCATCATAGTAGACAGATTCATCCAAATGAGAGGATTCTAAAACAAAAACGAATCGTAGAATGATGTATGCGTTGATTTAAATATAAATAGCATCTAGCTAGTGCGATTGGATTGCATTCCTGGATATTAAGAAATGTGCATTATTTGCCTACCTTTGGGAACGACACGAATTTCCAGACGCCCACTAACACAACCATTGTTGTCCTGGATCTCTTCACTCACAGGCAAATTACTCCTCTGGCAAGATGTGGTTTGAACACTCCAGGGCTGGGCCGCGTCATTCGCCACCAAAGAGCTATAATTTGGTAGTGCCTGTTGGTCATCAAAAATGTCGGCCAATGACACATTCGGAAGGCTGTTTCGATGTTTGGACTTGGTTTGGCTCTCATGTGATTTATTTGACTGAAACGCAATATGGTCATCTTTAAATGATGATGGCAATACCGTCTGCGAAACAATAGAAACAGAAGGCTTTTTTGGCTGTCCCAGCGGGGTGATTTCCGAGTATGTTTCTCGCACACAAACATTCCTGGCTATATCCATGCGATATACCTACAAATTTAAGAGAGTGTCCAATGAAAGAAGCTTTAATTCTCAAAGCTGGGAGGCGGGTGTTCATGGCAGTGTTTTCCTCACCACTTTTTATAAACTTTACCATTGAATATGTATGTAAGTATGTGCCATTGGTTGGAGAACATTAAACAGTAAAAGGAATGAAATATCTCACACACACACACACACACACACAAACACGAGTGTGTACTAAGATGCTGATAAGATGCTTAAAATGTCTTCCGGAACGTGGATATGTGTGTACATATAGTGGCTTGGTGCATGCAAGTCTCTTAATCGGTATGAGTTTGATAGTTAACTTATTCTAAGAGCGACCACAAAGCCGCATAAGTTAAGGGTTTCAGATGTATATGATGTGCTTACTGTGTTATCAAAAGCGGCTTGTTGCACAGCCGGTGGCTCTAAGTCTTTACGTAATACATTACCCATTGCAGGGTCAGACCAGCAGTGCGGTAAAGATATTTTCAACGTGTCGTAGCTCTCGATCCCGAATATGTTGAGTGTGTATCTATGGTAGGGGAAATCAATATACGCACAAATTGTACACAAAAGAAATAACATACATTCAATATTTAACTAAAATCATATACATATTTATAACCGGTTACTTATGTACATATGTATACTATGCTATGTATACTACTTAGTATATACATAACACATGCATAAATACATAGTATGCGTGATCAGTATCCACCACAGCCTACTTGATCTGGGTATTCATCCCCCTTTTGTAGCGACAAATATATTATCTACACTTTAATATTGAGTGATCGTCTGATCGGTGAGAACATACAATATTAATTGAAACATTTTTGAGCTTCATGTGTTAAACCATAAAGCTTTTCTGGTGAGAATCGAAATATTGTACATTTCGATCCTTTTGATTCGCTAATACTCTCATCCGGGGATGCATTTGCATTTGGGATAGAATTTATGACGCTGTCTTCCTGCTAACAGACGAAGTATACAAGGATGCACAGACGGACAGGGGTATGCGTATGTATACCACTCGGCTTGTCCATCCCATCTGCTCGAGAACATATTCATTTGTGGGGTGGAAGATATGTACTTACATGTAAAGGCATTGGCCCACATTCAACATACCATCGCCAAGGTTATAAATATGTATGTACTGATTAGCCATCTGTTCAAGACTTACCTTTTCGGCCTGGATTTTGCGTCTCGGGACGTTTGGGTCTTTGGTGTCTTGGTTGTATCAGCGACGGCAGTTAGGGAAAAGATTGCAGCTTCATTTAACAGAGGCAATGAAACATCCCCCTTAATCAATTGATCCAAATTGGGTTGCGACTGTGAGGTGAAATGTAGTTTGTATATTTTACACATGTTTATCTTATAGTAGTACTAAATTTTAAGCAAAAAAAAAAAAAAACAACTGTGTTCTTTCTACATTAAAGATATGATATGGGATGCACGCAATTATAATATCTTATTAAAAGTATATTAATAATGGGGGACTTGGGACTGTATTAAGCACTGTTACGGTTACTGTTACAGGAAGACATTTTAAGCATTTATCGTTAGTTCGAACGCGACCTGACATTGTCAACTAGAATTCCCATGTTTTCATCATTAGTTTGCATTCCAATTTACCTGTGGCTCTCTGTTCCATTCGTTATCGGTCGTGTCCTCAGAGTCATCAAACTGACTTTTCCACTGGGAAGCAAGAGTGAGAGCTCCGCCCCGTGTTACCTGTTGTAATGCGGACACATTTTCATCGTCTATCAATGCGAATTGAGTGACAGAATGGTCGCCGGTAACACTGCTTCTGGCTGTGTTGCTGCCAGTGCCCGCACCAGCTGCGCCTGCTGATGCGCTATTGATACGCTGAATCGAATTGGAACCAGCACCCGAGGAAGACGGTCGTAAATTGGTGGATGTTGCTGAACGACGATTGACCGGCGGTATGCCAACCATGCCAAACACCTGACCGCGCTGGCATATGGCAACCTTTGAGGCAGAACCTCCTCCTCCGCAAAAAACCAGAGCATCCTGTTCATGGGTTAGGGACTGTTCATCACCATGCTGGCTTTGGGCTCCACCAACTGTTAGATCATGCACGCTCATGGGTGGGGCTGTAAGTACACGGAGGCGCCCATAGGTTGACTTTTGATCGTCCAAGGATCGCTTGCTATCGCCGCACTTTTCCGCGGGTAATGCCTCCAGTTTCTGGTGTTGCTTATCAGTATTTCCACTGGGATTTAATTTTTTCGCTTGCGGTGGCTGGTGCAAGGACTGGTGCTGCGCTCCACCGGACTGTAGTGTTCTATTGACACCCTCAGAAACATTTGCGTCGACGATCTTCTGGCCTTGGGAGCTTTCCACTGCAATCAGTGCGACTTCGATATCAACATCTCCTATGCGCTCTCCCTCAGCGGTCTTCTTCGTTTGCAATAGCTGTGTGGCAGCGAACTTATCTTCCAGATGTGGGTACTGCAAGAAATTAATTGAGTTTCACTCTAACTGTAACTGTGACTTTATTGCTATTGCCTTCTTACATAGACAGGAGCAGAGTTGTTTTGGTTTGATGCAGAAAAGGAGCCGGTTCCGCTGTGGGGTTGACAGTTCTTCGCATGAATTACCGAATGCGGTGTCTTTATCGGTGCTTCATGGTTTCCAACACCAACCATTGATGACTTGATCAGTGCACTGGGGAGATTCGACGTAGCCATTGCAGTGCTGGCAGGCTGTGGTGGATGTTGCTGCTGCAACAAAGCTTTGGGTAGGGTGTTTTGATTATTGGTTGAGTTGGCGTGCTGTACGGATGTCTCGCATTTGGCCTGTGGTTGGGGAACTGATGGCGTCGCATTGCAGTTTCTGTCAACCTTAAACATGATTTCAAATTATTAAATTATGCTTTTTCGAAATGGACGCCGATATCGGCGTCAGAGACGTACCTTATCTTTCATATGCAAAGGCTCTGTCGCTGCGATCTGGGCGGTATCAATATCAGTCCGCTTTCGAACCTTTCGAACATGCAATGAAAAACAAGTCGTTTTAACAATTATAAGGATGGGATAGAGTAGTTTGAGATTATACTTGAGAGTATATGTGGGTACGAGTATATAGTTTTATTTATGGGAAGTCAGCCTATAGCAGTTTTCAGTTCAATTTATAAGAGTAGTCTAATAATACTCCAACCCCCATCTGAGCACAAACTCAGGCTACGGCTTGCTCTGCCGATCTCCAGAATGTTGGAATGGTGTTTTTTTAGAAGTTAGCATCTAATTTATGAGAATAAATGGGATAGCTCCATTCTTCCATCGCTCGATCGACAGATTTGCTTCAAGTTTGTGATGCTTGCCCTTTGGATTTATCAGATAATCTCCTTGCAACTTGGATAAGTAGTTAAGAGACATTTTTTTAACCAAACCGATTTTCCCACCAGAGCACAAAACAACTTATATTTTGCAGATTCGGTATGCCGAATGAATCAAAGGTTTCTGGCACTTTTAAGCAATGGACTTACGTATTCAGTGCCGCTCGCGTTAGACGCTGCCACTGTCATTTGTGTAATATTTCCATGGATATAATCATTCTTGGCAGGCACTTGGTTGCCACTTGAATTGATGTTGCCAATTGCTGAAGTGTCCACTTTTTCCCAGTCATATGCGTCAACTTCTTTGACGCCGCGTCTCTTCATACAGCGCTCAAATAGTCCGATTAGCATCTGAGAAAACCACATTTTATTATAGTTCACCATACCATAACACCATTCCATTGGAGTTTCAGAGGTACTTTACCGCGTAGTCCGGTCGGTCCGCATAGGTAAGAGACTGGATATGCTCCAGGAATTGCTTTAGATCTGACGGCAAATGCTTCAACAATATTCTGTGGTCATACTTCTCCTTTGTTAGGCCAACTTGTTCCTTGTCTTTTATCTTTCGCCACGGCAACTGGCCGTTTACAAACTCCACAAGCATATAAAATAGGGACCATAGATCATCGTGACGCCCCATTTCCCGATTTCGATGAGCATTGATGGATGCATACCGAACTGTGCCACGGAAACCAGCAGCTGCTCGGGGACATCGCACCTCGCCGGTACCTGTGGTATATTGCCGAGCCAAGCCAAAGTCCAGCATATACACCCGCCGGCAGTTATAGGGTAAGCGCCCGACGGAGAAGTTGCTCTGCAATGAAAACGATCGTTACATTATTACATTCTAAATTCAATTTCTCATGGCAAAAAATGAGATTACCGGTTTAATATCACGATGAAGGAATCCCACAGAATGTATCGATTCGATGGCCTTTAAAATTTGTAAGCCTAACCTAAGTGTTGTACTAAGCGAAAATGCACCACGCGGCTGAGCTCGCCTGAGCTCTGCTAGATTCTTTCCTTGAAGTTGCATCACCACGTAATTAAATCTATCGTTCCGGCCGCATCCAATAAAGCGGCACACATGCTCCTTGCCCTGTAGCTTTTTCAAAACGGCAACTTCCATTTTGAGCACCTGCTTAGGCTGCCTTGCGGATTCCACTTTGAGTGCCACTTGTTCACGTGTAATAAGGTCTTGCCCTTCATATATTTCACCAAAACCACCGCCACCGATTTTTCGAACCACCTATAACGTTGACAAAAAGATATATGTACATACGTATACATATGTGTACGGGGTAAAATCAGAACAGGAAATATGAGGATACAATATGAGACGACAAACCTTCCAACGCTCCTTGACAACATGGCCCGGCTGCAAAAGATCCTCGGAAGTCATCTTGCAAGACTCTTTTGGAGCTACTCCTAATGCCTGTCTGCCCTTTTCCTGGAGGAGCTCTACCTGCGCTGGAGCAGGAACTGGATTTTTTGAAGATGGCACTTTAAAAGTTACTCTGCTGCGGCTTACTCCTAAGCGATTATGCTTCGCTGGCAAAGTCGCTGATCGCTGCAACACTAACACATTGGGATAGCGATGCTCCTCTGACGCTTCTGTGTCCACAACAACACCCGTGCCCGTGCTCGTGCCCGTAGCACCCGACTGGATTCGCTGCAAGATATGGGCTTGCAAAACAGGCCTGGACAGAGGCGGTGGTTTCGACAGTGGCGGTGGATGCAACCTCAAGATGTTGTTATTCTTAGAGCTGGTGATCACTTTTTGGTTGGGACTTATGTACTGCTCCTGATTCGAGTGTTGCTGATGTGAATCATGATCTCCTGACGCAGCAACATTTTCGTCGTTTCTGAAACAAGGATATTCTGCGTGTAGAACATGGTGGCAAAGATATATATATATATATATATATATATATATTAATATTGATGTTTTTAAAATATCAACAAATGCAGAGACGAGGCGAATTCAAAACAGATGCAGCGATTTCATTTCGTATTTTGTCTCAAAATCCCAAACAATTTGAAGTATTTAATACTAAAATAATACTAATGCTAATACTAGGCCGACGATAGTGATGAAAGTATTATTGCACTAGACTGACGATAGCATATGTTTAAACTTTAAAGGGAGCCATAACTGTATCGTCTAGCAAAGCACGGATATAATGAGCAATGAGATTGGATATAACTGGCCACGCTAGAGCCGTCGTCGCATCGAGCTATGTACATAGTGCACATGTATATGTATGTATATATAGTGCGGGCGAGGCGTGGGAGAACAATTTTTCTTCCCCACTTAGTTGGCTGTCATAGGAACGGGTCATACTGTTGTCTCTACCTGTCACATTTTAGGGACATAAAATTATTGTGTGCAGGACTTAAAAAGTCTTTTTTTTCCAATATTTATACAGAAATACTTTCATATGTACATGCGTACATAGATGCTGATGATCTCATGCATATGGTAATGTGCATCAAGACATAATACATACCATGCGTCCACGTAATGGTTATGTATAACAAGAGCTGGAAAATTATCTGTTCTCGTCGAATTTCTCGTCCTGCACAGGATTTTTCAATGTCTCATTTAAAGCACGCACACAAGCAAAAACCAGGAAACTTTGTTACTCGAATTATTCAAGTCTTTTAAACATTTTCACGAAAATAAAAGACACATATCGATTGGTTAGCTTTGACTGTTTTTCGTCGCCTAATCGAATTCAGAGCAAAGCAGCCCCCAGCACCGAGAGAGAATAAGCTGTGTCTGGTGGTTACGGTTACTATTACCAGCACCAGCTGTCACTGGGGATTGCGCATGCGTCGTCCTCGATGACAGGACAACTCAACTCAACTCAGAAAACGCTCCCACAAATACCACAAAGTCCTGTTAAAACTTCTGCTCGAAATGCTAGTTTTCTGTTATTATCAGGCAAACTCACCTGGGATTATGATTATCCTGTAAATGCATTTTGGATTTTCCTGGACTTGTCTGCTCCTGTAATGAGTTTTGCCTTCTATCACATGAGCTATTCGAGCATAAATCCATGTACATTCAAGCTCCAATTCATAGTTTGATGCTGTGGCCTGAAAGATTTTTGTATTGTTTACACTTTTCATAGCATAGCTATTTATATATGTATGTACATATACATATGTAGGTAGATCAGTTTGAATGTATTTCCGAAATTTCTACGCTACCTACAAACATATGTAAATATGCATGTATATGCACACATATTAACATACATATGTATATGCATAATATACAGTCGCGGCGAAAAAAATATTACTTCTTGGTACAACACAGTTTATTGTTTTTGCACATTTTTTCACTTTGCTGAAGTAAAAAGAACGTCTACATGTCTCCTCTCTGGGAGAAGTAAATCTTAAGTAATCTTAATTAAATCTTTCAAAAATTTGAAATATGTTACCAACAAGAAACACGGGGAAGAAAGGTCGATCTAATTCCCCCCATTTCCCTCCTTTTTTAATAAAGCCGTCCATAGAACTAAAGGACCTAAAATAATCGTTAAAGATTAGCAAGACCGAAAGCCATGGGGCAAAATATAATTGTAACCTTCGAACACAACTGAAGTAACGAATTTGAATGGAATTTTTTTTTTATTTTTTGTAATTTTTTAAACTTTGAAATTAGTAGTATTTTTTCCCTGAATAAATAATTTTCTTTTCAACTATTTTCATTCGAAGTCAGCAATACTCTCAGATACGTTAAATTGCAACTTAAAGTTTTTATGTTAGATTGAAACAGATCAATAAAACCATTGATAAATCTCTCAATACAGACACATTAGTGGCATGGTGCTATTTTTTCCGCCGCAGCTGTATATACATATGTACACATACACCCACTCGTAGCATTTAAAGAAAACTTTTATTTTTTAAGAAATCACTTGAAAAATATCTTATACACCTATGCACATATTCACTCTTTTTTATTCCATTTTTGCATCTTGAATAAGTATACCCGTGCATCTGAATTTATTTATGATCACTTTTAGGTGTCTTGTGTGTGAGTCTATTTTAAAATTATTCAGTATTGTCGATTTAATTATAGAAAACTTCAACGAAAACTTCTACCGAAAATCACCGAGAGATTCGACACGTGACACGATTCTAATCGTACATACATACATATGATTATATTTTTAAATTCATTTAGACACAGGCACCCACTACTTGCACATTAAACATATATGTACATATACATACATATATGTACAATTTAAATATTTTTGTACCATTTAACAGAAAACATTCGTCGAAGGGGAACTTCTTCATTATGTAGTTAGTAGATACTCCGCTCCTTCTGCGTTATGGTATGTTTATTTATTGCCACAAGATGCAGTAGTCTTAAATAGTTTTTTTGGCAAACTGTTAGTAAATCTTTAATATGGTCTATAAAAGCTTTCACATTCAAACCAAATATTCCGTGTTCACTGAAAATTCTTACTGAGGACGGACCGACGAACAAAGACTAATAGAAACTTTCGGCATCTCTGTGCATCCTACACGTCCATACATACATGCATACATATGTACATAATCAAGAAAGAAAAGCTATCTTTAGTCTGATTAAGCTTTCAACCCTCCTCCTAGGCGATCGTTCGTGTCAAGAAAAATTAGTTACGTCCTGTCACATAACATAAGGGCGAAAACATAACTAACATAACATAAGGCGAAAACATAACATAACATAAGGCGAAAACATAACATAAGGCGAAAATATATCTTACAGGCCAAAAAAAGTAACTATTCGCATAGCCAAAAAAATGCGTCAGCTAGGTGGCGCTGTTGCGCTTTGTTTCTTTTTTTTTGCTAGCAGCCAGCCTTAGTCAGATATAAAGTCTTTTCTTCTTCTTTTATTATATTATTTTTTTGCGTATTTTTTTCCAGGGCTGCCAGATCGGTTCAAAACGCATCGGTTATACGGTTGACAATATCATGGTGTGGCAGCCCTCAACAATTACAAATTGCTCGAGTCTGGCAGCGCCATCAGCAATTTCGCGCTCCAGTCTGGCAGCGCCAGCAACAATATGTTATATATAGATATATATATACATATGTATATATGAACCTTGAATTCATTTCGAATCGGTCTGTTCTGAATGAAGGTTAAGATCTTTTGTTTTATTTTATGCTTAATTGAAACATTTTAACAGAGTATTTACTGTTGCAAAATTGTTTGAATTTAAATGAATATTAATAATATTTTGGAAAATGTACAGGTACATTGGATTATTGCAAAAATGAAAGGATGTTGTTTATGTTAAACTTCAGATATTGCTGGACTTCAGGGCACTTGAAAAAATGCATATATACACACATACAGCTACGGTCATGGGAATAGTAGTGCCGCACCTCAACACCTCATTCCAAATTTGACATGTGATACCTTAAATATATAACAAAAATTAAAAAACAGAACAAATTAATTTTAAAAAGTCACCATCAGTAAGCTAATTTCATTAATGATTATTTGCCAATTCATCACTCACACACATGCAATCACAGCGAGTTTGTTGTTGTATTTGCAAAATAAGCTCCGAAAAGAGAGCCGCATTGTGGGACGGGACCACCCTGAATAATTTCATCATGGGCTGGCCTGTGTCAGAGTGACGAGACCAAGCCAAGCTCATATGGAGTGGTACCCCAAGTCTGCCGTTTGAGTATTGAGCAAAACTGTTTATGAAGGCATACTTTATAATACGTAACATATAACAGTTGGAAAATTCCTTTCAAAAGGATTAGGGGATTTTTAAACAGGATAATGACCTGAAACATCTCAAAAGTTCGCTAGGAATTGTGTTTAATCGGTAAATACCGACGTTTATGGGGGAATACCAAATACATTGTAGCAACTTCAAATCCGTCAACCAGAGCACATTTTCAACAAGTGGTCAAAGGATTATTGACTCAAATCTTATTGAAGCGTTGTCAGGACCTTATTGACCCATGCCAGGCCGGGGTAAGGACGTAATGAAAACAAAGTTGATTGAAACTAGATCTAAACCCTCAAGAAACATTTAGAGCCTCTAACATAGGTTTTTAATTAAGTTTCGTTGTTTTTTTCGATTTTCTAAAAATCAGTACTATTTCTATGAACATTAGATTTAATGGGTAGTTGTTTAAGTCATGCCATGAAAAACAAGAAAATGGAATGCAAATTAAAAAAGATTTCGTTTGTTTTCTATTGTTTACATTCCTGTAATCAATTATTTGAAGACAAAAACCTGCACAAGTTTTTGCGAACAAGCTAACTATTAGCTGAATTTCCTGATTTTCCCCAGTCGTTATTTCTTTAAGAGCAAATAAAAAAAAATAAAAATACATTATTATCAGTATGAACTAGTTTCTAAGACTCAATATTATTTGAAACGAGAAGGAACGTTTGAGTCGCTTCTGGGGACGCGACTATAATTTTATACCCGTAATCAGTCAGTATATAAATTTTTGAGCTTATGATTTTTCAAAATTTTACATTTTACATTTTTTTTCTACATCTGTTATCTTTATCTACAATGTCGATTACACATCTAAAATGTAGATTCTACGTACACAATGTAGATGTAGATCTTCTGTGCGAGCAAACAAAGAGAATAAGCAGAATAAGAATAGCGTAAAACGCGCCGAGGAGGTGGGGGAAGCAACTGAAAATTAATTTCTTTATTCTTGCTATAAATCCAATCTGATTCAGATTCTCTACGATACTGCGTTTTTAGTGTTATCGTGTCTTTGAAATTGTGGCTGCCACAGATTTTTGTTCTTTGTGGGGGCGGCCGGGGGCGGGGCGAAATTTTGAAATACACTTGTGGCAGTGTGATATCACATGAGTCTGGAAACCAAATTTGGTTGCCCTAGCTCTTATAGTCTCTGAGATCCAGGCGACAAACAAGACGGACAGACATACATGACTCTATCGACTATATACTTTTTGGGGTCGGAAACGTTTCCTTCTCTGCGTTACACACATCCACTTTTACCACAAATCTAATATACCCCTAACTCTTTTTGAGTACGGGTATAAAAACCGACGAATTAATTTTTGAAAAATATATACATATATTTATCCAAAAATATGTATACAAATTTTTGTAATTTTCTTTACTAACGAAAAAAATAATAAGGTCCCGTCCGCTTAACAAAAAAACAAAATTTGTTAGTTCATTCGTACATTCGCATACTAACTGTTGGATTTATCAACAATCTTGGAGATCGATATATGTACATACACTTTCCGGGAGTTAAATAAGACATGTTAAACACATTCATATAATCCGTAATATTTACAAACCATTAACGAGTTTACCATTTTTGACCTTTTTAACCCAATTGGACCAATAACTTGGCTAACTTAAATTATATGAAGAACCTGAACGCTGCAGCTGTGAATGTGCCTCCTGTTCGCCCAACAAACTATGAAATAGTTTCCTTTTTAAGTCTAATAAATTTCAATTAACTAACATTTAGATAATACCAGTAGTACGTAATGTTCATTAAATTAAAATTATGACACCGATTTTTTACCTAATGCGTTATATATTGAACTATCTATTTGAACATATCACAATCATTCAATTAACTTAATTAAGGTCTCAAAGTGCTTGGTTTGTGAGCAGTGTGAGTGATAGAACATTGACTTAATGGGGTGTCCCATTCAAGTGGCGAGGGGTGTACATACATACATACATCCATAGAGATCCATATGCAAGTCTGGCTTACATATATACGGATATGTACATACATATTAATATACTTTTAATCTGTATTGCATATTTTTATATTTAATATGCATATGTATGTAAGTACATACATACATATATCGCTAATTTACTACAACAAAAAAATGTATTAAAATCATCCTAATTAATTATTTATGTGGGTTTTATTACTTCGTGTACTTCAATAAAAATTTGTCAAAGTTTAAAAAATTCGAAAAGTAAATCAAAATGAATCTGATACGAGTCTGTTCCAATCAGACTGTACTGTACTCTATTCAATGTAGCTTTCTTCGAAAAGCAAACCACGTCTAGTTTTCCGGTCGAAATATCACAGTAAAAGGGTTAAAATGTTTAAATTCCTGGGGCTGAAACCCTTTTCGGGCCATAAACTTCCGGTGGTGTGGGGCATAATGTGCAGCAAAATCAATATTGAAATCAATAAAAAAAAAATGTATCCAGCAGCAGTTGTCACCCTCAATGTGCTAAAAAATTCACCCCTCAATCAATATCTGTACGAATGTACATACATGTACATATGTATGTATTTACATGGTTTGGTTTTTTCTCTTTGTATGTAAATTAAACAAAATAAAACCATTGAAAGAAAGGCTCAAATTGCAAGGAAACTGGTTACGCTACCGTTAGCCTCTCTTGGTAGGTGCTATTGATGATTGAATGATTGAAGGAGAGGTTTCTAGTCATCTATGTAATAATGTATACGACATGTGTGTATGTATATGCAGCGCCTATTTTTCAACATTTGCAAGGAGTACGGCTCAGGCTACACTACACAGGCGAACATTTGTATAATTTTGTTTATTATTTATTCTTGAAGCCCCCACAATGTACATATGTATGTACATTTGTACCTTGACGCAGTTGCGCATGCATGAGGAAATTAAAAAGCTACAGTACATTTGCTTTCATGCATATATGTAAGTACATACATATGTACATATATGTATGTACGTACGTATGTATGTATTCAACCCCACAATAGGGCAGACCATCGCTAAAAGAGCATTGCTCTTAACTTTCTCTGTTTTCCGAATGTAGACTTGCTATGCTATAAAAATTAATGCCGTACTCTGTGTCGGGAAAAGCAAAAAAAAAAGTACCAACAGAAAACCCTCAGCAAAACAAAAAAAACCAACACCCACACCCATATGTGCATATGTATGTGTGTGTAGTCCTTGAAACCTGGGGCTGATTCTTTTTCATCACCGTGGATGATCTCCGTTTTTTATATGTATGTACATGCATACACACATACATATACATATACATAAACCTACGTTTTTTGTTTTCTCTCTTTTTTTTTTTTTAATTTTGATGTAGGGTGGTGTTTCGACTGCACAAGCAGGCGGCATTCTGCCCTCTGCCTTCTGCGTTGCCACCCCACCACACCACCAACTTCATTATAATTTTTGTCGGGGTAGTTTTTTTCATTTAGGCTTTGTGTGTCCTTTGTGCCCATCCTGCTACGCGGCACTGCAAATGCCCTACAATGCGATGCACAGTGGTTGAAACGGCCAGTCTAGGCCAATCGAGAGTATAAAAGATATCGTCTTCCTATTTTTTCCCATGTGAATTTTGTAAATAATGGAATTTTTGCTTATGAAAGTTTTTTTTTAATTCACAGTTTATTTTTTAATTCATTTTGTTATTTTTAAAATGATAAAAAGCAAAAATTTATTCATCAAAT